AGCTACCGAAATTTGTAAGTCAACTATTTCGAATTGTAAAATTAATTTAGCTAAAAATCTATAATGTGCAGATTATCTGAAACGAATAATGTAGATGTGTGTTACGAAATAAGTGTTAAATGCTCCTCTTTACACATTAACTGGTGACATTTTAACTAGCGCGTAGACCTTGAATTCTGTATACATGTCCGCCCGGTGCTTGTCAATGTAACTTTATAACTTGACTCATCAGCTGGCGTCATCAGGTATTATAACGTACATCTTCACTTGAATATTGACCACTTGAATAAAATAAATATTACCTTGTAGACTACCGTAGCTTATTACGTTTTACAATTTGTAAATCGTAGTGTCTATATTTGTCCACAATATGACTTACAGCCGTACTCATCGTTTGCAAGCCCCCCTTAAAAATATCGATGTATGGGTAAAAATGGTAATTCGCACGGATAAAACTAGGTTACAGAGTAAATACATACTTTAGTTGGTAATGTTTACTGGACAAAAAAGCGACTAGGGTCCCATAAGAGGTATTGTAATTGTAAGGAGCAAAAGCTGTTGGCTGTCGGGCGAGGTACGCCAGGAATGCAGTCTCCACCGGTTGCCTCTGCCGCATGCCGCATTCTGCATATTATAGACCTTTAATACTAATATAATGCCTATTGCCTATATTCTATTTTATACTACAAATGTTCCGCATCGTTCTTGAATTCTTTGTTATCGGAAATAACTGTTTCTGTATAAATTGTTTACTGCTCCGAGTTTATTGTCAAGACTTCATTCTTATTGAAAGAATGTATGATTCATTGACCAAAGTTTTAAGAGATGGCCAAATGGGGCTCGGCTAATGTTTTATTTATGTCGAAGTTATTTCTACTAAACGGTTGTAGTTTACCACTGAAAAAAACAGTCATAAAAATTTTTAAGAAATATAATTTGATACTAATCTTACCAATCTTGTTACCTTATTATATGTAATTGTATTGTAAAACAATATTTATGGCGATTAACATACTAATGGTTAATTAAAGTTAAATAAAATCACGATATACACATCGTGTTTGAATTTTATTTAGATAATGTGTTTTGTTATATCTATACATTGATTTTAATATTCGTATAAAGCAATGAATATATAAGCATTTGGGTCTATACGATAAAGTTAATAATTATTATATTTGTGAATCTCAATAATTTTTATACTTTTCAATAATAGCATTGGTTTCGAAATAAGCCATACGTAATGAATTAAGTTTACAATACGTTGTCCTTTTACGAATAAAAGCTGTATTTAAAAATTATATATATTTAAAGTACCCCATTAATAATTCAATGCAGAGAGCCAGAGGAATACGTAAAGAATTTCATGACTCATCTCTGTCCAATATCCGAGAACTGCTTAGGTAGTACTTTTTCATTGGAATAATTCCTTAGTTGAGTAGAAAGCATGAAACAAAAATTTTCCTTTCCAGTGATCACCCACCGTATATTTATTTAACAAACGCGATGACGTCATGGGCTTACCCTTTTCAATATAACCCTCTGGATATATCACTCCCCCGTCGTCCAACCCTAAGCTTAGGTTATTCCGTCGTTAAACATACCTCGTTTATTACCACTATTAACGTTGAAATAATGAAATGTTGTATGTATCCAAGGTTTACCAAATTCTTATAAAATTAATTTTGTATTAGGCAAAAAATCTACAAAAACTGTCATATATCTTAACTTTTAAAACTCAAATCGAATGATAAATGATTTTGGATTATGGAAATAATATAAAACCATCTTACTACATCTATTTACGTTTTAATGATGATTGGTCCTGTAGATATATTTAGGACATTTAATTTTTTCAAATGAAAGACGCAGACGGGATGAAAAATGACGCAGTAGTGACGTAGAGTGGCGCTCAGTGGCGCCGATCGATAGCAGTCGTGTAGGCGGCATCTGACACCCTCGCACCCACTACCCCACCCACTCTGTATACAAGGAAACTTTCAGCAACCATCATAAGTAGAGCTACATATTTTTTTACATTATCGGATTTTGTTCCGAAACCCATGTTCAATTCACCTTTCATTTGGTTTTACTAAAAATGTGTAAGTAATGTGAGAGCGCACACCTTAGATGAATCAATCGCACAAATGTTTAGTTGCATCTTGATTGCTATGAGTTTATATGGAGGTGCACGTTACGCGATTTTTAGTTGTGCAACTAAACAGATGAATGGGTTGCGAAACAATCGACAATCGTAGAACAGTCGTATGATAGTTTAGTCAAAGGTTTTCGCCCGTTCTAATCGATGATATGAAATCCAATACGATTCAATAACAGTTATGCCATTATTCAGAGATTTCCTTTTCGTTGGAATGTTTCGTTTTTATGGGACACTTTAAATAATGCGTTTTATTTCCCTAAATTATCTTGACCTTTGCAACGTGAACGGTAAAAGTGAGTCGGAATTTCGGTTTATCTGTTGGAGAATAAGGTTAACAACAGATGTTGCAATGTGCAAGTGGTAGCGATACATTCAAATGCAAGTTTCTCTTTTTCATCTTGATTGAAATTGCAAGCTTCTTCTTTCGAACAAGTTATCGTTGATGATCTTGGCTTCGTGCCATATTATGCCTTAGATGGGTTTAATGAGCCTCTGTGAGATATACCGACAAAAAATTACTAATGAATATATGTCGCTGCAATAGGATGATTATAAGTAAATAGTTTTCACTTTGTTGAGTTAATTTTGTGCTTTTTTTGTGCCTTTTTTTTGTTTTTCGAGTTTTCCGGTCTAATATTGCATAAATATAAATAAATAGAGTTAAATCGTTAATGATTGGCATTCCCAAATTGTCATATTACTTAACACCGTGAGAAGTTAAAAAATATTACTCCAGCAGTTCCAGCTCTTTGTACGTTGACACATAACATTATTTTCGGTGCTTTTGTAATTATTTCACAGTTATATTTTCAGGTCACGTATGTTTATGTAAATCAATGAATTACGTATGCTGTGCTGACAATGCTAATTGTGATTTGTCTAACTTGTCCTTCTGTTTCGTTCTTGTTAACGTTTTATTATTGCTATTTGTTTCTACCGTTAGTGTTACACGACAATTTCTTAAACTGACAGCCATTACCGTGTACCGTTACAGAGTATTTCCCACAGAAAAAATATGTTAAACAGTTTCAATGCGATCTCAGTACTTTTTACAACTAATGAATGTTTATTTGGTAATAAACTAATAAAAAGGTAAACACCTTATTAAGCTCATGACAAGCTAGTTATAGGTTTATCAGCGGCAGTATTAAGTGCCCTTCAATCACAGTTATATCGGCGGAAACGTACCGTGAAAGTTAATTTCTCGTGCGGTCTCGGCTCGCTTTACACTAGGGACTTTCGCTATCCATATCGCCAATGAACTTACGTTGTTTAAGAGTTCAACAGATCAACTTAATCTTGTATAATACTTCGTTTACATTATTCCAGTCCAGCGTATAAATCAGCGCTAGATTATTACTAGAAAAGTATAAACACGCACTGGAACCTCAGTGTATCGTAATTCAGCTTTGCTCATAATGCTGTTAGCATAATGTTAACCAAATAAGTACTTATTCTTATACAAATCGGTTTAAGAGTATCCCAGTGACTGCCAATTTGATGACAATGCTTTTTTTCTAATCCAATAGCTTATTGATTTATTGTCTTGACAATTTCACTGACTTAGTAGATGATTGATTGTCTCGTAATTTGCTACCCATGAGCTCATGCTTTTCACTTGTTAAAAAAAACCATGATTGCTCCCACACAAACAAAAGCCGCCTCAGATTGTCTCTACATTCGATTCAGTTTCACTGTGTTGATATCGAAACTTGATATAACAACCGAGAAATGAAATTTACACAATAGAGAAGTGGATGAAATATTTCCGACGATTAATTTTTTATTACCGTCTTAATATCTAAATTTCCACCTCCAGTGTAATAACTGACAAATGTATCATGTGATTTTTTTTAGCAATGTTGCCATAATTGACTTTATAGTAGTGACAAATTACAATAGATTGTATTGAAAGAGAACATTAATAAATGCCAATGTTCGGTTGAGGGAAAGCGCAAATTTTAAATTGCAAATAATCGCTTAGTTTTTTACATCTTATTTCTGCCCGTTATCTTGTATGGTGTTGCGAATAATAGAAAATTATTTACGATCGCCTTAGTTGTTACGTCCTTATAAATAATTGATGCTACAAGACAGAATAAACATTTCAGCAGTAAATAAATTGTAGTTTATACGTCGGCAGTCCAGCAAACCTACACAAACATTTCTCTTAGAAAGCTTGCTATGAGCAAACATTTCCTTAGTTTTGTTATTTTTCTCGTCTGCTCCGCATTGTCTGTCGAGTGTTTTTACCTTTTATTCACATACGTTATGCTCATTTGTATTGTGACAATACGATGTATTCCAGAATAGCTTTTAACATACGCATAATAACATCTGTTTTAAAACTGTTCAGAACTGTGTGGAAATCCGAGGAGTGTGTTTTGTGACGTCACAGAGATAAAGATAAGATCCATTCATTACTAGATAATAAGCGTTTACAGAGCTTCCCAAATATGAACTCGTCAAAGAAATGCGTGCACCTTTATGTAACTGTTATCTAACAGCTTATAGCTATATGTTACAAGACAATACAAGTTAGTCTAATGATTACAATGTCTCTCATCTGCCCACGCACGTTGGAAGAAGCGAGTGCTTGTATCACGTGCAAATAATATTGTGTAATGATTACAAATAGTTATTTCATCCTGCGATGGTAGTAGATATAATCGTAATAACATCTTTGTTTATAAATACTTTAACACGGAAATAAAACTGGTTGTTCTAAAATTAACACAAATATACGACCACAGAATGCTTAATGAGCGTCATTTAGCATTGACTGTAATCTAATCCTGTCAATTAAAATTAAATAATCCATTTGTTCGTTTCCTTTCAGAAACAAAGCTATCGCTGATTACCTGGGCAGCAATGGCTATACGGACGCGTTGGAGGCGTTCAAAAAGGAGGCCGAAATGACCGGCGAAATAGACCGCAAGATAGGGGGTCTACTGGAGAAGAAATGGACCTCCGTAATCAGGCTTCAGAAGAAGGTTTGTTACTTTTCTATGTACATCATATAACCTTACATGTCGCGCGGTATTGGGAGAAGACCTATATTTTTTCACCTCCATTAGCTTAGATTTGAGAAATATTTATCTCGGTGCTTATTACGTAAATATGCTGCATAAATAGATCTTAGAGACTAGCCTGGTATTCAAATAAAGTATAAACTAAATATGTAATGTAATAATACGTCGTAATTCCATATTAATTTCCTGATTCGTGGACACAGTTATCAATACTATGAGTAAAGGTTGAAACGTACAAACCGGTATTTGTGTATTGAGTAGATTTTGTCAATCTAAGATTAGATTATAATTAACATTTTTACCGTAGATGGCCAATTATTTAATTGATAAAGGGGACAGAAGCTAAATTTATCTATTCTGCTCACTGTTGCTTTCTCTATCAACAAGGGATAGAATGGTCGTTTAATATTTAGCTAAAAATTGAAAAATAGATTGCGCGCTGTACAAGCTCTGGCCTTTGGCAATGGAATGGATCGATCGGTGTGTCAAAGTTTTCTAGGTCGACTGTAAGCTCTGCATACTTTGGTATTTGTGCTCATTGCTATTTCTAGAAATTAAAATATTTTCGCTGTGAAGGGCTTAACATTAATGGGGAGGTGAATAATTCTAAAATGATTAACCATGGATCTATTCCAAGATACAGACTGTAAAGAAATTGAACATCAACTAGAAAAATTACGACAAACTATAAAAACAATAATATCGAACTTTGAAATATAATTATACAAAGATTTTATAAATTCAACTTTTAAATTCTAATGACTTGCAATTAATGTTTTGTTTGTAATGAATTTCAGGTGATGGAATTAGAATCGAAGCTATCCGAAGCTCAAAAGGAGTTTATGGAAGGTGCGCCCGCTCGCGGCAAGCGCACGCCCGCCGAGTGGATACCTCGCCCGCCGGAGAAGTTCTGCCTCACCGGACATCGGGCTACTATTACTAAAGTAAGGCACCAATATCCATACTAATATTATAATGAGGAAAGAGACGTATTTTGGTATGTATTGAAATAACTTAAAAACTACTGGGCCTATTTTAAAAATTCTGTAACCATTTAAAAGCATTGTTATCATGTTAATTACATCTATCCTCTTTGTTTGCTCCGTGCTAAATCGCGGCGAATCAGTGGTAGAAAAACATTGATGGATAGATTTAAGTAGCGGTAATCTTGCAATTGATATTATACTTTATCTTTGCTTTTTTGCATTGATATTATTTCAATTGTAGTCCATGGTCAACCTGCGTGCTGTATTTGGTTTTATGCCGAAATGTTGTTATCAACTTATTTCTATTTCTGTTGTAAAAGTAAAGATGAAATCGATACAAGATTATAATAAAGGCATAAAATATTTTTGATAACATAAATGTTTATTTTAGTTTCAGTATGACTAAGTATTGCGTGCGATGACTTGCGTGTGCGCAATTGCTCTTAGTTACCCATTGTTACTTAGCAAACAACTTTTTAGTACATGAATTGTTTTGATATATTTTACTGAAGCAGTGGGCAGATAAAGGTTTATAATGATGATATTGAGTTCAATAAACTATCAATATAGTAAGTAGTATAAGTATCAATAAAGTATTCTCTTATCATCTCCAGACTTGAGCCTGTTCTAAGTAAGGTAGGACTATAACCAAAGAGATTATAAAATGTATAGAGGAAGCATAGTTGACACTTCACTTGAGAAATTATTCACATGATCCTCAAAACCACATGTCGATGTTATTAATTGTTTTTAATGAATTGCCAATATGTGTCACTAAATCATATTTAAATGTTTATTTATTATTTTGTTAAATGTTTTATAATATGTCAATACAAGGAGGTGGTGCACTAAACAACTAAGTACCTTTCTAAAAAATTACCGGTGATATATTTTTTTTCATTATGTCTGGTCTATATCTTAGTTAAATATCTTTGACTATGACCTAGTCCTTATGTTATTCCGATGCGGATCGATTCCTGTCTTCACATTAAAATGAATGTTTTTTTACTAATATGTATTATATGTGTTTGCAGGTAGTATTTCACCCAGTGTTCAGTTTGATGGTGTCGTCCAGCGAGGACGCCACCATCCGCGTGTGGGAGTTCGAGAGCGGCACGTACGAACGAACCCTGAAGGGGCACACCGACTCCGTACAGGATATCGCATTCGATCATCACGGCAAGCTACTAGGTTAGCATTCAGTTTGGCTTCCGTTTTAATATAATTTTCCTATACAAACTGGATATTATTCCTTAACTCGTGGATTTCGAAGTGTTTCAGATAAAATACTTGGTTTTACCTAACTATAATGAAATCAACTGCCCTTATAAGCCAGTAGTTCCATTAATTTATTACCTAAATACAACAATACCTTGTTAATTTTCAGTATCGTGCAGCGCCGACATGTCGATAAAGCTGTGGGACTTCAACCAGACGTTCGAGTGCATAAAGACGATGCACGGCCACGAGCACAACGTGTCCTCCGTCGCCTTCTCCCCCGGCGGAGACCTCGTCTACTCCGCCAGCAGGGATAAAACCATCAAGGCCTGGGATGTCGCCACTGGGTCAGTAAATGAGTTGCTATATAGTTTCTTTAAGCAATAATAAATATTGTGTCTAAGGTGTCACCTTTTTTATAAATAAAAGAAGGGTGCAAATGACTGTGGGAATAGCAAAATGTTCAACAACAACAATTTGAGGGCAGAGCCCTAAAAATTTTTGCCAATGAATCTTCTATTAACAGCTGCTAGCTTCGATATTATTGTAGCATCATTTGCTCTATCTGTTTAGGGACAGAAGAAACTTATTGTAGACCATTTTTTCCGTGAATAAAGCGGAGTTTAAGCTGTTTATGTGTAGTATTAACTGAGGTAATGTGCAGGTACTGCGTGAAGACGTTCAAGGGGCACCGCGAGTGGGTGCGCATGGTGCGCGTGTCGGCGGACGGCGCGCTGCTCGCCTCCTGCTCCAACGACCAGACCGTGCGCATCTGGGCCACCGACAACAACGTCAATGAATGCAAGGTACCTTCGATATGGAACAACAAACAAAACTATAGTAGACATTATACTAGCTTTTGCCCGCGACTCCATTCGCGTGGATTAAGAAAATAAAATGAGTAGCCTATGTGTTCTTTCAGACTATACTCTACGTCGGTGCCAAATTTTACCGAGATCCGTTCAAACGTTTAGGCTACAAACTCTAACAAACCATCCATCCATCTAAACGTTCGCATTTATGATATTAGTAAGAAGCAAGATAAAAATCGAAAACCCTAGTTTGTCTTTCCCTTCCCACACTTTGTGAATTTGGAAGTAGATTTTGATATTGGAGGAGATGCATAGGAAGTGAAAATATTATTTTCACGTCCGCCTCCTTCTATGAATAAAGGTAGACAATATATATGTAATTGAGGATATGGGCAGCGGTCGTTTTGCATTCAGGTTTGCCACCTTGTCATAAATAGTCTTTCTGACATACGGTAATAATTTTGTCATCAATCTGAAACATTAATTATTATTTCGACCGAAGCAATCATTATAAAATTAAGATTAATTTGTGTTTGACACCAGATGGAGCTGCGCGAGCACGAGCACGTGGTGGAGTGCGTGGCGTGGGCGCCCGAGGCGGCGGCTGCGGCCATCAACGAGGCGGCCGGAGGAGACAACCGCCGCGCCAGCCACGCCGGCCCCTTCCTCGCTAGTGGCTCGCGTGACAAGACAGTCAAGGTGACAGCCCTCACTGCACCACACCACACCAAGCTGGTGCTATACTACACTCAAGAGCATTGAATCCGTCTCACTTAAATAATACTATAAGGGCCTGTCCCACCACTGGCTGATAGAAGCTCAGATAGCTTAATAATGTCATTGTCAGATAAGGGTACAATTTATTGGTATTTTATTGGTAATAGTAAATTACAGTCATAATGTTAAAAAATTATACAGATATTCTAAACGAAAACTATGTATACATACAGTAAATCATTGTAGCAGAAAAAAACTTTTCGACACTATAGAGGGCTTTCTGGACTAGCTAGGTATAGAGTTTATTTTTAAACGACTCGAAGCTGGTAGCTGTGACGTGGTCGGCTGACGGTTGTGGTCGGCGAGCCTCATGGCGTTCCCGAAACGTGTGTTCTATATTGTATTTTTATGAGTCGTGTGTGATGTCAGATCTGGGAGGTGAGTACGGGGCAGTGCCTGGCGACGCTGGTGGGGCACGACAACTGGGTGCGCGGCGCGGCGTGGCACCCCGGCGGCCGCTACCTGCTCACCGCCTCCGACGACAAGACGCTGCGCGTGTGGGACGTCGCGCACACGCGCTGCCTCAAGACGCTCTACGCGCACCACCACTTCGCCACCAGCCTCGGTGAGACACTTATATACACACTAGCTGTTCCCAAGCGGCTTCATCCGCATGAAAATGTTATATTATTGTTTACCTTTGTAATTATAAATAGCAAATGTCAAAATGAAATGATATGACAAACTTGGAAATCTTGCTTCCTTGATGTTGGCAGAAACTTATAGTCCCTTTCCCACATTAGGGTTTTTATCCAAAATATTTACCCTCTAAGTTTAATGGCGTGAAAATATATAGCCTAAAGCGTGACGTAACTGTAGGGCTATTTACTAAATAAAGAATTATTCAAAAATATGCTGTAATTGTTGACATCTTAGGCAACAAAGAAGTATGTATTTACGCTTTATTATAATAGTATAGATATACCACGGAAACAGACGACGACGGGAAGTAGAGGAAGGGGTAATATATATGTGTCCTTTCCTCCATCTATTAAGATTCGTAAACAAAAGTATATACGAATAGCTATGCAGCAGTCGCTTCGCTATTTCGGAATTCAAGTGGCCGCTCGCACGATTGCCATATTATGTTGATAAAAACCTATAGACTATATGTCATAACTGTGTCCAATTTAAAAAAAATAATAATTAATTGAAATGTTGTTCCAGATTTCCACAGGAGCTTGCCATACGTGATCTCGGGCAGCGTGGATCTGACCGTCAAAGTTTGGGAGTGTCGCTAAGAGCATTGCCATTTTAGTAACTTAAACTCACCGATGATATCTTTATCATTATTTTTCACAATATAGCTGCAATGAGAACGTTATGAGTTTCGATTTTAATGTTTTTAATAATTTTAGAAAGGAAAAAAATAGTTTTGATAATTTATTGAAATTTTGTCCTTTAGGTCATTGCGCTCCGTGGTGTACTCGACTGTGCTATGTCACGTCTCACTGTCACCTTACATAATGAACATTTATTAGTTTGTTACATTCCATTAAAATATAACAGCTTTTTAGATGTTTTTAGTTAATTTAACTGTAATACGACCAGATCGCAAGTGACATAGCGAGCCCTGTGCGCCACTGCGCCACTGCGCCACTGCGCCATGGCGACGATGAAGTGAGGAGTTAAAGCTGTGTTATAATTTAACATTTCATTATTCTGTTTTATTTTATAGTTATTGTTTATTCGTAAGAGCGTTTAGATGTAATTTTTATTTCATACGAATAGTTAATACGTTTTCTTATACGGTCGGCTCTTGAAAACCTTGTACCTTGATTTGTTTATGGATAATTTAGTGTTATTACATTTTATATTGATTATTCATGACAATCGGAATAAAATTGATGAAAAAAAAATTAGTCATTTTTACGCGAATCACATGTTAATTTCATTAAAATCTACTTGTAAATATGAATGCTTGGGATTGTCTCCATTCGATTCGATCCTCATTATGTTTGTTTGCTCGAAGGCCAACAGCATCAATGATCCGGGAGACACGACCTCGTGCCAACGGTCGGTGTAGCTTCGCGCTTTGGTTTTTAACGGATAGCTTTTTAATAGCGACTTATTTTAAGTTTTGGTTGAATCAAAACTTTAACTATAAGTTAGAGTGTTATATTTTCATTTTTTTAACTATTTATTTACCAGCATTTAGTTTAAAATGTCTCAAACGAAATTCACTATAATGTAAGCCGATAATGCTAGAGTAACTCTGCAACAGTTTAATTTTAAATACTATATATCATACTAGAAAACATAAATTGCAGTGTGTGATATAATTTGTAATGTGTGTTTTAATGTCGCTCCTTTCCGAGGTAGCTAGTTGCAACTTCGATTCAACTCTTAACGTTAGTTATTTATTTATGAGAAGGAGAAGTTTGGTTGCCTGGTAATATTAGGTGTTAGTGATAGTCGAGTATGGTCATAAGTAGATGCTTTGCAGTGCTATATGTGAGTTAACTACAGTACTTGCAGCGGTGCCATGCTGGACACACAGGCAAACTACTATTTGTACTATTTGTGAATGCTGAAGTCAAAATGTCACATAGATTGTATGGTATTTTCTAGAATGTCTTTTCTTCCACTTAAATAGAACTTTTATACGGATATCGTGGCACCGCAATAATTGCTTAATCTTTGTATTGGGAAATAGTGATCAAGGAGATTATATTATAATTAGGAATACTTTCTCGCTTGTATAATTGAAGTCAGTACTTATTAATATGTAACTGTTTATGAAAAAAGTGTTAATGGCTTTTATAGATTTTCAAGACTGCATTATTATACTGCTTGCGATGCTTACAGAATATTTGAATTGTAGATGTTTCCGTAGCTGTTTCAATACAATAAGGATTTTTGAAAGTTTCTAATTTCGTTTTTCTTCGCACTTGGAAGAGATATCGTATAATCTCCTTGAGTGAAATTAGTGGGACTTATGTTTAAAGCTTGCAAACTATAATGTATTTTAAACAATAATAAGAAATTTGTATTACGATTATTAATAGTATTTGCACTCATGCCAACATTATTGCTTAACTTAATATTAATATGTGTATCCAAACAAAATCCTCCGGCCACAGACAAGATCTATCGCAACCAGTTCACTGAGCCCACGTTCTTGAGGATTTTGTACATACAGCATGTAATCACTGTATTTTGTCAACTTTATATAGAAAGTTACAACCAAAATTTAATAGGATTTGGTCTAATATTTTCTGTAAATAAATCAATTAAATATATAATTTACAAATTTGTATTTTTTTCAACATACCCTTTAAGTATAAGAGCTATGGAATAAGTATGGAAGTAGTTGCTTTTAAAATACTTCCCAAAGTTCCTAGTGGTTGGTGATAGTCTGGTATAACAGTTCCGATTACAATAAGGAAGTTTTATAATTCAAGCACAAAAAGCTAATTTAAGAAACCCAAGAAATGAATGCGATGAGCGAATAAAGTTTGGGGACTTACTAGTTTTCTGATTTTTTTTGGTGTTTTTTGATAATAAAAGCAGGCAACATTATTTATTGTCAAACTATTACCAGTTTTGCTGATGTCATTGTCAATGTCAAATGACAAATTAAAGTCATTCTCTGACACGCCGCACCGCACTACACACCCGCATATTTTGACAATTTATGTAGGAGCGCAAGCAATGGGCATTAGAATTAAAGTTAATTTCTAAGTACCGAATATAAATCGCCTCTATTCGTTATTTTTTTAAACTTAAATTTGCAACTCCGAAAATGGATATCGAAGAATGTATGAAGGAGTGGCAGGATTTGCTTACCGATTACAAACGACTCGAGGTACGTAAACTGACTGATTCTCGGTACATATTAGCCATTGTTTAGTTCCTCAAATGAACTTTAAGCCCTTGGATAAACTTTCTTTTAGACGAGTAATAAATTGTCACAAAGAAATGCTTACGATTTCATGTTTTGTTTTCATTGTTTCTTGACTTTTGCTTAGTGGATTAGCGATATTGATACATTGTATACCTATTTCGTATAATGTTATTTATTAATTATTATGAATAATTGCATTTAGATTTGATGCTTGATTTAAATTATTTTCAGAATAATTGCATTGTAAAATCAGTCTTAATTTAACTTTGCCATAACATTATATTTTTTATGAACCTTAGATACTTTCAATTTAATCTTAATAAAACTTTGTAAGTTATACATTTAAGAAATCACTATAATATTTTTATAATAAATAAATAATGTAATCCAATTATTTCAGACTATAAACAAGGACTATGCAACAAAGTTAGAGGAAGTAGGGGAGCTACAAGCTGCATGTGTTAAGGAACTCAATCATCAAAGATATCGAATGTCCGTTATAAATGGTGCACTCAAAAGGTCAGATACTATTTATCCAATCATTCTCTTATCATAAATAAACATATCTGTTTTTCATTCTGTTTGTTATTAAAGATTATCTCTGCTAATGGTAAAGCAAATGTAAAATCTTAAATATTATTAAGTTAATTTTACATAGACAATTTTTATAAAATTTTATATCAATATGGAAACTGAAATTATCTAAATATACTAGTGTAGGTATTTTCAACCTTTCTTGTAATGTGCACTGAAAATACCTTAATTTTTTAAATGATTTGTTACCTAAATTAATTAAATTAGGAAGGAAATATTTAAATATGTAAATATTGGATGAAATAACCCATTTGTTAAACTTAAGTACTGTTTTTTAATTAGGTTTTTTCCTGATAGAATATATGTGTGAATGACACATTCTGACAATTATTGATTATTCAATACTAATTCTCTAATTTTTTTTTGTAAGTTGAAGGTAAAAATAGTTTTTGTAAGTACATCATGCATGTATATTCAGTTTTTAACAGATAAAATTATGATTAGATAAAAAAAACACATGAATTGTATAAAATTTTAATTAATTCTACTACTTACATTTCTGGGTTCAAAGGATTAAGTCAATCCATAACTGCAAAACATGCTTTGATAAAATTAGATAATGTTTAATCCAGTTATGTTAATACACATATTTACTCCTGGTTTCTTATTTCCTTGTGAAATGACAATAAGTAAGATAAAAGGCATACATTTGAAAAAAAAAATAGACTACAAATATTATAGCTGATACAAAAAAAAATACATCTGTAGCAGATGAATTCAACCATAGTACTTTAGCCAAAATAATATGTTTTACAAATATTTATATAGAAAATAAGGAGTATATTTCAAAAGTTAGTATATTAAGACCTATCTTATGTAATATAATCTATAATTAAATTACTTCTATCACATTATTTATCATCACAAGCTTACTGTATAGAGAAATAGGCTCCGAGCACATCAGTAGACATATTCTGAGGGGGCTGGAAGCCTTTTTTATAGAGGGGAAATGCATTCTCCGCGCCAGGAGGAAACGCGAAGTTGAACCCAAACTTGGTGTGACTAACATATTAGCAAGCAACAATTTCCAACATTTATTCTTAATTTACAGATTGGAAAAGAAAGGTTTGACGAAAGATGAGCGCGTTGCGAACCTAGAGAAGGAGATAATGAAAAGGAAAGCTATGCTACACGAAATAGAAGCTACTTTGCCCAAACAGAACAGTCTCTATTTAAGGATTATACTCGGAAATGTTAATGTGTCTATATTGAATAAAAATGACAAGTAAGTTAAAGGAAAACTTGATCAAACCTCTATTCATTATAACTACCAAAGTACATCATTACTCACAGATTAATTACCTTTCTAATGGTGAAAGAATTTTTGAAATCGGCCCAGTAGTTTTTGAGTTATTTCAATACATACAAAAATCTTCCTCTTTATAATAATGTTATAAAATTATAGAAGTAAAATATTTACCTTGTGTACTTAAATACTTATATTTTGCTTACAGATTCAAATATAAAGATGAATATGAGAAGTTCAAATTAATACTTAGTGCAATTGCATTTGTGTTGGCTGTCGCAAACCTTTATATCAATTTCAGGTACTATTTTGATACATTTTAGCTACATATTGTAAATACTTTAGTTAGGTATAAAGATAATTTTTTAGACTAAAACTAAAAATTTATTTCAGACCACTTCAATTAATTTTGATATTCCTCTTAGTTTGGTATTATTGTACATTGACGATAAGGGAGAGTATTCTCAAGGTGAATGGGTCAAGGATTAAGGGTTGGTGGAGAATGCATCACTTCATATCAACAGTGGTGGCCGGCATACTGCTCATCTGGCCACAGAACACACCGTGGAATGAATTCAGACACACATTTATGTGGTTTATTGCTTATATTAGTGAGTATTGATTTTCAAAACACTATTATTAGTTTTTTTTACACATTAGATAATCGAACAGAAATATAAATGAAATAGTTATATTGGTACAGTACTAATTTTAGACATACTCTACTGTACAGGTTTTAGCATCTACATGTTAAATTGCTTATTTTGCTAAATGCCATTAGATCCAAGTGGGAAGGAAATTTAATTCTTTCACCATATTAAATTATTGAACTGATACAATTTCACTAATACAGTTGTTCTTGTATGAAAGTATTGTGATAACAATGATCGCGCGATTTTCATGCGTGATACATAAAATTGCAAAACATTTACTTGGCGACCAATCAGTAATCATTAGGCAATTCATAGTTAATCACACTTACTAAATATCGATAAGAGTGATTTTTAAAAGTGATCTTTAACTGATTATGTTCTATATTTCAAAGAAAAAAATGATAAACCTACAAAAGGATTATCTTTTTTTTTTCTCAACTTAATTAGTAATTATTGAGTTTGTTTCTGATGAAAAAAGTCAATATTTCATATCAGATAATAACATCTAAATTACCATTTTTAAAGAAAAAAAACTACATTTAGAACTAGAATGCATAAAGGCATTGGTCTACCACACATGAACAAACAGTATTAAATTATAAAAAGGAAAAGTTCTAATATAAATATGTCTAGTACGGTTGCATCGGTCTTGACGAAATTCGACACAGATGTAGAACATAATTTGAAATAACACATAGGCTACTTAATATTTTTTTTTAACTTCGCACCTCCGAAATCGCGGGTATAATCTAGTATTTTTTTTCTAACAGGTGTGGTCCAATATATGCAATTTAGATATCAAAGTGGAGTACTGTACAGGCTAAAAGCGCTCGGCGCGAGGCATAACATGGACATTACGATAGAGGGCTTCCACTCGTGGATGTGGCGCGGCCTCTCGTACCTCCTACCTTTCCTCTTCGGAGGGTACATATTCCAATTGTACATTGCGTACACGTTGTATCATATCAGCTATCACCCTGAAGCGACTTGGCAGGTAAGCAAAAAATATTTTTTGATTTTAAAAAAAAGTTTTTTTATGCTCAAATTAGCAGAAAAGACTTTACTCTTATCTGTAATAATTTCATTGTTTTCTAAATTTTACAATTTTATGTTTATGCTATTTTTTTAAATATCTTATTTCTTTTAAAATTCTCATTATATTTATCGTATTTATGTATATTTTTGTTTATTCTGAAATAATATATCTTTGTAATAATTAATACTTGTTACTTTATTCTTAACTGTAAAGACAGTAATCTATGTCTGTACTGATAACCAGCGATTTATAGATTACACTAATTCCGTTTTTTGTTATGCATTATTTTTATTTTATCTGTAGCAATGACTCGAATAACTTTGAACTTATTTATGTATACTTATTATTTCAAGGCCAAAAAAAATACAATCTGATATCAAAATTTCCAATAACTTTACTATGTATTTTTTTTTTCAATTTATTTTCTTCGTTTTATTCTATGTACTATCTTTTACTTTTATGTTTGTATATTATCCTAATATATAGGAATGTATGTATTCTGAAGTGACAATAATACCTAACCTTTAGAAAACAAATTTGGCTGCATTCATGCGTCTCATGTTCCATGGGCGTCGTTGACCACTTCTGTGTTCTCGCTGCTCATTTGGCCCCTTTCTCTTATAAAAAATAAAATTAAAAACTAAGTAACATTAAAGATTAAAAACACTCATAAATTTGCTTGTCTTAAAATTAAAGAAACATGATCAGTCTAATTTGTTATTAGTATGACAAAATATTTATGGGTAGTCTCCGAGCCCCTTGGTGGGGACGTATACAAAATATGTACTAACTACTAACAAATAATTACATTTACTGCGATACATAACATATATGTGGCACACAAACAACAGGTGCCAGCGTTAAGCATATCCTTCCTGACGATCGGCATCGGCAACACGGCCACCACGCTCATCGTCATACCGCAGAAACTGAACGAGCAGGTAACCTTGTAACACGCCAGCACAATCATGTCTCATGTAGCTCTAAAATATATAAAAATATATATAGAGGAGGCATAGTTGACAATTAGTTTTTCAAATAATCACTGATTTTATTTGTTGATAACCTCAAAACCACAAGTCAATATAATTAAATTTTATTTAACCCTTAAATGCATGATGCGTTAAAGATTTTTTTCTTCCTTACGTAATACACTATTTTTAAAAACATTTTTTTTTCCTTCGTCCCTTAATCTATGTTTAAATTACCGGTCAATATGTGGTGTTTAAAAAATTATGCATTTAAGAGTTAAATTAATTATCAGGTGTCATTAAATAATATTTAAATGTTTATATTTTATTTTTAACACTGTTTAATTTATTTAATAACAAAAGATGGAGCCCATCATTTTGTAAAATGTTTTATTACATGGTAATACCCTTGTATTTTTATGTCCTTGCATGAGGTGGTACTAAACTTGACAACTGATATAGCACCTTTTATTGAAAGTACCGATAATTTTTTTTTGTGTAATATGCCTCGTCTATATATTTTTTTAATGTCTGGTATAGCCTGACTAAAATACAAAAAGAAACCTCAACCATACTTCGGAAATATGTAACTAATAGATAAGCCGGTTGAAACGACCTCAGGCTAAGGTTTTTAAATTCTCGAAAAGGCTACACCTGACTTTTAAATATATTTTTTACTAATCGCGATATCAAGTTTTGTAGTCATGGTCACCCCAGTGAAATGGGAAATGAGACGATGACGGTCGCGCAAGATTATTCGATTCGTGGAAAAAGAAATTTAGAACATAAATGGTAACACTGAAACTTGTGATTTGCGAAAGCATGAATGTTTTAAATCGGAAATAATTAAAAATTTAAGGAGTGTTTTAAGTTATTCTTAGTTCTTGAAAATAGTTTTTTTGGTAACATTTTACGTCCGAACTTTTAGTGTTACCATACATTAATGCTAATTTATTCGAATTCGACAAATTATGTAGTTTTTTTCTCCTTATTTATATGTAAAAATATTTTTTGTAGGCCTCCACGAAAGTTACAAATTAATATATTTGCCTGTCAAATCTCAATGTCTTGAAATCGATATGTAAATATTTTTTGGGTTTCGTCTTTTTTTAACTAGATGAATATTATTTCAATTACAATTATTTTATATAAGAATTGAATTTTTCGTAATACTTAGATATTAAGTATGTATATATTTGAAAAAAAAAATTGTAAATTATGATATTTTTAACCGACTTCAAAAAGGAGGAGGTTCACAATTCGTCTGTATGTTTTTTTTTAAATTGTCTCACTTGTCGAATCTCAATAGTTAATGCTATATAAATTTGTAACTAACAGGCGGATGATTATCTCGATTAGATTATTTATTGTGCATTTTAAATTGTTTTTGTAATATTTGTTGCATTTTGTCTATTCTGGAATGCATTTTTTTGTCAACCCTGCATTATGTGGACCAATTTTGTTTGTATATAAACGTAAATTTTTACTGCCAAAACACCAATATTTATTTCTCTTCTGTATAAAAAGGCATGTTTTTACACAGAAGTATTGGCATTCGAAACTCACGTTGAAGCTTTCATACACTTTTTAACAATGTAATCTCTAAAATGATCTGTTTTTTGTATACCTACATTTTCTTAAAGCTTATAAGTGTACATGCTACTTTTTCATGCACAGAATGTCGTTTTGTCTAATTTATTGCATTACGTAACACTGGCTTTTATATGGATAGGTCGTTAGACTAATAAGCGCCTATAAATGTTACTGAAAATTCAACAGTTCAAAATCTTGCCAAGGCCATCTACCGCCTTCGTCAGCACTAAAATGGCGTAAATCAAATAGACAGAATACCAAGATCTATTCATGTATAATAGAGATCAGTAATATATTTAAATACGTTTCTCTATCTATATACCGTCGGTAAATGTATTGTTTATCTCATCTCAATATATATAAAAAGAAAGAGATGACTATATGTTGGCAGATTGTTACAGCAGTGAAAAACCATGGTAATGTTTTCAATAGCTTAAGTTGTATGCGTAGCTTAAATTACATTATGGTTTGCATTTTATTTCATTTGTTTGATTCATGTTATAGCTGAATTTGAGATAGTTAATAATTAATTCTGCTATGTATTTAATTTATTCATAAAATAGATTATTTTAAGAATGGAATGTAGTTATTCAATAGTTAGTGACATCACAATTTTCAATTTAGTATTTTTGAAATGGGTACCATAGATTAAGTAGGTAATAAATTACTCCAATGTCAAAGTTAGGTTTTTTTTACAAAATATTAGTCTTATTGTAACTTGTAATAGTAATACGAACTTTTTTAGTTTGTGAGACTGGACGAACTCTGTTAACAATAATTGTAATACACAAAAATTATTTTAGTAAATAATAGGCACATTATCTTTTATGTAACTAGTCAATTTGTAATTTAAACTTTGTTATTCAGTGGACGCATTGGAACTGGTACATTTTAGATTATTCTCGAAATGATAAAGAAAATTACAAAAATTATAGGAATAAATAATTTTGTAATAGATTTGTAATGTACTTACAAGTAATTTATTTATTTCCTAAGGTTCAATGTATTTTATTATTTTTTATTAATTTATGCTATATTGAATTAATAAATTTGTTTTTCAGTTGCAGCCTTTATTTGTGTTTTATATATTTTCTTTTGTTTTGGGCGTCATGCGGCAGGTTTCATATCTGGCAGTGCTGTTTTTAATATTGCACAGTTGCAACATGTATACGATACTTCAGGTATTGAAAAAGAAAGGCAAAAGCGGTTTGAAACTCCGCTACAGGTTGCGTGCGATCGCATATCGACTTTCCAACGAAATCGCAGTATTGGTATGTTTAGACTGTTTGCACAAACTACATAGAACATGGTCATTGAAACAATTAGTACCAAAAACATGAATTATAACGCAAGGCAGAATAAATAATTTTTTATTTAAAGAAATACACATTATACAGAAACATTCGATAAGTCAATCTCGGCGTTTACGAGTCGGCCAAAGCAAGTCAGTGCGGCCATAACAAGTCAAGTTTGTGAGCAGTTTCTCTTAGTTGTGCTTTATAACCACAGAGCGAAGTGGTATAAACATCTTTTTACTTCCTACATATTTACCAGTATAGCAGTTTTTCAGACTTACATTACAGCGATTTGGGTTTTCTATACTGAATTTTTTAATTGTCTAAAATTACAAACGAAGCTTTTATAAATAAAAAAAGAAATATTTACTATATCTAGTACATAGTAATAATACAAATTCAGTCAAACTATCTGATTAATTTCAAGTGTTTTGAACAGTAAGCTATAAAAATCGTTTACAAAGTTTTCTCATTCATATCGTGTTGCAGTCGTCTGCTGTAAAAAGGTTTTATTTAAATTTATATTTTTAATTTACTTTGCTTTTCATTTTCTTTGTTAGCGAAGGGTAAGAGTTTTCCAATATTATGATATTTATTTTTAAAATCAACTAACTATTTATAAATTTGTGATTAGTACTGGTTATTTTTGGGCAAGCGATAGTATATTGGTAGTAAGCGTTAGAAATGCACTTCGAATTGAAAACACCATGACTTTTCACGATTTTATTTAGACGTCCTAAAAAATTAACTTTAAAAATATAACACGTTTGAAGACAACCACGAGTGATAAGCAATGTTGATTAACTCAATACCATCACGTAGTAACATCAATAACTCACTATTTTTATAAAACAATTTTATTTTATTCTGTAATATGTCCATGTATTCTATATCATTCTTTGTACATTAGTGTACTAATTGTGAACTAACAAATGCACAATCATCTCATACCTTTACATTTATCACAAAAAACTTAGCCAATTTTGATGATTTCAGGAACAAAAATGGAGACAAAATAAGGTGGAAGCGAAATCAGAATAAAGTATTTTGACATGTGACAATGTTATGTGGACTAATAAAAAACATTTATATTTTCATATTCACGGTCTTTGAGGTTTACATTACATATTATGTCTATGTAAATAGTTAAATTATAACGTCTTATTTTATGTCTGTGTTATAAAAAGAAATAAAGCCTATAACATTACTGTATATTTATTTTTCTTCACTTTAATTTAACACGGAGTCCTAATTCGTTTTGATACTAATATCCAATCATGTTTCATATTTACACATGCAAAAAAAGTCACACGTACATTTTTATTAATCGAGTTGTATATTCTTATATTTACATTTATCTGCTTAACACTTTTTTTGTCAATGTATTAACAAAAAACTAAAGTCCTGCACTTGACGGGTTTATGTCATAAGGCTTGAAATATAAAATTGGTGGAGAAATTTCTTGAAGATCACGATCAAGTATCATCGTCGTTTTCACTTCCTGAATTAGAAAACTCATTGTCCTCTTCCATCTTATCTTCTTCAGTTCGCGGTCTTTTAACTAAAAGACCTTGCATTTGTAACTTTTGTAACGCTTCCATAGTTCTCTTTGCATTAGAACTTTCAACTTTCTCTTCAACCTGTGTCGATTGCTTGGAACTGGTTTTTACAATTTTAAGACCAGACATATTACCTATTTTACTCAAATGTGCACTTGCGCTCATTTCTGACTTCATTTGCGTGGATGTTACTAAAGTTTTGCCCTTCATGCTTTTAACTGTACTTGTAAAATCGGATTTGCTTTGTGTTGCTGTCATATGCATTTCTCCTTCTTGTTCTCTAGATTTTTGCATTTCCATTACAGATTCTTTTGGTTTCTTAAAACAACTGAACTGTCCCTGCGTGTCTTGAGATGGTCTCTTCATAACTTGTGGTGAAATTTTTAGTGTTCTACATGCTACTGGAATTTGTGGGGTAGTTGTAACATTTTTAGCTACAGGAGCCTTAAAGTTGCCAACTTTTGCTGTATTAGCCCGCACTGGAACTAATTGGTTAGTTGGTCTAATACCACTAGTGGTAGGATTAGATGAAGCCATTTTAACGACTTTAGTGCCTACATTTGGGGTTGAATTTCTGACAACTACTGGTTTGTGAATAACTTTACTGGGATTAAAGTTAGGTATTTTTTGTGGTCTAAATGTTGGATTAGTGTTAACTTGGGTATTGTTAACTTCTTGTTTAACAGTTTGATTTACAGTTCTTATTGTCTTAGTCACGGTTGTTGTTATTTCTTCTATTACAGTTTGTGACTGGTATGTTTTTACTGAAACCTCTTTATTTACAGTGCTGACTTGGTTCGATCCAACTTTCTCATTAGTTGCAGAAGATGTGGATTGATGTTCGGATTTCAGTTTAGTTACATTCTGTTTATAAGGCTTTGAAGCAAATTCTTTATTAGTATTGTTTGAGTTATTGGAATCCTTGCTTGTATTATCTTCCTCATTTTCTGCATTTCTATTTGTTCTTTTATTTTCATTTAGAGACCTAATTGTTATGTCTTTGTTTAATTTTTTAAACTTATCTAAAGGAGATTTGTCACATTTTTGTTGAGTGGTTGCAGTGTGGCGAAGAGAGGTTCCGGGAGACGGGGCTTGATTTGGATGTTCATTGGATTTCATTTTAGCGTTGATTTGATGGCCATCATTGTCATCCTCGGAAAAGTGCTGATTCTCATCTTCAGCAAAATTATCATCGTCGTCGCTATTGTTACAGTTCGGGGACTGCACAAAGTTTTTGCTTTCATCTGCAGATAGGAATTCATCACCACTATTATGATCTGTTATTTCGGTAATCTTAACTTTACCAACGGCGTATTCTGTATCGCTGTCGCTATCATTATTAGAAAACCTTTCATTTTGTTGACGACTAAATTCACGTTTTCTTGTATTAGGTAACTTTGGAGAACTTTTTGTTTTCACTGTTAAGTTTTTACTCAAATTCTTTAATGTAGATTGTAACATTTTATGACTCTCATCAATAAAATCACTCAAACTTGTGTCGTGTCCTTCGTCTGTTTGGTCATAATCTTCCTCTTCCTCGGAAAATGTTTTATTCTCATCCGAAATGTTTTCCTCTACTTTAATAGAAGTTACTGTTGCTTGGGTATTGGATTTCACAGTAATATTTTTACCAAGATTGCGTAAAGCCTGTACAGATTTAGGTGCAGGAGTAGCCTTAGTTTCTTTGTTCTCACTTGCAGATTTTATCGGTAATTTAGTATTTTTAACCTTATTATCTTCTGGTTCATTTTGGTCGTCACTATCAGAATCATCAATGTTGAAAATTTCTATTTCTTCGTCAATCTTTCCATGCATCTTTACCCGTTCTGTAAAATTTTCCTTTTTAACATTCGTAGATTGTTCCAACGTTTGTGGCGAAGGTTGTTGCTTTATAGGTAACTTGGACGAAATCGATTTTGCCGTAACATTCGTCAAACGTTTTAAAAGATCGGCATTCGAAGTGTTTATTTTTGTGTTATCAATTGTAGAATTCGATTCCGAATTGTTTTCTTGTGTTTTCTTTACATTCAATTTCTTTGATGTTTCCTGTTTTGGACTATCGGTTTGTGACTTTTTAATCTTCGCTTCTGCTTTATTTCTATTATCCAAATTAACAACTTTTTTTCCTACCACGTTATTTTTTAAACTTTTATTATCAAGTTCATGATTACTTAATTCATCAGCATTATCGGAATCATTGCTATCATCATTAAACTGGTCAAGTTTAGATGTAGACACTTGAGACGTTAATGATTTAATTGTGACATGTTTACTTAAGTTTTTTAAAGGATCTAAAGCTTTAGGTTTATTATCTTTAAGGTTATCTAATTTACTTATTGGTATGTTGTCTTCTTCATCATCGTCTTCATCTTCATCTTTAATTTCATTGTTTAAATCTTCAACTTTATTATGACTAGTTTCATTATTAGTTTCTCTCTCTTTACTTGGGCCAGGTTTTGACTGAACAACAGGTTTAACTGTAATCAGATGACTAAGATGTTTGATAGCATTTAAAGTATTATTTGTCTTCTCTTTTTGATCTACAATACTTTCATTCTTTTCACTATTACTTTTTTTAGTCCCTCCATTTTGAGATTCTTTCTTGATGATTTCATTGCATGGTATCTTTGTAGCAATCAGACTTTCTTCAAAGTCATTCAGTGTTTCTCTTTCTTCCAAATTTATGTTATCATTAGTATTTAAAATGGATGGAGGATTTTCTGTACCCACTCCTTGTTTTCTAATTTTGTTTTTATCGTTTCTATTTGCATCAAAACTTTTAGTTTCTTTCATTTCATGGCTGTGGTCAGAACTTATATTTAAAGTTTTTTCGTCTAAAGTATTTGATGTTGTTTCTGTTAGAAGAGGGCTTTTTATTATTTCCTTATCATGTATTGCTTCAATGTCAGGTGGATTTTCTTCTTTAACTTTATCTAAATCAACTTTGGTAGTAGAATCTTCTGTGTTATCTGCCGATATATTTTCTTTGGCCACAGACATTTCCTCATTTTCTTTCACATCATGTGTCTCTTCACTCTTAGACATGATAATACTTTCGTTTTCATTTGTATCAAGATCTACATTAGTGTTATTTGCTGCTGGTTTTTTTACTATTTTTATTTGATTGTTACTTTGATTCATAAGTCTTGAAAGAACTTCACTAGAAGTACTTATTACATTTGATTTCTTAGGGGTAGATTGTGTTGTTGAAACAGGCTGTTGTACTTTACTAGGAACAATCTTGTTTCCAGATTTCATTTTGATAGTTATACCTTGTTTTTGTAGTTTATCTATATTTGTAGGCAGTGGTTTGTTTTTTAGATTTTTTAAAACTGGGTCTTTTTTAGGTTTTAGGTGTTTAGTGATTACACGAGTAGGAACTTCTTCAATACCTTGGATGTTTAGGCCTTCTCCAAAGAGATCAGTGTTCATATTTAAAAACTCATCTAATGTTATAGCTTTTTTGGACTTTTTATGTTTTTTGTGCTTTTTTGATTTGACTTTTTCTGTGTGATCCGGCTGTTCATCAATATCTTTACTCATTGATAGCTGTAAGAATTGATCCTGAAATTTTATTTCTATTTAATATGGAGCTTCTAAAACACCACTACACATTTGATTTACAAGGAAGTTATATAAATTTATATAATAATTTATTTTTAAACTCACCACTCCTATTGCATTTGCATCATCATCTTCAGGCATTGATGGAATTTCTAACTTTTCCACCAGAGGAGGTACAGTATCCAAGGAAAATTCTACAATTTGTTTAAGCCTGTAAGGAAATTAAGATATTTTTTTTAATATACAGACATTGAAAATTTTGAAAATGAACGTATATCAATACAAAAACTTACATTTCATTTTCTTCACTATACAGGTCTTCCGATGAATGAAATGTAAGATGTAACTCATATGCATCTAAATGATAAAATACAGCCTCGCACAATGGGCACCTGAGTACATCTTCTGGACATTGATTTTCATCACTATGATCATCTTCCATGTGTTTCTAGAATTATAATTAAAATTAAACGCCCGAGATTATTTAAGGACAATTCCGATATGATTCTGTTATTTTTAAAAATACCTACATTTAAATTGACCTTATTTTCATACTCTTCACCGCAGAATGGACAGTAGTAGATTTGTACCAATTCCTGTATATAACATTTCAAATATTAATAAAGATTTAGCTTTAACAAGGTGAGAACAAGTATCACTCATGAATTTAGTTTTTTAAAAACTATTAATTCATAACAACTTACATAAATAGGGAAACACAAAGCATTTTTAGTTACCACGGGTTTTAGGTTATAAAGGGTTGTAGATGTTTTGGGCTCTGATGGGAAGTGAACATATTATTGTTTATGGTTTTTAAGTTACTGAGGTTTGAGTTTTCGAGGTTCTACTGTTTAAAAATCTTTTCTTACCTGGCACAGGAATTTAACTTTCTTCGAAAAACCAATAGATGTTGCATCTTTTTCTTGTCTATGATAAAACTTATTATGATAAACCATCGCACAGGGCAGAAAGAAATCCACATCACAGCAATCACAATGAAAACAATTTGTCACTTTTGGCATGGACTCATGACTTGATTCCAGATGTTTATTATACAGAAACTGAAACACATAAATATAGTCAAAGTATTCATAACATTGAAATAACAATACTGTTATAAAAACCGATAGCAAAATTCAATTAGAAATTATTACATGGTGATATAGTTGTGGTTGTCATAAACAATATTAATGTATATGAGTAAAAAATTATTATTTCTTTATTTTTATTATTATACCTTACAATTTTAAATGATATTATGAACCTGGATAAGAAACCTCTATAAGCAAGGGTATTAGCCAGTATTGTTGGATAAATTCCAAAAGGAAATACTTGAATTACACATAAGTATTGCAGTCCCTTGAAATTTTGTACATCTAGGTACAAGTTTATAGTTAAGATAACTAGTGTAGCATTTCATTTTCAAGAGATTCCAAGAAGACATATTGAGCTATTCTTTCATATTAAATTAAGCCATGTACATGTTGGAGGACAGGATACAATTTGTTTTGCTGCGAAAAGGCAGTATATTGATTCAAATGTGGAGCCTATTTCAATTGTACAACATACATGTTACCCTAGGTGTTTGTACCTTGAAGAATTATCTAAGCATTGTCTGTTACTTTTTAATGTTTGCCTTGGTTTTAACATCTTTTCAGTTGTATTTGAGTTTTTTACTACTAAAGAAAAAAATTGAACACATACCTTTAAAGTGAATAGTTTTCCACACCAGGGACAAAAATACTTGGCATCATAGTCCGGGTGCACTTTGTGTTTATGTGTTATAGCCTTCGATATACTTGGAAACACTTCATCACACACATCGCAAGACACCATTTCAACGTCATCTCTTGAAGTATCGCTGGATGTCGGGGAATTATTCTGAACACGTAATTTAGATTTTGTTGTCTTATTAAACGTCGGATCTCCATGTTTTCTATCAAAAGAATAAAATACATTGTTTATAACAAAACAAATTAACAAGAACAAGTTGGTAAACGCCGGAACGGTTTAAGAATCACCTAAAATGTGTTTGTAGTGATTCTTTATCTTCAAAGCTCTCTTTACAAAAGATACAAGATAATTCTTGTACTGAAGTCATAGTGAATATATTATTGTTCAAAATTATCTAAAGATCAAATCGACAACAAGCGCACACAGCCTAGCCATTTTGGAATAAATACAGAGTATAAAAATACGTTTTTGTCAGTGGTTCTTGAAAATTCCGTTCTTCGAAAGTTTTGTATAACAAATACCTTTTTAACACCAAGATGTATTTAAATAAGTAGATATTATATACCAATTTAATACCTTAAGCCTACTTATGTGGTATGTGTTATTGAAGATATTTTATAATCCTAAAAATAATACAAAAAATGAAAACATAATCATCAGTGTTCATTGTTTACATTTGCAATTTAACTCTGTCACTGGCTCATTCAATAAAGTTATTCAACTTCCTATATTTTTGGTTGTATTGAAACATCCTTAAAAGTTACAAGGTCAACAAAGTTTTATTTGTCTTATCTAACCTACAGAAGTAAACGGTTCTTGTATTAATCACACTCACGCTAAATAGTCAACAATGTTTAGTAACGTTACATTTTTGAGTATTGCTCGTCGGTTTTATTCTGGGTATACTGGGAAAACTGAAGCTAGAAAATACGTCCTTACCAAGCACTTTCAGGGCGAACCAAAAAAAAGTGATTTTGAAATTGTTCAAGAGGAACTTCCCGAATTAAAGGATGGAGGTATTTTTTCTCATATATTTAACTATTAATAAAAGAACCTTCTAAATAAATCAAATTGAAATTTTATTTTTCAGAAATATTAGCAGAGGCTGAATATCTTAGCGTAGACCCATACATGAGAGCTTATATGATAGGATATAAATTACCGACGGTTATGATTGGAGGACAAGTAGCGAAGTATGAATTTATTCATTTTATTTTAGTAACGATCCATTAATTTAAAATATCGAAAACATGTGGTACCTTATCTGATGTACGAAATGTTAGCCTAACTATTTTATCTATACGAGATTTACTTTGATAACTACTTACTAATAAATTTGTAATTTTAGTCTAATATCAAATATTTTAGCCAAAACGATACCTTAGGTTTGGCTAAAATATTTGGCTAGGCGTCCTTCATGATAACGCGCGTTCAGCAGTGATATAAAAGGCAATATATTATTACTAGTATATCATAGTTTTTAAAATAAATATTTGATGAAGCAAATACTAAAATTTAAGGATAATAGCCAGTCGGAATGATAAATACCAGGTTGGCGGATACGTAGTTGGTTACTTCGGATGGCGAAGTCACACCATTTACAACCCAAACACGCCTACTAGAGGGGACCTTATACCCACATATCTTTTGCCAGATATAAGTCCTTACCCAGTTTCTCTGGCTCTAGGAGTACTGGGCATGCCTGGGTAAGTTTGATTTTTGTTGATAGAATAACTGTTTTTAGTAGTCCCGAAACGCACCGTTTCACGCATCAAACGAAACGCAGTAGTGGCTACTATCGTTTGGTCACGTTATTCTCTACCGACACCCCGCTCTTTCCCCCGGTAAGAATAAAAAGTTTCAGCCGTCCCACATTTTAGTCCCACTATTATCAATAAGGTGAGAGATGGAACCGCTATAAAATAAAATAAGTTTCAACCGTCCCCTCTTCGCAAAAGGTGGCAAGGTAAGGTGGTATTTGTCTCTACTTGGGGACAGAGCGGGGTGACGGTTCGGAATAATCCATGATTATTGGTTAGAAAATTCGAGACAGTGTCAGCCCCTTAGATGTATTTTTGATATCTACTTATTTTTCTTTGTAAGTGCTTTTTCATCGTTTCTCTGTTACAGTAACACTGCCTATTTTGGTTTGCAAGAAATTTGCAAGCCTAAAGCCGGAGAAACTATCGTAATAACTGGGGCGGCCGGCGCAGTAGGTTCTCATGTTGGACAAATAGCAAAGATTTTAGGTAACTAAATACTCCAAATAGTTAATTAGTGATTAATTTTAACAGTACAGAAAAATGACTATACTCACAGTCAGGACAAGTCGACAGATTCTTCACACAATTCACATTTAGAAGTCGGCTCTCACGGTAATATTGTGTGACAAAGGAATTAAAAATGTAAATTAACAAAAAAAAAAAATATATTAACTTGGTGATTACAGACTTTGATAGTCGAACAAAAATATTTAAATTATTTTTAGGACATATCCACTCAACTAGATTTCTTTACAAAGAAAAAAAAAGATTTACGAGTCGAGAACGAAAACGTAACTACAGACTTCTATAGACCAGAAATTCCTAGTTTATTCTCATAGACCTCTTTCAAAATATTGTTGTTTCAACTTAACATCAATTAAGAAGTAGACCCTCAACTTTATTTCCCGTCATCGTGCACCTCTGTCGGATCTTCCGTGAACCCCACTAGCTCTATCTGGGCATCAATGGGAATCTCAGTTATTCACTATTAAATTATAATTTCTAATGTAGGTTGTCGAGTTATCGGATTCGCTGGTTCCGACTCGAAATGTGAGTATTTAGAAAAGGATCTGGGTTTCGACCGCGCATTTAACTACAAGACTGTTAACATACAAAAAGCTCTTAGGGAAGGTGCGCCAGACCGTGTCGATTGTTATTTTGACAATGTACGTATATTTAAAGTTTTATTACATGTTAACTGATGGAAAATATTTTTATCTCAGCTATTTGAATAGTAATTAAGTGTTAATTATAATACAATTAACTTCTTTAATTAAAACCAAAGATGAGAATATTAATTACGTCTTTGACTAAACTGAAAAATATATATTATTTTGCAATTTTTGTGTAATAGAGAATTGCTTCATGCGTTTATTCATAATCAATTATTTAAAACCTTTGTTGATAGATGCAATGCCGTATTTTCTTTATAACTCAGAAGTTTCGATATGGTTTCTGCGAAGAACAAAAGATAGACTAATAAATAACATTGTATAGGTTGGTGGAGAAATCAGTACAGCAATCATGAATTATATGAATAGATATGGAAGAGTAGCTGTTTGCGGTTCTATATCATCGTATAATGATCCCGCTTTGCCGAAAGGTATGGGCGATAAGCAATTTGTGTTAATTAAAGAAGAATCAATATTTACCTACTCTATATTTACGTTTCAGTGACTATTGTACAACCTTCAATAGTTTTTAAGGAACTAAAAGTTGAAGGATTTATTGTAAACCGTTGGGCAGATCGCTGGAATGACGGTATTAATGCAAATTTGGGTTGGATTCGGGAAGGTAAACTAAAGTATGAAGAAAAAGTTTATCACGGCTTTGACAATATGGTTGAAGCTCTAGTGGGTTTGCTGAGAGGAGAGAATTTGGGAAAAGCTATAGTAAAAGTCAAGTAAAGCCTTATTTAAATAAGAGACGATATTATGAACTCGTGACTTGTACACTTTGATACTTGTATCTATGAGATCTTTTGGGTTGAATGTTTAGCATTATTCATTGGAGGCGTTGCAAAAACTTCGGATAAATCTTAACATGGACGTGGTACTGTTTTTTAAATTAAACACTTAAAGCAAACATAACTTTGTTTTATTTTATTCATAACATTCATTTTTATAACATTCATCAACATTCTTAGTTTCTCATAAATAAAATATAATTATTTGCAATTTAATCGTCTTTTGGTAAATTTCATAAATTAGGAGAGTGAAATACTAAAATAATTGGTCTGGACTTATGATGTTGAAGCCTTTGCCTTCGAATGTCAGAAATTATGTCAATGTCAAAGTTTTTTTAGTAAACTTGAATTTGAATTGTTGCTGTTATTTTGTACGTTTCAATTTTGAAGATTATTAAAAGTTACTTTGTAGTTTTCTCCCTGTACCAATTCTCTCTTTAAGAAGGATTATTTCCAGTTTGCTAATTTTTAGATGCAGAATTTGGATACTTATTAAAAATGCTATCAAAAATACTAGAAAAATACTCTAAACATGGAACCAATACAGTGTATTTAAGTTACTTTGATTCCCCATTAGGAAAATTAATAGCTGCTGCAGATAAAAGCTTTTTATACTTCGTTTTATTTGAAGATTCAAAAGATTTAGAAAAAAAATTACAAACTCTTAATGAAGAAATGAAATGCACTTTTGTAGAAGACAAAAATGATATCCTTATGAAATTAGATACTGAACTTACTGAATATTTTAAAGGGAACATCAAGGAGTTTACTATTCCTTTAAAAACTAATGGGACTGATTTTCAAAAGGTTTGTTACTTACTTAAAAACTGATTAATAATATTATATGAATTTATCACATTTACATAGTTTAGACGCAGATTATTATCATACATAGTTTTTTTTTTTTTTTGCCAGAATATCAGATCAATATCTTATTTATGCTTTACTTATTCTATAAATGATTTTATTTAAATTTTTATGTTTCCATACATAGGATGTGTGGAAGAAATTACTGGAGGTACCTTACGGATCAACAAATACTTATGGTGATCTAGCTAAGTTACTCGGCAGACCTGCAAGCCATGCTAGAGCTGTCGGTTCAGCCTGTGGGGCTAATAGTCACATTCTGTTGATACCATGCCACAGATTAGTCTCTACTGCCTCTAAAGGTGGCTTTAGCTGTGGCATTGATAGAAAAGAGTGGCTTCTAAAACATGAAAAGAAATTTGCATAAAGTTGTGGATAAAGAATTTGGACTTATGTGTCTACCTCATCAATATAAGTGTTAATTGTTATTTATAAGTGCCATATGACAATAAAAAAACAAAGATGTATTTTTTAAACCTTTGAAATGAACCTACATGTACATATTTTATACTGAAAATCGAAAACAACATGTACTGTTATAAAAGAATTGATGTAGGGTTAACTTTTATATTCTACAGTAAAATAAAACTACTTTTAATAAAAAAAAAGTATTTTAATTAAAACTAATATAACATTGACAATAAATTTACAATAACTTAATATAGGGATATGGACTATGCATATCCTCGTCTGTTGAGGTTGTAGTAGAGCCCCTGCGCCTGCATGAGCTGCTGGTGCGAGCCGCTCTCCGCCACGACGCCGTCGCGCAGCACGCAGATGCGGTCCGCGTCGCGCACCGTGCTCAGCCGGTGAGCTATCATCACGCACGTGCGACCTGCCTTCGCAGCATCCAGAGCCTCTTGCACGACCTGTTGATATTACCCTTATATTACTCCTTTCTATTAAAAGTTAATTCATTCACAAGATGAAAGTAAACAACTATACTTTTTTATTATTTTTAAAATCTGCGCTTGACCACGATCTTTACTTAAATGGTAATGTGGTCGAAGGATGGTAGATGGTATAGTAGTCGCAAGTTATGGTATAAAATTATGGTTTTAGTGAATGGTAATAATATATTCGTGTTTTATTTTAGTTTGTTGGAAATAGGAACGTAAGTTAGATCTACTTTATCGGGTCGGTGTAGTAACAAGCTAGTCACCGCACCTTTTCGCTTTCGGTGTCCAGAGCGCTAGTTGCCTCATCAAGTAACAATATCTTGGGCCGTCGTATCAGCGCTCGAGCGATAGCTACACGCTGTTTTTGTCCACCTGACAGTTGTGTGCCTTTCGAACCAATGTTTGTATCATAACCCTGAAATAATCAACGAAAATAATTGTCTTCCTTCAGTTCTTCTATACATTTTACTGATGATATGCATTTTTGAGTTTTCCTTACCATTGGCAACGATACTATGAAATTGTGAATGTTAGCTTGTTTAGCTGCTGAAACAATTTCATCCATGTTTGGTTTCCGCGAGTTATCACCGTATGCGATATTTTCTCCAATGGTCCTGTCAAACAGGATAGGTTCCTGTTGTACAAAGCCGATAGGTTGTCGAGCTTCTTTTAGTCGCAATTTTGGTAACGGTATGCCATCATATGCCTAAAAAATAAAAAAATGTTACAAATCGTATTAAACACGACGGTGATCAGTTAAAAGCAAAGAAATAGTTCCTTTGTGTAGTCCTTTCTTATTACTAAACCTATATTAAGGACTGTTTCAGTAGCTGTTTAACAACTTTGAGTGGGGCAGTGTGTGTTATTAAGATTAACTAAACATACCACTATACCGCCATCTGGATCGTAATATCTTTGCAGAAGTTGTATGACAGTGCTCTTCCCACAACCGCTAGCGCCCACTAAAGCATACGTTTTGCCTTTTTCTATTTCTAAATTGAACTTCTTCAGTACTTGTATCAGAGGGCGTGTCGGATATTTAAAGTCGACGTCTTGTAAACTGGCTTGACCCGTGCCTTTCTGAAAAGGGTTGATGTGAAATCTATACATTTTTGTTAGAAAAACCAGAAAAACCTATTGATGGTTATTGGCTTCAGATACAATAAAGGTGTCTAATAAAATTTGTAGTTAAAAATGTAGCAAACTCACAAAGTTTTCGACGGCAGGCCTATCCGGATCTGTGATGGTAGATTTTTTGTTGAGAAGAACAGTGATACGTCCAGCTGCTTTAATTCCTTTTTGGAAATTGGGAGCAAAGGCGAATGCTTGGGCTGCTGAAGATGCTCCCATTAGTAATGCTTGAGCTGACCTGAAAGAAAATAACGATCATCATATAGTAGTACGAGAAATTGGCGTGCTATGATGTACATTGAACTTATGATTACGATTATAATACCAATTCAAAAAATCAGATATTGATTGATGTATTCTTACTTAGCGAATATCGAATACTTCTCTAGGAATAACTACTTACTTGAGTACAACTGAGTAATGAACGTTGCTATAAACCATAAGCGTCCCTCCGTAGTACATTGCAGCGGAATACACAAAGTTAAAGAGACCCCTGGAGAGTCCAAACACGATCCCTCGCCAGTGAGTCGTCCGCTTGGCGCTGATCAACGCCGGCATTAGTTGGAGTGCGTATTCATTCACAAAAGTCTCTTCTCTGCCAAGAGATGCGACTGTGCGGACATTGGCTACCGCTTCCACTGCCAACTACAATAAAAAAATCATTACTTCTCTACAACAGCGTTAGTCAATTGATTACAGAATTTACTGAATGTAAACTGTCACCTTTGAACTACTCTGCATTGTTTGTGCTGTGCCGAAAGACTCGGCGCTCACCATTCTACCTTCTTTGTACAGAATGGCAAATATGACTGGCACGAACGCCATTGCGACCAAACCTACTCTCCACTCGTATATCAGCGAAAGGGTTAATGCGAAAGTGAATGTTCCGACCGCTTGTAGGACAGTACCGATTCTTTGACCGGTAGCCTGGAATTATTTTAATACATTCTTATTTTTGTGAAAATGACTTTACGTAAAGCACATAAATAGATTCGACGCTTTGTTACCCCTTGAACAGTCGCTGCTTCCCCGGCGAGGCGTGCGCAAAGAGCTCCGGTGGAATTATTTGTGTCGTCAAAGAACGCAATCTCTTGTTGTAGGAGTTTATCGAACATTAGTAACCTCAAACGAGCTGTTAGATGTTCTCCGGCTATTCCGTACATGAAAACCTATGGAAATGACAAGTTATTTTTAAGGAAGCATTTATTTTATGAGCTTTCATATTTACCAACTCTTTATGAATTCTTTTTGATTTAAAATAGAAATAAAACGAAATAAAATACCGTGATAAAGTTTGAGATTCCTGTTAACACGCCTAATCCAACGAAAATAAGCGCAAATTTTCGTACTTCTGCAATCACCTCGTCTGCGTTTGGATTAGATAAAACCTACAAGGAGAAAAAAAAGGTTTAAAATTCGATCCTTAATTACACAATTTACATTTGTTTAAATTATTTTTAATTTTCAAAAATAAATTACGTTCACTTACTCCTAAGAAATCACCCAAAATAACAGCTAAAAGAGGCATGCCACTACCACTTAATATTGAACAAACGCTGGCCGCTGTAATCGACTTCCATTCAGGTGAGTTTAGACGAATCACTTTTCTAAATGATATTTCACTGTCGTTTTCAATGTCCTCTTTTACCTATAATATATCGAGCAAGTTATTTGAATTGAATCGAAAACATAGAACACTAATATTGCTTGCCATATTCGTAAATTTGAGAATTAAAATTCTTACGTCTAATTTAGTTGGTATTTTTTCATCTTCATCTTCCTCAGCTTCTCCTATATCTTTATCTGCGATCTTTGATGAATCTGAAACAAAGGATTAATCAAATTATAATTAAAGATCCTATGAAACGTTACTTTTATTTTTATTTATTTGACTTACACTTACCCGAAGTATCCTCTCCTTCTGGCGACGACTGTATTGTTACCATATCATAATAATGTCCTTTAAGTTTCATCAGTTCCTCGTGGTTACCGTGCTCGATGATTGTGCCACTTTTGAACACGTAGATTAAATCTACATTTCTAATCGTTGATAATCTATGAGCGACGACTATCGTTGTTCGACCTTTTTGTGCCTGGAGAAAAATAAAAATAGAAACCATCAAAAACTACAAGAATTTTATTTGATATAAAATAAATGGAAAATGCAAAAATATTTATTCGATAAAATTGTCACGTATCCGGTAATCAAGGCTGATTATGATAAAGCAACGCTTAGACAAGATAAACAAAGGTCAAATACCCTGTCTAGCGCCGCTTGTACTTTAAACTCTGAAGCTGTATCCAGTGCGCTGGTGGCCTCGTCCAGCAGCAGTATTCGTGGGTTGCGGATCAAAGCACGTGCGATAGCGATACGCTGCTTCTGTCCGCCTGACAGTGACGCCCCGCGCTCGCCTACCAATGTGTTGTAACCCTGTATTATGAGAAAAGTATGAAAAAACACACTATAATGTTATCAAAACAAATCAAATATTAATTATATATCCTAAATACGCAGAGTTTATGAGGTAGATTGCTTCCGCCAATATTGTCTTCTATCTACCCTCAGTAAACTTTGTAAAGGTTGTCTGCCTTTGAAATGGGAGTAGACAACCTTATATCATTCTTATCCCGTATCGCGTTTATGTTCTTAAAGTATTGATTCTTAATAAATTGCCTTACCGCAGGCAGCTTCATAATGAAGTGATGTGCATTAGCTTGTTTCGCAACGGCCTCTATCTCATCGTCGGTGGCGTTTTCGCGGCCGTAGCGGATGTTCTCCCGCACGGTGGTATTGAACAGCACCGGCTCCTGCCCCACTAACCCGACCTGCTGTCGCAGCCAGCGCACTGATAGGTCGCGAACATCTTTGTCATCCACGTACACCTGATAACAACTTAATAAATTTAGGTGCTGCTAGCCTAGTATCTCTACTAGCCTACTGTAATTATTGCTTATAATATTATTGAGGTTCGCTTATTTGTCCGCGTGAAATTTTAAAAATGCCTCGGTAGCTTTTAATGGTGAAATAATTTTTGAAATCGGCATAGTAGTTTGCGTGTTATTTTTATTATGAAATAATATATACATACAATACATACAAAAATACAAATCGCTACAAATACACATCATAATATTATAGACTAGTACAGATAATTTATAGTATTAATGAAAAATCGATCAGAGGACAACATGATAACTTCGACGTAATATCATTGTTTGCGTTTGATATCTTTGTTTAAATATAATCTGATAGCGAACATAGATTATTAGGATTTACTACGTTTGAACATTCCATCATAAAACATATCTCTATCACTAAATTAATATAAATAACACAATATTTGTTGGCTTCTAATTAAAATTCAGTATTCTAGATGACTTTTTGAAATAACGGGTTTTAATTTTTTTAATTCTATCTTTTCTTAAATTCTATTTTTTAAATTTTAGTTATATTTAATATGTGATAGGCACTGTGATTTAGATTTAAGATTTTAGTCTTTTTAATTCATTTTTTAATAAATTATATAGAAATAAAGAATATATCCAATTGGCGCTATAAAAATAAAATTTAATTTAAATGTAACACTCACACTGCCGTCGACTACATCGTAGTATCGCGATATAAGCTGTATGATGGTGGACTTGCCGCAGCCCGAGTGCCCCACTAGCGCCACCGACTGACCTCTCTTCACACTCAAGCTTACGCCTTTTAAAACCTGACAAAATTAACCGCTTTTAATATACAGTACAGCAACGTTAAATCAATAAAACATGACTAAATAACTTTGCTATAAAAGCCACATTCACTTAATTAAAATATTTGTGAAATGTTTTAAAATTTGGATTACTCCCGGTGCGGCCCTTGGTACATATGCCCATAGACTAAAACAAGGCAAAAATATAAACTTAAACAAGAGTTTGTCACAATACTTTACCGGGACGTCTGGTCTTGAAGGATAATGGAAATAAACATCCTTCAATTCGATATGTCCTTCAGCAGTACTGGGAACAACTCCTCGGTTGAGGAGCGGATTGATGGAGGGCACCATGTCGATGAGGTGAAAGATCTGTGCCCCCGCGCCACGTGCTATACCAAACACCTCCATCAATGTTGACGAGATGCCGAAGTTAGCTGACCCCATCATCACGCCAAAAAAGACCTGTTAGTGACAAGATATTGAGGCATGTTTCCATTATTGTAACAGGCTAGGCTTCGTATTAGTACTAATGGATAGTACAAAATGTTTGCGACTTAGTCCACGCGAAATTTAAAAATATAGCCTATGTAGCTCAGCGATAACATAGCTTTCTAATGGTGAAAGTAGTTTGAGTTATTTCAATACATACAAAAATACAAATCTTCCCTCTTTATATAAATTGTTGGAAAAACATTGGAAAAGACTTACAGCAATCATAGTGTTGACGTCGTAGTTTTCTGGCTCATCTACCATAAGCTTGTAGCCGAACCAGAAGGACAGCGCGTAAGAGGAAAATATACAAAAGAATAGAAAACCCATCGCTAATCCAGTGAAGAATCCTATAAGAAAACATAATAATATTTTAGCTAAACGCGCGCACATTCAAATAAGTCCATAATGACAACTATTTAGTTAAAACTGAAAATAATAATGTTACTATTCCTATAATTTTTCGAAATTAAGGACGAGTTAGTTCCCCATTGTTGCACAATTAGGTACATTATTTTTCTCTGAGCGTTAGATTTTATCTAGGCAAAATACAAACTGTTAGGATTCTTAATACGTCAGTGACATAGACGATAACATTAATTTAGACGTTATTATCATATGTCTAGGACGTATCGTATCTTATTATTTATACTTGCAAGTTTTAATTTTCATTGAATCCTTATCAATTGTATCTATTTTATAAATTTTATCGAAACATGTACCTACATAGATTAGTAAAAAGGCCGGAAATAATCAAATTGTTGTATTGCAGGACGAATTTAAAACTATTATTTCCTAGATTTAATTACAGATAACATTACACTTGTAGAATAATAAACATTTTATAAAACATGCGCTGTGTTAAAATAGTTTTATTTGTAAGTTACCTTTTTTGATGTTAATTTTTCGAGCGTCATCTAAATGTGTTTTATATCGCTCTATTTCTTTCTCTTGTCCACTAAAGGCGTACACTGTGCGCATTGCGGACAACACTTCTTCAGCAACTGAGCCCGCCTTGCCAGATGAAATCGCCTCTTTTTTGGACAATCGTGAAGCAATCTGGCAATAGGAAAGTACATCAGTTAAAAATGGATTTCGAAACCAAGTTTAGGCAAATTAAAATCTATAATTTTCAATTTAATTATCGAACTACCAGTAAATAATTAATCGTCTTCATTAAATAATGTAAAAATTGGAAAATTGCGAATTGTTATTTACATATTTAAATATTACAAAAAACGAACCGTAAAATGTTATTAGATAAAAATAAAAAAAAACAAGCCTTATATCAAAGTAATAAGTCAAGTTAAAACTTTAATTAGCAACAAGACGCTTATATAGTCTGTACAAACATAGTGAAACTCACCAAACCCGCCATTCCAACCAGGAGGAGTGTAACGGGGAAGGTAATTAAGCAAAGCAACGCAAGTTTCCATCCTTTAATCAGCGCCATGGCGACAGAACTGACGAAAGACGACTGGTAGAAGATGAATGTACCGAGCTTCTCTCCTATTCCATCTTCGAGTTTCACCACGTCACTGAAAGAAGAGTCACAATAATTTTGTGATAAACGTTGATGGCCGTGAACGTTTACGTTAATATTTCCCGCAAGTTTTCCCAAAGGAATATTAGAAACAGAGAAATATTACAGTAATACCAAAACTATCAAAATTAAATCGTTTAATTCCTTAATTAACTAAAGCATGATATATAAAAACTTACTATAGCATTGTTTATGTAAATTTCCAATCTAATTTTATCGCATGAGTGGACACTTATATTTTTAGATAACAATGATTGTAAATATGCGTAAAAGCTTTGCAACCTGCACAAACCCTACGAAACTCGGGTGATAAAACCTGTATTTCGAACTTAGAACTACCGTCCTTTTGATAATTTTCTGCTTCAATAGACAGAATTTTAAGATACAAGTCATCCTTCCCTTTTTAAATCTTTGAAATAACTGATTAATCAAGATATATTTGTACAAGTGTCTCGGTAGTGGAAGCCTACGGTCACATTATCTGATTAGTAACTCTTGAATGATAACATATAGTTAATGCGCTTATTATCGACACGTGAACAATGTATTGCAATTAGCGCCACTTATGTACTTACTCTGTCATTTTAGATGCAAAGTCACCAGTCTGATGCATATCGAAGTATTCAAAGTCCTGGTTTAGTGCCGCTTTTAGATATTCCTGACGAATTTTATAAACCTGAAAGACCAGTTCAATTACTTTTAGCACTTATTCTATTTTGTATAGATTTACAAGGAATCCAAATTCAATAGGGTTAGCCTAGTGACTGTTAACTAAAAGTTTAAACTATTCATTTAATTTTATAGTAAATTAACTTTCGCCCGCGATTTCGTATGCATGGAATAAAAAAAAGTGGCCGATGTGTTCTTCCGGACTATCCTCTACATCTATGTCAAGTTTCATCAAGATCCGTTCAGCAGTTTAGGCTATAAACTCTACCAAACATCCATCCATCTAAACTTTCGCATTTATAATATCAGTAAGAAGTAAGATTGTCTTTTTTATGTTTTATATTTAGTTCCTCACGTGTTTTGTATCAGTGGGAACTAGATAGAGAAATTTGTATGTGATATACTTTACAGCCTCGTGGCATGATAAATCGATTTTGTCATTAGGCAGTTTAATCGAATATAAATTAATCTATAAATATTTCCGTGTTATTAGTACACGTTTGTTACATATTAGTACTTTTAATAAGAATTTTGTAAATGGCGGAACACCTTTGAAACCTCCCACTAAACCGTCGCACAGTGTTGTGCAAGTTTGTTTCGCAGCCAATTCAACAGTGTAGTGGCACAACTAAAAAACGAATAGTGTGCGCACCTCCATATAAGCTAATAGAAATCACAGCGAGCGACAGTTGTGCGATAGTTAGGTTTCAGGTGCGTTCAGGCTCTAAACGGCTAGCAGTTTAAATTACCACTAAAGGACATTTGTTACGTTATAATTTAACGTTGGTTTTGACTACTAAGGATTGACGAAGACGTTTTACATACCTGATTAAAAGCAGCTATATTCATGAGTACAGTCGCTCCATAAGATAACACGACAAGTGCAACTCCAAGCAAGCAGTTGTAGATAGCAAAGAAACTTAAATCCTTCAGAAATTCATCGTTCTGTGGCGTACCCACTATAACCGAAATCCCGAAGTCCACCATACTTTGAAGTAGAGATGCAAACAGAAGTGTGTTCAGAGGCGTCGTTATACCACATATTATTGAAAATATTATCCCGAATGCTATGAAAACTTTGTCTTTGGTTGTCGCGAACCTAAACTGTAAGAATACAATCGAATTACAAAAGAAATTAGTTAATAATGAAGTAATATTTGTAGGTAGTTGTAAAACTTACTAGAGTGAAAAATGATATGCTAGGTAATTCTTCTGTTCGCGGTTCCGACTCAGATGAACTGAAAATGTAATAAAAACGGATTAAACGAAAGGTAGCATTTTACAAGTATTATTGAAGTTAGAGCCTTTGTAAATTAAAGCACCGTTGTTTTTATGGCGAGAATTCAACATTAAAACCTTATAGTTAGAAATATCGGTTACTGAACAACTCAGTTAACTGCTGCTGCTTAACTAAACAAGCTGTAGAAGTCTTACAAATAATATAAATGCAAAAGATTAGATGGCTGAATATTCGTTTGCCGCCTGAACAGCTGAACAGATCTCGATGAAATTTGGCATAGTTGTAAAGCATAGTCTGGTAGAACACATGGGTTTTTTTTTTGTTTTTTAAATCCACGAGGACGAAGTCGTTGTGAAATCTAGTAGAAAATAATGTAAGTAACTAACGCTTTTTTCGTAATGTTGACAGTATTTCAGTAGCGATGATTGTAATCACAACAAATCGTTAGATATGTTATGTCTACTAAGTTCCTACATCGTTATGCCGCGTAGAATAAAATTTTGGGAAATAAAATAAACACTAAATAAAACATCTGTTTCGGAAAATGACATAATGACAAGTCAGATGACTGACAGAAATATTGAAAAACCAGAGATTTATAGAAGATAAAAAATTAACAATATTCATTAAAGAAAAAAATGACTCACTATTTTATCTTAATCTGGATTTTCTTTATGATGTTGTTTATATAAACATTATTTATATATGTACATAATGTTTTCGTAAATATGTTATATTTAAGTTGATTCGCAGTATTAATAACATATCAAAATCGAATTAATTATCAGACATAATAAATGGGCAAATCGTCAAACACATTTGTGACAAATTGCAGATTGTTATGCCAATGATTAACTATTGCACAATGTTAAATAATTTAAATAACAAAATAAATAATTTAAATAACAAGTGTTTTGGAAAAAATGTTAATTTTTAAATAATTACTATAAACATAAGTTGCTAATAACCTTCCAGCTTTCGTATTATTATTCGGAATATGTATGTAAAAGTGGAAACAGGGAAAAACGAAATTTAGTATTAACGAAATGTTATGTAATAAATAATGGGGATTTCCTTTATCAAAACTAGATTTAGGTAAAATGTATAGATAATTCGTAAAATTGAAAGTTCCTAGTTGATGACGCAGTTTGTGATAGCGGCTAACGATTAACGAAATTAAATGCATGCCGCGTGGGCGTGATGTATTCTGTCCTAAAGTATGAAAATATGTTCACAATTTTTTTTTATATTATTGAAAATATCGGTACATTTTATACCGTAGCAGTTTCCCAAAGTCCGGTCCAATGCCTATTCTTCTTTTAATTATTTACTCTTTTCATTTCCTTGTCATAGGTCGGCAATCAATCTATACTAGAGCGTAATACTTCTATCGCAAAAAGCTGAGAACTTAATTCAATCCAAGTCCTAAATTGATATTGTAGAAAGGTTAGTTTGAAACTGAAAGCTTTAAATTGCCAGACACACGTAACTAATCGAGCTTTTAATAAAAGCTTTAAGTACTTCCTAACTGTACAACAATAACAAAAAATACTTTGTTTCTGCTTCCATTTTTTGTTGTAATTTTAATTACGTTTAATTAAAACCATCCATAGTAATAAAGGAACGTTTTATGACGGACTCTGTTAACCACTGTTGACTACAATTGTTGAATCAGTCAGACGTATTAATGAATTAATTTGTACAAACCAATTGATTCTCTGAATGACTGACGTTCTTTGAGTCTATTTATGTTGATACAATACTGGTTATAACTGGATATCATTATTATTGGAACAACAAATTGATTTTAAAGTATATCAAACTTTCGCCCGCGATTCCGCTTGCGTGGTATAAAAAAACAAAAGTGAATAGCCTATATGTTCTTCCAGACTATCGTTTACTTCTATGCCAAATTTCATCGAGATCCGTTAATCGGTTTAGGCTACAAACTCTACAAACATTAACATATGGATGGACCATGTACTTTCGCATTTATAATATTAGTTAGATAAATTGTATTTGAAAAAGTGAACAAAATGTGTTTCGAAAAATTTCGATACACACGAAGAGTTGCATGGAGTTAAAACAAAAATCTGTCAAAAACTAAAGTAAAATATTACAAAGTTTACTTACTTTTCGTTGCACCTGTCATTTAAACATAAAAAATGCAACACAAAATAAAAGCCCTGTGTCCAATAACCCTTGTCTTAATAAAAATAAAATTAGAAACTTGTGGATACGACAAAAATATTTTAAATATCTCACCTATCTTTATCGCTTGTGGAGGCATTTTTGGTAAATTCGACATTTGTCAAATCATTGACTCTGTACTTTTTCTTCGCTGTTTTCATTGCGATTTTTAAAACTTCATCACTTTAATTTAATATCACAACTGTCTGTAAAATGCGTTCGCACTGTCCCACTGTCACAATTCAACTATCTATGAAACCACTTATCAAATAGATAAATTCGCGCGTCGTATAAACCTTTCAGTTACAATATCGTATAAAAAATGTCACAAATTGGCACCAGAAATACAAAACTCAGTATATGAACCTTTAAGAATGATGAAATATTTTTAGATATTGAGAGTTAAAATTATTTTAGCCACAAATGGGCCCATAAATGGGATGAAAAATATATCTAACAAAAATTACGACTAATTTAACTAAGTTAAATTTCAAGAATCACAACCACTTCTTGTGTATATTGAAGTTACACTAATATGTTCAAATATTACTTGCGGTTTGCATTCCGACTTATCAATTTAATGATAGTCCGTTTTATTGATAACTAACGAGATGATGAATTTATCTTCTCCAGACTTATTGTAACTATCATAATATAAAATTGAAAAAGAAACAGGGCTCAATGTTAAAAAGAATGTGAGAATAAAAGTTTAAAAAATTGTAAGCTGTAAAGATAAATTTTGGAACATATAATTTTTTAGTTTAATAAAAAAATAAAATATTTCAACAAAAATAAATTTTATATAAAAATATTTAATTTATATAAATTATTAAATACCACTATTTACAAAATATAAAAATTCAAGTTTAATAAATTTTAATATCCATAATATCAATACATAAATATAATAAAATGATACTTTTATTTTATATTATGCATTTTGAATTAGTACTGTGTATTTTGACAATAACTCAACCGATATTTCGTTAGTATCATATATAACAGTAGTTAATGTTATTCTATCCTCGTCTGTTGAGGTTGTAGTAGAGCCCCTGCGCCTGCATGAGCTGCTGGTGCGAGCCGCTCTCCGCCACGACGCCGTCGCGCAGCACGCAGATGCGGTCCGCGTCGCGCACCGTGCTCAGCCGGTGAGCTATCATCACGCACGTGCGACCTGCCTTCGCAGCGTTCAGCGCTTCCTGAACAACCTGCAACAGAGAACATCATCACGTATAAGAAGAGATCAAGAGGAAAGATAATCTTTTTTTATAATATAAGGTGGCAAACCGGGCAAGTAAGCAGGGCACCTGAATCCACCGAAATGGAAAGCGACCGCTGCCCATAAACATCCGCAATTGCAGATGCCTTGCCTACCCTTAATTGACGGAGGAGGAGATGCAGATAAAGAGGACATTTTCCCTTTCTATGCGTCTCCTCCACCGACAAATCCACTTTTCCTTGCCATCCTTCCCTCCTAAGAAAAGGGTGGAAAGGGAAAAAGACTAAAATTAGGCCTCCGGCATCACACTCAACAGACGAAACGCGGAATTTCTTCCTATTCACACCTGTTTTTTGTGTGGTCGTGGTATTGCTGGGGACGAGCCGGCCCTGCAGTGCGAAGATGTTAAAGCGGGCTCTGCCACTGTTAAACTTTCTAAGTAAGAACATGAAATAAAGAGGAAAGATTTGTATTTTTGTATGTATAACTCAAAAATTACTGGGCTGAATTTAAATCTTCTTACACTATTAAAAGCTTCGCTATCAGTGAGTAGAGCAAGGTCATGTTTTTATAATTTTTTAATCTCACGTGGACAAAATCGCGAGCAACAGTTAGTGAGTAAGTAAATAAGGTATTAGACTATTCTGACATCATCTTAATTGAAATAGGTGAAAACGTCTTAACTAATAGATAAACGATCGCGCCCAAGAAACAGCTTTACTAATTGTCACGTTATGCTTGTGCCGAACGTGCAAGCGAGAGCGATGAACAAACGATAGAGATGCTTGATCAAAGCATTAGGCTTGTGACGCTATCACGTAAAATATCGTTCGTAAATCGACTTTACAATTAATTTTTACCTTTTCGCTTTCAGTATCCAAAGCGCTGGTAGCTTCATCGAGCAATAACATCTTGGGTTTTCTGATGAGCGCCCGCGCGATGGCTACTCGCTGCTTCTGACCTCCAGATAACTGCGTGCCTTTCGAACCGATGTTTGTATCGTAGCCCTGGGATAAAGTTACCTAGTTGAGCTTATGGTATATGGAGGTGCGCTCACAACTCGGTTTTATTTGTGAAACTAAACAGTTGAATGGGATGCGAAACAATCGAAAATCGCAATACAGTTGTACAATAGTTTTTTTTTTTTTATAATATAAGTTGGCAAACGAGCAAGCGGCCACTTGAATCCATCAAAATGGAAGGCGACCGCTGTCCAAAAACATCCGCAATTGCAGATGCGTTGCCTACCCTTTATTGACGGAGGAGGAGACGAACATAAAGAGGACATTTCCCCTTCCTATGCGTCTCCTCCACCGTCAAATCCACTTTTCCTTCCCATCATTAGGCCTCCGGCGCCACACTCATCAGACGAAACACGGAATTGCTTCCACTTCACGCCTGTTTTCTGTGTGGTCGTGGTATTGCACCGGGCGAGCCGGCCCATTCGTGCGAAGATGTTAAAGCGGGCTCTACCACTGTAAAATAGTTTAATTATTAGGTTCTTATCTGACTTTACTCTTTGTTAAGTACTTTGAGTCAAATAGGAACTATATGTTAATGAAATATAAGTGAATAAATCTCACCATAGGTAGCGACAGTATAAAGTTGTGTATGTTCGCCTGTTTAGCTACATCGATGATTTCCTCCATGCTGGGTGTTCTCGAGTTGTCTCCGTAGGCGATGTTCTCGGCTATAGTCAAGTCGAACAATATCGGTTCTTGTTGCACGAAGCCGATCGTCTGTCTTGAATCCTTCATACAGAGCTTCGGCAGTGGGATACCATCTTGACTCTGTTAAGAATAGTTAATTGTTATTGAACTGGGTCTAGAAAGAGGCTCGTTTGGAAATTGTGACATATTTCATTAAAAAAATAAATGACAAATTTGTGAAGATCCACTTCGCATAGTCATCTTTTTGAATTTTTGGAATGGCGACAAATTAACAATTAGACTAGCTTCCACCCGCAACTCCGTCTGCTTAAATTAAAAAAAAAAACAAATTAAATGGGTCGCCGCGCCAACGCATTAAGTATTTAGCTTTTGTGTTCTTCTAGATTAGCCTTTACATCTATGCCAAATGACATCGAGATCTGTTCTGCAGTTTCTACATACTTTAACCAACATCCATCTATCCATCTAAACTTTCGCATTTGTAATGTATTTGTAATATCGATGTAAGCAGCAAAGACAAGTCGATAATTAATTTCCTTACCACTAGACCGTCGTTAGGGTCGTAGTATCTCTCCAGTAGTTGTATGATGGTGCTCTTCCCGCAGCCGCTGGCGCCGACCAGCGCCACCGTCTCCCCGCGCGGAATGTCCAGGCTCATGTCCTTTAGCACTTGCACTGCCGGCCGGCTCGGGTACTTGAAGTCTATGTTACGAAGACTTGCTTCCCCGGTACCTCTCTTAAAAGACAAAAAAGACTTACAAAACTTTCTTGTTACTTTTCACTTTAAATTATCGCTAGTCTTTGCAACTCAAGTCTTTACAATTATTTCAGATGAGGGATAGTCAACATATCTTCTACCTTATCCTACTACCGTGGGGTCGGCGCACCGGGTATCGCCCTTCAAATAACTCTTATCATCCGTCATCTCAGTCATCACTCCCTTTTTGATCATGTCACCTTTTACGCAATCCATTCATCTCTTTCTAGGTCTTCCTCTGTTCTTTTTCTTTTTACGTGATATAAGATATTTCAAATACTTACAAAGTTTTCAACAGCTGGTTTAATAGAATCAACAATTTCAGATTTCTTATTAAGAATTACAATAATACGTCCAGCGGCTTTTATTCCTTTTTGGAAATTAGGTGCGAAAGCGAACGCTTGTCCAGCTGAACTGGCCCCCATCAACAACGCTTCGGCTGATCTGGAAGATACAAACGATTTAAAACTTCTTTAATAGATCTCTATCTCAAATCTTACCAAGGTTTGGTGTAAATAAAAAGGGATATATCCTATTTGATCATTTTGTTACTTAAAAACTGACGAATGCTACATTTTTTCATTTGTTTTCAGGACTTACAAATAAAAAAAAAATATTAGTAACTAGCTGTTGCCCTCGACTTCGTCCACGGAATATTAAGATAAAAAAGTAGCCTATAATATGCAGTGAAAGTCAGGTCGAAATCCTTTCGTTTCAGATAGTACCCTGAACAAACGCCGCTTGCGGACAGCCAGACAAAAAAAAATTTAATGCTATTTTCGTTATCAGCTAACGTAAATACCTCATCTTCCCGAAATCTGAAATTTTTCTTTTGATATTACAAACAGACACTTCAATTTTATTATATGTATAGATAATTAGTATACTCACTTGAGTATAAGAACATAATCAATGTGTTTGTAGATCATGAGCGTTCCTCCATAGAATAAAGAAGCGGCGTACGCGAAGTTGAAGATAGACCTCGATAAACCAAATATAATGCCGCGCCAGTGGGAGGTTTTCTTAGCACGGATCAAGGCGGGCAGTAAATGCATAGAATATTCTTTGACAACCATTTCTTCACGACCCAGGGAAGCCACCGTACGGACATTTGCAACTGCTTCCACTGCTAACTGTTGAACAAAAAAATACAAACTTTCAAATACTAAAGTGTTAATATGAAGTAAAGATCTTTTTTCAAATTAAACTGGTCTTACCGAAAGGTTCAAAGCCAACCTTGTATTAGGCAGTTAACGTAAATTAATAGAAAATTGTGTAAAAGCATTTCACCTTTGAACTCGCTTCCATAGATTTCGTGGATCCGAAAGTAGCGGTGTTCGCGTATTTGCTCTCGTAATAGAGCACTATGGCCATTAACGGCACACTGCACATAGAGATGAGGCCCACTTGCCACTGGTAGTATAGTGCGAGTGCCACTGAGAATATCACTGTACCGATTGCTTGAAGCACAGTGCCTATTCTCTGGCCAGTCGCCTGAAAATGTATACATACATACTGTATGACTAGCATGTTAAAAGTTAAAAGAATGTTCATGTATTAGCGTCCTAAAATGACGTCATAAGCCTCAAATTGAAGTAACGTCAACTTTTTTTGGTATGGTGTAGTTTAAACAGATAAAGAAATCATTTAGACTTCTTTTTTGTAGGAAGTAGATTATATGCATATGTATTACAATATTTCCAGAAATAGGTCCTGTAAATTCTGCGATAAAGTAGGTTTTACTCAATGTTACTTTTTTAATGGTTTTTATAAGGACGACAGGTAACTTACGCCTTGCACGGCGGCCGCTTCTCCAGAGAGTCGTGCACAGAGGGCGCCAGTGGAGTTCGCTTTGTCATCAAAATATGCTATCTCTTGTTGAAGAAGATTCTTGAATAGTAATAAACGTAATCTTGTTGTCAGATATTCTCCAGCCACGCCGTAGTAATATACCTAAGAAGAAATTTGTTTTTAGAGTTTACTACTTTTTTTATTTTCTAAAATAACAGAACTATTGAGCTATTAATGTATAGAAAGAGCAACTAAGATGTTTTAAATAATTTAGCTATCTTAATACAACTCTGGCTTTATTTCTACTTTACCACTCAGTCAAAAAGTTTAAAAATATATAAAGGGAGCATAGTCTATGTGACTTCATTTGAAGCATTTTTCATATGATCTCACTAGCGTTATCTGGTTTCTGATAGTCAAAACCACAAATAAACAATTCAAACACTGAGAAGCGTCTTGGCGTGTCTTCAATATTAAGATATCATCGTACAAAGTTACCGGTGAAAAATGTTGATCCCTATGTCTAGTCTGTATACTTCTTAAATGTCTTTGCACTCACCACTATGAAGTTGACGATTCCTGATATAACGCCAATGATCACAAATATTATAGCATATCTTTCGATCGCAGCGAATACTTCGTCGATGTTGGTGTTTGATAGCGCCTGAAAAATAGAGAAAATAGTTTTTAGTTATTTCAACATCTACCCACAAGAAGTATTGATGTCATAAATTTAGGTACGTGGTTTAGCTTAATAGTTACACTGAATAAAAAAGGATCCTGTACAGATTGTAAAATATTAGTTCAAGTACCCCCAGGAAGTCCCCCATGATGACAGCGAACAGTGGCATGGCAAAGCCGCCGAGCAGTGAGCAGAGGCTGGCGGCGGACACGGAGCGCCACTCCGGCGCATTGAGGCGCACCACGCGCCAGAATGACACATCCTCGGTGACCGGCTCTAGTGCCTTCTCCTGCACAATAGTGAAAAGACAAATGTAACTATATAACAGTGACAAGATGGCGACTTGAAGCCACGCTCGTCCTAGCGCACTTTTGAGTTTTACTTAAGTCCGCTAGAGCGGTTGGCGGAGCTGTCACGTGACGGAAAATGGGACGGATTGAAAAGAATGGAGTGATGTACTCTTATAGAATAGACTTTGGACCTCTCAGGAAATATAACATACAGTTAGATTTCATTATTTTCTGTATAAAGTTACGGAGGGGGATATGCTTTCATAGTTATTTCTAAAAAGCTTTTGACTGATTTATTAAAAATGGATCCAATATTGCAAAATAATTATGCCTTTTTCTATTTATTTATTGGATCAATAGCAGAATGAAATATGAACTACTTGAATATTCTTACCTCCATTTTGACATCTACAAATTCTTCTCCGTCTGCTTCGTTGCTTATAACAGAAGTAGAGCGGTCGATAATATTCTTAGAATCTGCGAGAAAAAATAAGTTAAACGCGCACTTACAAAGTAACCCAATTTAAAATGGTTAATTCTTTAGTAAAATCTTAAGGACCTGCAGTTTCGGTGTTATCAGGAGATGCTTGTACCATCACCATATCGTAGTAGTGGCCTTTAATGCTCATCAACTCCTCATGGTTGCCGCGTTCAACGATTTCACCGCTTTTGAAAACATATATCATATCAACGTTCTTTATCGTTGATAGTCTGTGTGCGACGACTATGGTGGTTCGACCTTTTTGAGCCTGAAAGCATCGAAAGGTTTTTAAATATATTGCAATATTTTAGTAAATTATCCTAATTTACTAATGCTGTTCCCCAGGATTAAGTATTTGTTAGTTTATTCTTCTTAGAGTTCTCCTGATCTTTCTGTTAACTTCTGTAAAGATTCACAATGCGTCCATTACTCTTCTTAAAGGTCATTAAAGGTCGTTACCCGTTTTTGTTCAACAAAGGTTACCTTGTCTAGTGCTACTTGTACTCTAGCTTCAGAAGCTGTATCCAGTGCGCTGGTGGCCTCGTCCAACAGCAAGATGTGTGGGTTGCGGATCAGAGCACGTGCGATAGCGATACGCTGCTTCTGTCCACCTGACAGTGACGCCCCGCGCTCGCCTACTAGTGTGTCGTAGCCCTGTCATACCAACACGACGTACTATTTAAGGATAAAGTTACTATTTGAAATCTATTAAACGTGAGTAATGCTTATATAAAAGTATGCTAGATTAGACTAAAGAAAATGCTTTCTAAAAGTAGACTATAGTTTTTCTTGAGATATCTAAAATAAATGACCAGGGGATTGTGGTTGTGACCCCATTTTATTTCATTCCCTTAGATACGTGGCTTTTTCCCAGTTTAGTGTTTTATTCACCACTTCACTTCGAAGCACTAAAATTACTAATAACCTCATGCCGTGTAAAACTCACCGATGGTAATTTCATAATAAAGTCATGTGCATTAGCCTGCCGTGTTGCAGCTTCTATCTCTTCATCAGTAGCGTCAGGGCGGCCATAGCGGATGTTCTCTCGGACTGTAGCATTGAACAGGACCGGCTCCTGGCTCACCAGGCCCACTTGAGATCGCAGCCAGCGCACCGATAGATCGCGCACGTCGTTACCATCAATGCACACCTGACAACATAGATTAGCTAATTTAGAGCGCGCGCACAAATTTTGAAAAGTCGATTGTTTCGTAGCTAATTTAACTGTTTAGTTGTACAACTAAAAATCGAGTAGTGTGCGCACCACCATATATGCTCATAAAAATTAAAGCGAGACTAACCAGTTGTGCGATAGTTTAGTTTCAGGTGTGCGCACGCTCTTACACAAAACTGTGTGAAAAATAGTTAAAAGATAAAGATGGGATATTATCCTGTATCAAAATGACAGGTCAACTTTTGAATTTGTAGGAAGGAATGATAAAGCAACAACAATTATGTATTTCATCACTCAATTATATCTTAGTTGCGTGTTATCTGTTAGTTCCATATGATTCAAGTGTACCAGAGTACACGATTGTATTTTTGATATGAAATAGTAATTATTTGCACATTAGTCTGAACACGAGGCTGATTTCAAGCACTTCAAATATTGTATTCACACTTTATCTGATTAAATACATACAATAATGTCTCGCATAATATGTAACAAAAACTAGTTACCTACTCAAAGATGCGATTAGCAGCATGTTTTCTACATGATACAAATATTTAAAATATTTGGCAAGGATCGGATTTGATCGAATTGGATGAGAATCGTCCAAAGTGAAGATAGTAAATTAACCAAAAATCCGCTAGTAAAGCCTGTTGGCTTCTAGTTACAATGCAGTTTAATTGTAACACTTACACTGCCGTCGACTACATCGTAGTAGCGCGATATGAGCTGTATGATGGTGGACTTGCCGCAGCCCGAGTGCCCCACTAGCGCCACCGACTGACCTCTCTTCACACTCAAGCTTACGCCTTTTAAAACCTGTTTCATTGAAAAGAAGACGTTACTACAACTAACGAGAAAGATTTGGAAATAATACACAAGTTAACATTAAAATAATCTTACAGGAACATCAGGTCTAGATGGATAATGGAAGATGACATTTCGAAGTTCTATATCGCCGTTGATTATAGCTGGAGTAGTTCCCCGGTTCAACAGCGGATTAATTTTAGGCACGTTGTTGATCAGTGTGAAGATCTGAACACCTGCGCCGCGCGCCACGCCAAACACTTCCATCAGCATTGATGACATTCCGAACTGACCTGTGCCTGTCATCACTCCGAAGAACACCTGGAAATTAATAATTCGTAAGGTGATTTTATCAAACAGAAATTAATTTGAACGAATTTTGACTAATTCTTTAATTGTGCGTTTGAGTATGTAACTTAAATTTATGATAATATCTCACTAGCATTATAAATGCGAAAGTTTGGATGGGTGGATGGATGTTTGTAGCCTAAACCGCTGAAAGGATCTCAATGAAATATGGCATTGATGTAAAACAGTCTGGAAGAACACATACCTACTTTTCTTTTTTTATTCCTTCGGACGGAGTCGCTGGCGAAAGCTAATTTAAAACTAAGTTAAAATAACATATCACTGATACATATTTTCTTAAATAACCTCAAAAGAAAATTGTGTTTACTTACCGCTAACATAGTGTTAACATCGTACGTCTCAGGTTCGTCAAACATTAACTTGAAGCCGAACCAAAATGACAATGCGTAAGAACCGAAAATGCAAAAGTACAGAAGTCCCATCGATATGCCGTTGTACAAGGCTAGAATAAAGAAAATATTAAAAAGTCAGACTTAACGAGTAGTTAATTAGAAAAAAAATAACGCCTTTGGGCAGGTTTTACCTTTTTTAATGTTACAATCTCTTGCTTTAATTAGATGTTTTTCATATCTTTCGACGTCTTTATCTTGCCCACTGAATGCGTACACAGTGCGTATCGCGGATAGCACTTCCTCTGCTATTGAACCAGCCTTACCAGTTGATTCGGCCTCTTTTTTTGATAATCGAGAGGAAATCTGTTGATAAAAGTACGTACACTTCATTTCTGCGTTAAGGTTCATTAATGTTTACACAATTTTTTTCTTATCCGAATATACTGTCATTTATTTTAGGAAAGTGAGTACCTACATCCACGTTCTTCTTCATGGAACGTCATTTGACGTTCTTCCGCTCTTCCTAGACAATTTGATTCGTTGTATATTAAGTCATCTCCACTACCTTATCCTACTCCCGTCGGGGCACTGAGTTTTCGATCTCCAAATAATTCTATCATCCGTCATCTCAGTCACAGAAGGGAGTGCCTTCTTGATCATGTCTCCTTTTAACGCAATCCATCTCTTTCTAGGTCTACCTCTACCGATATTAATAGTATTTGAAAAGTTAGTTTAGCTAACACAAATGTATCTTACCCAACCTGCCATCGCAACAGGTATAAACGTGATAGGGAAGGAAATGAGACAGAGTAGCGCCAGTTTCCATCCCTTGATGAGCGCCATTACAACGCAGCTGACGAACGACGACTGGTAGAAGACAAAGTTAGACAACTTCTCACCAATACCGTCCTCCACTTTACTTATATCGCTGTTAAAAAAAAGCATCAATAAAGTTATTATTGATGCATACCGCACATCTTTGACTAATTTAACTATCTTAAAACTGTTGTGCGATTGTCGATTGTTTCGTAGCTAATTCAACTGTTTTGTTGCAAATAAAAATCGAGTAGTGTGCGCACCTCCATATAAGCTCATAGGAATCACAACGCGACTAAACAGTTGTGCGATTGTTTAGTCAATGATTTGAGCGTGCTCTTAGTAATCGCCTTCATAAAAACGCAGCATACGATCGTAGCACACATTCAATTAATTATAAAATGAAGTCCAATTTAAATTGCTTTACTGAGTACGTAATTACGATATTCTCAAAACACCACAAAAGACAATTAAAAAGTAATCAAACATCAATATTGAAATTAACTTACTCTGTCATTTTCTGGGCGAAATCTCCCGTTTGATGGGTATCGAAGTATTCGAAATCCTGATTCAAAGCAGACCTTAGATACTCGCATCTTATGTTATATACCTAAGAAGTAAAATATCTTGATTAATCGATCTATGTGTATTTAGGAGGTTTAAACAGACACACTCAGAGTAGTAAGTTAAGGGACACCACTAGAGCTCTGACTTTTAATCAGCTGATAGTTTAGTTGGACGCATAGTCAGTTTGGTTTAATGTGATTCTGTCAAAGTAAAGCGGGATCAAACTACGACAGCGCGCACACCTTTGACTAAACTACCACACAACTGTTTAGTCTTGCTTTGATTCCTATAAGCTTACATTGAGGTGCGCACACTACTCGATTTTTAGTTGTGCAACTAAACAGTTGAATTGGCTGCGAAATAATCGACAATCGCACAACAGTCGTGCGATAGTTTAGTGAAAGGTGTGCGAGCGCTCTAAATATTCACTCAGAGTATAACAGTAAGGTTCTTGATATTGATTTTAAACTCCCCAAATTATGTTATAAAACCAAAGTCAGGTACTTGAATACCAAAAAAATATGACTCTATTGTAATTTACCTGATTTAGGGCAGCTACATTCATAAGCACTGTCGCTGCGTACGATATAATAAAAGCGACCAAACCCAGTGCACAATTGTATATTACAAAATCACTAATAGCTGTTAGAAATACATCATTAGCGGGAGCTCCGGCAACCACTGACTGTCCGTAGTTCACCATAGCTTGCAGCACGTCGGAGAAGAAGATTACACTAAGAGGTATCGTTATACCGCACAGTGTTGAAAACAGGATAGACAGAAACATGTATATTTTATCCAATGTACTGGCGAATCGAAACTGAAAGAAAAAGGTATTAAGTAATATATGAAGTATGTGAATATATAAATGAAAGTATGATAATGTAATGAAATATGTGAATGGGTCTAGAATAGGTTAGGTAACCTTCTAATATTGCTATTGGCAGGTACACAAATTAATTTATGAAAATTAAATAGATTTTTGACTTACCAGTGTGAAAAATGATATATTCTGAACATTTTCGTATTTTCCTTCTTTAATACTGTAATTAAAAGTTTCAATTAAATGTATTTGATTTGAAATTGGACATAAAAACAAAATGGACTCAACAATTTAATAGCTAATACCATATTTTTTTAAACTACCTTTCACCGATTTATTTTTAATTTAATTAACGTGATTTAAATAAATATTGTTAGGAAATAGTAGGAAACAAAACGAAAAGTGGGGGGTAGTTTTATAAAACACTTGCAAGGAATCTCATAGGGCTCGGTCCGACAGTCCGTCATTCGCTCAAAAGCTCAAAAGCTGAGTACATTTCTAGTCGTCACCACGGAACAGTCGATATCTTTACATAGTTGACTATATTGTCTGTATTGTTGTCTATATTTTTTTAAATCATTTGTATCGAAATATCTAAAAATATACAAAGTGTGTACTCACTCGTTCGCATCTTTTATTGAGCCGTTCATACAATCAGGTTTAGCTACATCAACTGGAGAAATAACATCAACACTTTCTGCCTTTGGGCTCATTTTGACAAACAAAACACTTCACGAAGTTTCATATACATAGGTTGTACATGTGTCACATTCACGAGTCCTTTCAAACAAACTGGCGTCATCCAGATTAATTCAAACAGTTATATCTGTTGGACGTCTTAATTACTAATTAAATAGAGGAATACAAAACGAAAACATTTCGCTCTATGGTTCCGTTGTTTAAACTAATTAAATTAATTCATTAAATTGACTTGCATCAAACCATTTTTTGCGAAAAAATGACCTAGCAGTTCATCTACAGCTGTATTTTACAAATTTTATAATGTCTTGCCGTTTGTAAGACGAAATCAAACTTTGGCATCCATGCATCTGTATTTAGTATTAGCTTTTTTTAGGAGATAAGTGAAGAAAATCACGTGAATAAGAAATAAGAATGTAACAGAGCTAACTCAACAAAACGCGTTTTTTTCTAACGCACTTCCATGCTTTTTAAAGTGTCAAAGTGACCATTGTAATCACAGATCAGTAGATTTCGTGTCTAGCACCTAAATGTTATTCTGTTACATAGTATGGTATTATTTACGGAACTCTAATTATAACAAGAGTAAGCCTAGGTAATAAAGATTACTTATCATCAAACATCTGCCATTTTGCGACTATTATAATTAACATTGTAAAAATTAATTAAAGACACATAGGTAGTACAGAAATAATACGTATTTGTGGAGTAACTCGTTTATTTCGGGTTTACAGAATGAAAAATAAATATGTATTCTTAGACATTTATTTTACGTAAACTTAGTCTAATTTTTAATTTTATTTTGATCTAATATATTCTAAATTTACATGAGTTACTGAAAAATTAAACAAATGAATACGAAGCTGTAGGTTACTTTAATAGGAAATTGTTTATCTACCCTCCGTTCTAGTTTGAAACTGTATTATAGCAGGACAGTGCGGCCACCTTACTATGAGTAACTACCAAAGGTGTAAACGTACAAAATACAAAGATTTCATCGGTATCAATTACTTACATTACTTAAACAAATACTTTTTAGCGTGTTAATCACGTACGAGTAAGCTTAGGTAAAGTGTGAACTACCCTCCGCTGAATAGATGAAAAAGATCATTTTATTAACGTTATTTTGTTAAAAATCAATATTCTTGATTATAGTTTATCCACAGTCGTATTTAACAGTTAAAATTCAGTTGGCTAGCAATATTATAATATTTGTTATAGAATCTGGAGACTGACATAAGACCTCTTCGGAGCTCAGTTGCACTCAAAAAATAGAATATAACTAAGGTAAGCGTACCAGTAATTGATAGGTGATAGATGTTTCTTACACATTGCATTTTTTTTTTCAAATAATTTAATTGATACTCTGCAATATAATTATTGTGTAAGTGACGACCACTGAGGCCATGGACACAAGCAGAGAATAGTCGAATCGGAAAAAATACGCCATATGGAATGTGATAGCTCTTGATTGTATTAAATCTCGTAAAACATTTAATGCTGATCGAACTTCATTACCTGTAACAAATTATTTACATTACTAGGTTTCGTCCGCGACTCCGTCCGCGTGGAGTTCAAAAAAACAAAAGCTAGTAGCCAATGGGTTCTTCCAAAATATCCTTTACGTCTGTACCAAATTTCATCGAGGTCCGTTCAGCCCTTTAGGCTACAAACTCTAACAAACATCCATCTATCCATCTAAACTTTCGTATTTATAATATTAATAAGTATCTAAGATTTGTGCAACAGTAAAGTTATATATTGTTTCATGGAAGCGAAATTAACTACGTATTTGTGAATAACATCGATTTAGACATTGATATAGAGCTACTAAATGGGTCGGTGAAAAAGGTATGATAAATTTAGGTGAAATTCGTTAGTTTGTTATTGGTTAGTGATGTGAATATTAGCTACTGCCATCGTTCGCCCGTAACTCAACACTTTTAGTCTAAGTAATATTAAATTACATAATAAATACTTATTAAGCAGATACCTAATAAGTTTTGTCAATGCATGCGGAAATCCTTGTTTTTTATTTATGCTAGGCGGAAAAACCACAGTTTTACGATAAGACTCTTTTAATCAAGCTAAGATATGAAGCAAATAACTGTGTTTGCTTTGCCGAGCGCGAGTCCCAAATAAAAAGATTTCATTCAAGAAAACATCATGTAATTCTTACTAGTATTGTGAAACCTAGTTTTTTGTTACACTATTTTAACTATATACCGCATCTTACTTGGTTCTCTCATGACGAGGTAATGGTCCAAAATACAAATAATTCTATCTCTTTCTCGATATGCCTTCTCACAGTGATGAACGAGAGAGATGACAACAGCGGCACAAGTTGACAATCGCATCACACTGGATATCGTAGGGAAATAGTCAGTCTCAACATTCTGTAACAGATAGTTTGTATTGAACTCTCTGACATAATCTTCTCACTTCTACATACCATGAACCAGTATTGCGCATTGGAATTGAATGATTCAGTCGTTCCATATGTCCTACGTACTGGACTTATCATATATTTATTCAAATTACCTCAGAGATGATCATGTACCTCACAGCTATGTTTGTAAACCTCACCATGTCGATAAGTAAACTCAAACTATTTAATAGTATCTGAAAATCAATAGCTAGTGTTAGTCTTTGGATTATCCCCAACCATCACCACGCTCTGTCCCCACGTGGAAACAGATGAGAATAAAAAGTTTCATTCGTCCCAACTTTTGCGACGAGGGGACGGTTGGAACTTATTTTATTGTATAACGGTTTCATCTTTCACCTTATTGGTGATAGTGGGACTAACAGGTGAGACGGGTGAAACTATTATTCTCATGTGGGGACACCGCGGGATGACGGTTGGGGATAATCGTGTTGACAGACGAGAATACCAAAAGTATTCTGCACCAATGAAGATGCCCGTGTAAGAAGCGGGTGAAACAAAAAGAGAAGGAGAAATTCTATTAGATAAAAAAACTATTTTTATCTAAATGAATAACATATTTTTGAACAATGTCTCATATTCTTAAGAAAATTAAAATTTTTGCTTCCATTGTGACATGATTAAAAGCCCAGAAACGCTTGCTTCCCCGCATTCCATACAATTTGTTGATAAATGCACATTGCTCAATTAGCAACAGATAATATTTTCCAAGCAATTTTATTTCATCTGTTATATTTGATCCCACTTTCTTTAGACGAGGAAAAAAGTCTTTATCCACTTTTTTATTAGGGTAAAACCAATTATATTTAAACGCGCAATCTTCAATGAAACCCTGTTCTTTGCTTTCTCCACAATAATAGGCTAAAAGTAAATCGCCGAGACATCGTAAACGACATTCGATCTGCATAACTTGAGAAATGAGATCTAGTGTAGTCAAGATCTTTATAAGTAAGTAAACGTAGGCAATGGCATAAACAAATGGTGCCAGCCATCCGAAAGTAAAAACCCATGCAGTAAAATCACAAACACTACTCGTCGCCCAAATCAAGACGAAAAACGCAATCATTTTAACAATTCTTAATTTTATTTCTGAATAATATTTCATAGTAATAATATTATCAATTCTAGCATACTGTTTGAAATATTCAAAGCTGATGTCTCTTCCGTAGACCAATACAAAAGATATATCAACTAAATATTGGCATAAGTCGTATATCATTTGGATGACATCGGTAATTTTGATAGAAATATTAATTTCGCTGTATAACTTGGTAATCTTCCAATACAATGAAGAAATTGTTAATGATCCGAGAATAATTGCCATTAGCAAACTCTTGCAGAAGTAATAAGTCGGCTTGTTGATCTGTTTGTTCGTGTTACAGTTTAGTGAGAATAATTTAAGTAAACGATGAAGTGGTTTCAGAGTGTCGCACGTACGCGAAATAGTTCCCACATTGTTCTCTGGCACTATATTTGTTCGCATGTTGGCTGCACTGATTATTCCACTGTTTAACATCAACTCCAAGCTATAAATGCAGCACAATCAACGAGCGTTCTTCACGCGATTCTGAAGTGCATATATTTTACGGAACACTTTTTATACCAAGTAACCGTAACTAGGGTAGAGTAATTAGATTCATTTCGAACCATACAGAGGGTGGAGTATTTTTCATTACCAATGTTTTATTTCGTAATTTTTTTCCGCTATGTCGTAATCTCGTCTTTTCTAAATGTATGTCTGCAACATATAATAGTTGTTACATATTAGTTTTATTTTTATACATATTTCTCATAGTTATAGATAGTACAACTGTAATAGAATTAAATATAGAGTAATCCAAATGTTGAACTTTTTTTTTTCTTTTTTTCTTTCCTCTCACATATCTTCAAATTAATCCAGCAGTTTACGGTTATCTTTCTTTGAGTTGTTATTCGATATTTAAATGAAAAATACAACACCATGTTTGTACTCAATTATAGTACATTGTTATTGTATTCATTTATTTAAAACGCGTTGCTGTGCCGCCACGAACGATCGATAGCTAAATTTATTAAACTCGAGTGGTAATATTAATAAACGTAATGGAAAACTAAATTAACTTTCGCGGAAAGCAATAATAAAAATTGTACAATTTAAGTATATATGTATTATAAAACTGGATAATTAAAAATCTAATATTTAGAACAAAAGGTTGACTCCAGTTTTACCAACTGTAGGTGACATATTGCGTAATGATTGAATAACTTATTGTCGTGATTTCCAACGTTAATAAAAATCAAGCAAACATCAGAAATTGACAAAATTCTTTTGAAAACATTACCGTGGCGGAAGCCACTGCGTTTCTGCCATCTATATTTCCCGCCAAACCAGTGCCAAATGTCAGTTTCAACGCCAATATAATTGTTCTAATGATTGTTTTAAATGTTATGCGATAAAAGAGGTAAAACATGAAAAAAAAAAACAACTTATTAGCACACAGTATAGGAGCCCTATAACACTGTGTTCGTTAAATTGAATTCTTATAAAACCTTTTGATTTGCACAGACTTAACTTTTTAAATTGTCTATGGCAAAGATGTAGTAAAAAAAAATAATACTCTTTACCTCTTTGTAAGATGCTTTACTCTTTATGTCATGTGTAACAATGACAGCTGTCAGATTTAATTTTATATTTATGAGCCATTATTTTTTTGTTAAATCTAAATTTTTTAACTAATGTTGGTCGATATATTGCTTATTATCTGAACACAAATGCAAAGTTTCGAAAGTATTTATCGTTTCCTACAGTTAATAAAGAATAATATGTGATTGATTATAATTTTTCCCAGGATTAGAGAGTAATGTTGTCAACAGCAACTTTCTAAGGTTTTTACTAAGTTATTTGGTATTTTGTGAAACTAAAACATATAAGTAAGTTTCTTTGTGTACAAATAAAGTTAATTGAAGTAAGGATAAGGACCTAACAATGCACATGCCGTTACATTCAGTATGTTTTGATGTCTTTTTAACTTTTTAGACATGGGTGGCTGTCGGTGTTCCTATCGAAACTGCGCTGTTAAATCTGATGGAAAAACTCATATGTTCCATTATCCAGTATTTGATAAAGTAAGGTGCCATCAATGGATTGTGAATGCACGTCGTCTTGATTTTCTCGACTTGAAAGTGTCTCAAGTTAAAAACAGAGTCATATGTCAACATCACTTCAAAGATGAATATTTTATGAATTTTACGGTATGCATTTGATATATATAGTTTTCACTCACTTTTCCACAAAATATACTACTTAATTTCTAATATCTATTTTTTTTCAATTTCAGAAAGGTAAACTTACCTTTGACGCTGTGCCTAGTGAGGATGGGCCATATTGTGATATAAGCAAATTGATTGAAAACCCACATGATTTTTCTAAACTATACCCAATTGTTGTTGAAGATATAGAAAATGATGTATGCCCATTGGATAATAAGAAAGCTAATTTTTCACTGAAGTATTCAGATTTCTTAACAAACTCCGAGACACCCGAATCATCATTCTTAAAAACTGAAGATGACAAATTAAAGATAACACAATGTACTGATTTAGCTGACATTAATTTTATATTAGGAAATAACTTAGATGAGAAGTTAAGTAACATTAGTATTAGTCAAGTTTTAGATAATGTGGATTTATTCAATGATAAATTAACTGCAATCAAGAGTAACACAAGAAATTTCCAACAAGCATATCCAGTGCTTATTGTGCCTCCATTCTCTCAAATAACTAATTCTGGAACTATCAAGAACAATGAACATCCCGAAATTATTATGTGTTCAACTAATAATAATGTTAAAAACATTTCAAATACATCTAAAATAAGACCAAAAGTAAGGATAATATCAGAGAAGAAAATAACAGAACCTGTGTCACTAAAGGGTCACTTTAAATCTATATCCCCATCCATTGTGGTCAATCCAGGTTTGAATCAAGATGTACAACAAACAAATGATGTTACAATGATGCAAATGGTCCCTGATAATGTTTCCTTAAATCAAACAAAACCAGTCAATTTGATTGAAATTGATGTAAATATGCATGAACCTATAATATTACAAAATCAAACTCCATTGCCTGAACAACCAACACAAAATATAACACCACAAAATAACACATTAAATGAAAATTCTACTAAAAGTGTTGAAAATTCAAAGTCGCTACTAAAAAAGAAAACTCCCTCAAAAAGAATAGCAGCTATACAAGAAAAAAGAAGCTTTAATAAAAAGTTGAAGAAAGATCAACAATCACAGAGTGTACAAATGGAAGAATCTAAGTCCGTGGAAGTAAAACAGATTGAAAGTGAAAAGTCCCAAGAAAAAGTTCAAATACCTAAAATGGATACAGCACAAAATGGCGATTATTTATCTCGCCTCGAAGCTAGAATGTCAAGAATGGAAAATCTATTATTAAATAAAATAGATCAAAACTCACAGAAAATAATCGACCTAAAACAAACTTTCAGAACATCAACACAAAAGAATAAAAACATTTCTACACAAACAAATGAAAATGATGCAGTTTATAAGAAATATTTATTCAGGGAAATATCTGAATATTTAAGTTCAGAAACCAAAAATCTTCTTTATGAGGAACTATTTATTAATGATCAGTTTACACAAAAACCAAATTTGAGATCAAGAGTTAAACAGAGAAGGTATAGATAACACAGCGTATTTTGAATAATAAAATAACTTTGAAACTCGTGGAATGTGTTCATGACTTAATAGCTAGATTTTCTGCTATTAGCAGAAAATGTAAGCTAATTCTTCATAATTCAACATAATTTTACATATAAAATGTTTTATATAACAATACAGCCTATTATAAATGATCTTAGTTCTAAATGTAGCTTACAAATGCAATCATGTTATAATCAGAAACAAACTAAATGTGTAACAACCAAGACCGTCACCAGGCAATCTAGGCTAGATCTAGAAGGCTAATTTGTCATAATTTACATTGGAGATACATAGCTTGTGAGTAAATTGTAGAATTTAAAAAGTAACAGTAAATTTTCTAGTTATGTATGATAGTACAAATTGTATGGAAAAAAGTAGAGCAAAAAAAAGTCTAACTTGGAAAAGTCTGCCCGCCTTTTTTGACCGACTTCCCAAAAGAAGGAGGTACTCAATTCGTCTGTATGTTTTTTTTTTCTTATACTCTAATGTGCGCAAAGGTTAGTTCCATAATATTCCACAAGATGTTTTATTCACCGAGTCAGGCCGTAGCAACAATACATGTGGTTACGCCATACATTTTAAATTTGTAGGTTAATTAAGTGTTTTTTTATAAATTTAATGTAAATTATTTAAAATATTTTAAGTAAGAGAAAGTTATAAAATAAAACCTTACATAATACTTTTTAAATAAAAGATAATTTATCTTAGCGTGTATTTTTTAATTTGTCTAACATTATAAGTGGTTACCACGACTATAAACATTTTCCCCCTGAAAGGTGTAATTTTTTGATCTTTACTACGCACAGCGCCATCTTTGTTTCAAGTTTGTTTTATTTCAACACAACTTCTTGAGTAGGAGATGGGCCCTTTAGCCTACTTTGGGTATATTAGCTAACTGATTAAAAACCTTAACAATATTTATATACTTTCAATCAGAATTCTTTTTTGAGATTCCAGAGTGGAACTATTATGGTAGAGCCAGTTGCCAACTATTTTAGATGCATATAATTTCAGTCTCCGTTAAGTGCTATTGTAGCGTCTTCCCGGCTTTATCACCAATCGTATATCGTAATTTTAGTTCCAAATTAATTTAAAATGTCTACATTTGCTGGCCAAAGCTTAGAGTAGACTTCGGGGTTTAGTTTTAAGAATAAAATTGGAATCGATATTCACCTACTCAAAAATTAGCCTTATGGTCTGAAGGCAATATGCAGGAAGTCAACGCAATGGATACCATTAAAAGAACTGCGCTGTACTTCCTGTCGTTCAAATGTGAAAAATGATATTTCCTTTTTGTTAATTAATTTAGAATTCTGATTAATCATTCCATCCTGACAGTGCGGTCTGGCGAGCCTCGCATCATCAGTCAGTCGGGAAGCAGGTGTCGGTCGAGCGTGACGTGTGAACCTCATAGCTCCGCGGTTGCGACTTCGGCGAACCAACTGTTATCTCTTATCATTATAAAAATGATACATCGAATTACCTCACGAGCGTGATAAGAAGTACTCCACTACACTATAAACGGTCCTTGTTTTCGATTGAGTACGTTGTAATATTATTACGAGATAAAATCGTTTAATATTTTACTCGTAAAAATCATGAGAAATTTTAGAGTATAAATTTGTAATCAAAAAGTAGTGTTAAAGTTTAATAAAATGAAATATTTTGTGAGTTTTTGTTTGTTGTTTATCGTGCATTCGTGTTGTTGTAGTCCATGTAAAATATCTGAAAGCTTAAACATTACTGGTGGTGTTGAATTTGACAATGGCACAGTGTTATTCGATGGAGTGCAATATACACGGAAGACATGGTATGACCTAGAAGAGGATGGAATAGTAACCAGATACGGTTGCCCGTGTATTGGTAGAGCTTGCTTGTGGAAATGTTGCGGAGAAGGGCAGGCTTTCTTCAACAAATCGTGTCTGAACACAGACTATAGTGCAGTGAACCCTTTCAATCCTTCAGTCCACAAAGGAAAAGATCAAGTGGATTTTGCATCCAACAAATTCTTCTTCATGTATACAAGATTATGCACCGAGAGGTACCTGGTGGACCCGAATACTGGCAGAGAAGATATATTTATACAAGAGGTATTTTTTTTTAATTCAAAACTTTAACGATAATATTTACAGCTTCAAAGTGAACGTATGTTTTATTTGACAATCTATGATTTATTCCTACCCACATAATTTACGGAGAGCGAAAATATATTTATACATCACTTACAGATCTATTATCATTTTCATTTATTTACTTCCTTTCCCGGAAAAACTTAATATAACTTGACAGGACTGACATGGTAAGTTACTCATTATTTACACACGTTAGTCCTTGTTGGCTTATCTCTAAGTCAATATTGCTATAAGCCGTTAGCCCACTTAATACAGAACTTCAAGATGTATTTTGTATTGTTCTGTGAGTTCCAAGTTGACATATTTGAATTTTTTATATATTTGAATTAAGGTATCTTTATATCGGATTAGTTCCCAATCTATGACAATGCCCAGTTTTCTCAGTTAGGCTAATAATCACTATATTTCGATTATATCCAAGTTGTTTTACATATATTAATCCGTTTGTTAGAATTTCACAAGTTTCTTATGTTCTCTTATCACAGGGTTAATAAATGATAAGATAAGGAAATTGTATTTACTATCGTTCATGAAAAATTACATCGTTTTTTTAATCTAAAATCGAAACAAATATACAATAATTAATCAACAATGACAATTCTTTTGCCGCCAAATATTTTTCACCACGATTAACCAAGTTTATGTTAAAGTAAAAATTGCAAGAATTGAAATAAAAGTTCATATTTTTTCTTCTTTAAAAATGGACTTGGAAATTTTTAATTTAGCTGAGAGGCTTTTCATTTGGGTGCGTAAAATATTAAAATATTCGCACCTGAACATCTTTCATATTTTATACCTTAACTCCTGTTTGTTTTAAAAATGTTTGTCTTTGTGTATTATACATTTTTACTTTCCGTGTATCTATTTCTGTTACTTATTAGTCACGAAATATAAATGACGATTTTATCAATACTAAGTAGAGCTTTGTAATGCTTAAACATGTAAGTAAATTATGTTAATTACTGAGCCATTTAAAAGGAGATAATTAGAAATAACGTGAAGTCTAGTCCACCACTAACAGTGGTTTATGATGGAAGCGAGTGTAGTTGTTGAAAATCGTTTACATACATTTTGTTTATTTTGTTTTATTTACAAGAGAGAAATTGAAAGAAGTAATTTTCTTCCAATTTCTTACTTATAATTATTATAAATGCGAAAGTTTAGATGGATGGATGTTTGTTAGAGTTTGTAGCCTAACTGCTGAACGGATCTCGATGAAATTGGGTATAGATGTAGAGGATAGTTTGGAAGAACACGTAGGCTACTTTCTTTTTTAATTTAACGCGGATTCAGTCGCGGGCAAAAGCTATCCTCCCATAAATTCATGAAAAATCTTAGTGAAAACTAATTGTTAAAAGTATCCAAGCATGCAAGAAAGCTAAGGTAATAAAAAAAATTATATCTGCAGATCCATTAACCTCACGAAATCTCTGTATTGACCCCACTTTAATAGTAGCGAAGATCGACTTTGAACTTTGCTAATGCATGATATTGACCAAATGTATTATCTATGCTTTAAAATTTAATCTGAAACACTTCTAGGTTATGTTGCGAATTCAAATCCTTGGAGACGAAACAAAGAAAATTATAATTTAATATGAATTCAGTTTTAATATCGCTAAGTTCAATTAAAATTAACTTAGAAATACATTACGAAATAATGAACTAAGTCTAAATGATTCATATGTTATATGCGCAAGATTACGCTTAGTCATTGACAATCTTGCAAATTCCGAAATCTGCAGGCATTGTAGCGGTTGGTAGTTCTCAGAAACCATAACTTTATCAATATTCCACGGAAAATTACACAAACAAGAACATATCAAAGCGTCATTGTTAAATTGGTCATTGTTGTTTAATTCGATTGAAGTAATTCATATTTTGTTATCACAAGCAATGGTTGTAACCAAGTTCATTCATTAATCCATATTATTTGGCATATTAAAATATGTAAACAGGTGTTCGGGATAAATTCGTAATTCCAGAAGTAATGTTTCGTGTTATAAGTATAACTACTATTGTCTTTTCTTAATAATAATATTATTTAATTTATACTTATATTGTAAAGAGGAAAAAGTTGTATTTTGTATGTATTGAAATAACTCGAAAACTACTGGGCAGTAAGTAACCTAGGTTTTTTAGTTTCACGCCGACGGTATCACAGGCAAAAGCTAGTTTCAAATAAACTGAGATTTTTACTACACTGGAGACTTGCGATTCGTAGTATTAGCAGAATGGTCCAGTTTCTGGGATAAAAATAAAAATGTTAAATAATCCTTCACTTTTGTTTTATGAGATACATCTGGATTAACAGCTGACAAAAACCATTACATTCAATTGCAAAGAATGTAAAATCACGACAAGATAAATTGAATTTATGATGTCATCTCAAACTTTTCTTTGATATTAATTTATTTACATTGATTATTTACGAAAATTGCTACATTCTGCAAGTCAAAGAGTACAATCTAATAATTTGTAAATATGTAATGTATATAAATAGTACTTATATCTTTAAACTATAATAGTTGTTGACCGCGTCTTTGTCTAAGCAATATTAGGATAAAGAAGTAGCCTATAAAATGCCCGTCTATGTCAGCTACCCTTTAGTGAGGGACTGGTCGAAATCGGCTCAGCCGTTTCGAAGATTACCCGAAACACACGTGGCTTGCGGACAGACAAGAGGACAAAAAAATGTTTAAATGCATTTTTTGTTATCAGTAACGCTAACACATCATCTTCCCAAAATCTGAAATTTTTATTAGTCATATATATAGATAAATTCTTGAGTTAATATTTTCATACATTCATGCGATGTGCGGCCGACGGCGTTGCGACTAGGCGGAATAACTTCCTTAGGGAAATGAACTCTGCCGTAATTTACCGCTCGCATGCACCTCCCGTACAAACTCTACGTGTGTTTCAAAATAATTTCTTACTTTTAAATTAATTAACAAAGAGAAAAGTGTGAATTGATTATTCAGTACGGGAAAATATCTTACTTCATTAAATCTGATATGTTTAAAACTAATACAAATTAGGAAGTAATTTATATCAAAGATCGGGCGGACATCTTTGACTTAACTGTTTGCGATTATCGTTTTCACAAGCAATTCAATTGTTTAGTTGCATAACTAAAAATCTTGTAGTGTGCGCACCTCCATATAAGCTCATAGAAATCCAAGCGAGACTAAAGTTGTGCGATAATTTAGTTTCAGGTTTGCGTACTTTACGTAGTACTTACTGTTTATAAATGAAAATACTACAGTTATATGTCTATATTATTCTGGTTAAAGAAGTGTAAGACAAAGTGTTTACAATGCAAACTGAAAAAAATACCAAAAAGCTGTATTTGACAACTTAAGTAAACTGTAGCTAAATTTCTGTATGAACATAGATTGGGATGCCTATATTTGTATGTTTCCGTTTTTTTTCCGTAAGATAAGGTAACATTTTCAAAGTAAATATATACGTAAGGCTATGCACACTACAGTATGTTTTTTTTAGCATTAAAGTCGGTAGAATCTAGTATTCAAAGAAAAATAGTAGTAGTAATCAAAACTACACAATTAACGTCGTCCTAATAACGTGTTTATCACTAATATTACGTTCAATGGGTTTCGAAGAAGATAAGCTTTGTTCCATTAATATAATGGTTAAAAGTTAATATGTTGTTAATTAAGAGAAAAGAAATAAACAAATTTACTAATTTGAAGTAAATAAATTAATCGATTACACATGTAAGTAACGTATCCTTAAGTAATAATGTTAAACTAAAGTAACTTAAGTAATTTTAAACATTCTAAGGATTTGATGCATATTTTATTGTACATAATGTCGTTTCGAGGTAGAAGTTACATTGAACAAAATCCTGGAAAACTACATAAAGTGTGTTGAATATTTACAATGCAAATAATTTGCTAATTGAGTGGCATGTAGGCGGCGCCACGATGCGATAACAATAAAACGGACCTTGCTAATGCAACCTGTACAATTACCTTATCTATCCAATATGTACCATTAAATATTCATCAAGGACATTCCATATCCTGATGATGAAATGCTAGCTAATTACTTTTGTATCTGTCAACAAGTTAACTACAAAGACATATACAGGGTGCAGTCCATAATGCCACTAAAACAACTATGTAGAAAAAAAATAGAAATAATTTTATTGAAAAACAAGAGAATGAATGGTGGTGGTTAATTTATATGTGGTTATGTTAGGGAGAATGTGAGACTTTTTTTGCAACTAAATCGATTGGAAATATTGTTCGTTGTAGTTTTTACTGGGGTTTCTCATTTAATAATTTGCAATCATTAAATTGCATTGCTAAAGTACGTAATACACAACTATATTTAGGTTCTAATTCTTATTGTATAACAATGTAAGTTTTGCAAGATTTACAACCACAATTAGAACGTCTGGCGTTAAATTTACTTGCATACATTTATTGCAACGAGCACGCTTGTTACATACGTATAGTTCATCATACAATGCAAATACATTGCAACGCATTCTGAAACAGAATAGGATGAAAATATTTGCGTCTAAATGACAATCCTACTAATAATATAAATGCGAAAGTTTAGATGAATGGATGGATGTTTGTTAGAGTTTGTAGCCTAAACGGCTGAATGGATCTCGATGAAATTTGTCATAGATGTAGAGCATAGTCTGGAAGAACACATAGGCTACTTACTTTGGTTTTTATTTAATTCTACGCGGACGGAGCCACGGGCGAAAGTTAGTATAAAATAAAGTAAAAGAAATGCTTAATACAGTCATTTCCGTTTTTAGTTCATGTAGTTAGCTAATAAATCCATTTATTTCAAAAGGTTACTATTTCAACGATACAATAATATTATTCATCGCAATTCATAATAATGAGACCCGTGAGAACTTTGACGTAGTCATTTGTAAATTTGGCGCGAAAATAAACCAGCTACGTGTTCTAACACAAAATCATGGCGCCCATATTGGAATGCTAACAAAGGCATATTTAAGAGCCCATATACATGGTACACTAAAGACGCGCGTTTACAATAGTAGGGGAGCCGAAGCGGGGATTTCGGGATTTACAAGCTTCAAACGATAGTGAATAGAGCTAACGCGTTTTTAACTTTAGGATAATGGATTATGGGACTATAGTGTTTGATTGAGAGCATTTTGATGCGTTAAGAGATACCAGAATCTACAGAAATATCCCTTTAGAGATCAATACAAAATTGAATAACAAGCGTAAATCGATTGAATATTGCTGCTCACTCGTAAATCATTGGATAAAGAATAATAGAGTGGGTCGATTCTAAGTTGTTTCTTTCGAAATTGCTTTATTGTTTTACTTTCTGTAATAGTAATTAAAAAAACCTAAATTGTCATATTTTTACGATATTACAACACGTAAATCATGCCAAACCTTCATACATGATATAAAATCACTTTTCCATTATTTCAAGGCTATTTTTTAGCGTTTTTATCTGGAGAAATGTTTATTTCTCCTGAAAAAAATAATCACTGACCCTGACGCGTATTTGCACGTCCTTTATACGTTCAAAATATCTCGTATGCAAGCTCTCTAAAACAATCTCAGCTCAAATATTGTTTATTGTTACGCCAAGCTTGTTATTATTTCGTGGGCTTGCGTTTCGTGAGAATAACCGTATGTCTGAAAAACTTAATACGATAATGGCGTTTTGAGGCACTTTTGATTAAGTGTTTTTATGTTTTCAATGTAATCATAGTACTGCAAAGAGTGTTAAGAACCTTTGAAACGAAATTAGTTTGCGCATGCCAAAAATAATAGTTGAATACTGTGTTGTTTATTTTATCAACGGTTTTGTGTCCAAAATAAGAATCGAGATTTAATATGTAGATGTGTTACAATAGGCCAGCGAAATAAATCTACTGTCCTAAAAATAATTCCAGTGCTGTATTACTGTCACAGAGTAACTAGTTATCTCTAAAAATTGATCTCTATACTAAATATTGGACGGACAACCAACCGTTATCATCGCTAAAAGTGTAAAATTTTGTACCAGTTAAAAAGCTGAATGGCCCATGAGGGGATCGAACCCGCGACCTTCGCGTTATTAGCACGACGCTCTAACCAACTGAGCTAATGGGCCGGTTGTATTTTTCAAGCGAAAAGAAAAGGTCTTTTCAGAAATTTATTTAGTCTTTTTGCCGGCAAATAACAAATACATGATGCTACTTTATCTAGAAATAGCTGTGGCTCGCGACTTCACCCGCGTTAAACATAAGAAAATATAGCCTATGTTACTCACCGATAAATTACCTTTTTAAAGGTGCAGGAATTTTCATAATCGGCCCTGTAGTTTTTGAGCTATTGTAATACTTACAAAAATCTAAAAATACAAATCTTTCCTCTTTAAAAGATAGAAGATTAAGCCAAATGATAAGTGAACAACTAGCGAATGCTTTTGCCTTTCAAACTATGAATTGATAATAAACTTACGAGACAATGTTCTATCGAAAGTAAGACATTGAGAGTGGGTGTCCTTTCGTATCAAATTTAACATTATTAAAGCGTCGATTTGCATAAGTCTTGAGTAAATTATTTTGACTTACTGCCAGAATACATCAAATTCTTCATAGCAATATAATTGAGGTACAGATTTGTTGTTATAACACATACCCTGAACATTAGTGGCGGTAAACATACGTTGTTTTATGTGTTTGTTTATATAATAGATTGTTACGAACATATATACTTAGCCATCGAGTAAATAGCACCAGAATTATCCGGCTTTAACCGCAACACAACAGCGATTAGCTTTTTTTAGAATAGTACTTTAATGGGCGAGGGAGAGGAAACTACGATCAACAGATGAATGAACGTCGAAAGAACTCTTCGTTCAATTATATGTTCGTTTGATTCTTATTATTTAATAGGTATTTAATTAGATCATTTGAATTATACGCACGCTTTAAATATAATTTTGACAATAGGTTATGGCTCCATAAAATTGTTAATTGTCACTTGACATAGGAGTTGAGGCACACGGGGCAATAATCAGTGCTATGAACAATGAAGGATGACGAACATCGGTTAAAAATAGATATCTAATAGGCGACCTCGAAATTAGCATTATGATATCTGTTTTACTAAGCGAATTTCATTTATAAGGCTTACATAAAGAAGGTTTCTATTCCCGCTTCCAAAAAGAGTCGAAGATCTCTCTTTTTTGCATCAATGACGTATTTGTGTACGTAAATTACTATTCTCATTGAAGCTACACCAATTTGGACATAATTTTGGCATGCTCTATACAACTCATTAGACAACCACATAAGTAAATTATAAGGCAATTTCAAAGACAATCATATTAGTTAGTATGATTTCGTTTTATTTTTTATTACCGTAATTACTGGAATGAAATGACGCGTGAGTAGTCAGTACTCCTATGAATTAAAAACAATTTATTTTATAATTCTTACAGTGACGGAAAATCCAATGTTTTTTTAAATCCACAAAGCCAGTTATAAAACGAAAAGCGGAATTATTTTCCAATCGTCTGACGTCCGTTTTGTTTTTTTGAATGGCAGAAACATGGCTGATATTTCACATCCGGTCGTCGATCGATTTGTTTTACATGTCTGATCTAATGCATTTACGTTTTAGATAAGACAAACAATATTTAAAATAATAGTTAAACCGCCCACCCGGAACTCACGCAAGTATTTGAAATGCTCATATTTTAATTTCCCACGCGAAAAAACAACCACATGGGATTCTTTATCTAATAAAATAATTCATCCTGTTGTGGTTTTTGCAATATACTGGTGTAAAAAAAATAGTAGTTGAAATTTAACAGACGAATCGCTTATTAAATACTAATAACTATAGTAGAAGTAATTTAATTCCTCTACTAATCTTTTTAAAATTCGAATCATATTTGGTATCATATTAACGCAGTAAAGAATTTCTCCGTACTCTTGAAATGAAATAAATCAGGACTGATATCGTATAATTTATATTTAAACATTTTTATCAATGATGCGAAATTATTATGAAGTAACACTTACGAGCGTCCGTTTCGATAATCTTATCAAAATGACCGAAATTGCTACATTGGAAGTGTATCATTGAAGCAATTTTGGCCTTTTCGGCTCTGCAATTATTTTGTTATCTGTACATTATGAACTTTTTAATTAACCATGATAGTATATTTAATTAAAAAAATGGTATGACTCTGCCTTGTACGAATTAAAAAGAATGTATACTATACCCCAATAACCTAAATGCCTCCAGTACTAATAAATCGATTCTAATCGCAATTAATAAATCAGCAGTTGCAAGAAATCGGGGCCACAACCTCTAGCGGTTAAAAGGTGACAATATCACCTTCGCAGTGTCAAAGTGCTACGAGGTTTTGTAGTAATGATATCGTAGCAAACCTCTACGATACTTTTCGCATTACACTATCAAAATGTAGAGGTTTTTATAGCATTATTTTGTATCAATACTCGTAACATAAATAGAAATATTTGTTTGTAAAATAATTTAATAAATTTAAACTAAGTACTGTAGGTAAAAAAATCTTTTGCCTTATTTATTAGTGAAAAGTTTGGGCTTGAATTAGAGTATTGTTATGTACATTTATTTTTTGACATACTTCACTACCTTCAACAATTTATTAGTTATAGAAAATAAGTTTTTTTCTTTTTGACCGACTTCCCAAAAGAAGGAGGTATTCAATTCGATATGTTTTTTTTTATTTTTTTTTATGTGTGTTACGGCATACCTCCGCTGCTAGTTGACCGATTTGGATAATTCTTTTTTTAGAATGCGAGTCTTTACTTGTCGACACCGAGAAGCGAAGTATGGCTCGATCCGTCGAGATACTGCGTTGATATGATGACCAATACAAATGATGATTTTCGCATGGTGGCGCTAGTGTGCTATCCCGAGAAGACGCCAGAAGATGATAGCCCAATACTCTATATCACATATGCCATTGGTAAGTAATAAATATATAACTAGGTAAATGTACTTAAACAAATTTTCAGTTTTCATCTTCCATAACAAGATATAATTTTTCAATCTAAATATATTTTATGTCGTATTTTATAACACATCGGAAATTTAATATCCTTGATACATTTTAAGTTCATTTTGTTGCCGGTTGTTAAACACTTGTAAGCTGACAGTTTTAGAAAAATAGCTTAATTGTAGGCTTAGGACGACAAAAGGCAGGTTATAACCGTAACGGAAATAAAATATGGCTTGGGCAGGTGACCTTTTATGGTACCTTCGTAGCAATTAGCGTAAAACGGACGTCCTCTGATATATGCAGACGTGATACAATGCCTAAGGGTACAGTTATTTTAAAAAAACAAAGTTCATTCATATTAACAGTACAAAATTATATTGATCCTAAGTGATATGCGCATTACGAATTAATTATTTTTTTTAGAATAGAAATCAAACAAATAAAGTATCTAAATTATGTTAATACGTATATTTTTAAATGTAGTTATTAAAAAATATCTTGATACTATACTGTTTTACCATCCACTATAAAAAGTTTTGTTTTCAACAATTAATCCATGGGGATCTTTATCAATTTATTAAGTACTTTGTCATAATGTGTACCTTTAGTGTGATCAGTTTTGATGTCATCCATCAAACTCGTAGTCTAAACGTCCAATATTACGCCTTCGTTTAAGTTAATGGGCAATTTGCTTTTACGACGAGCCTACGCTTTTTTATTGGGGCTTAATTTTGTTTGCTAACGATTCGGTTATTTCAATAGACGAAGACTACGGCAGTAGGTAGTGACTTAAACTATTAAAGACTAGCTGTTCCCATTCGACTTTATCCGCATGAAATTATGAAAATTTTATTTTATTGTTTTATTTGTCAAATTATCAAATCACAACTACAAATTTCAAAATGACATGACATGAAGACAACCTTGCTTACTTGATGTTGGCAGCAACTTATGGTCTCTTTCCCACATTAGGGTTTTTATTTTTAGTTTATTCAAAATATTTATCCCCAAGTTTAATAGTGTGAAAATATATAGCCTAAAGCGTGACGTATGAGTTATTCAAAAATATGCTGTAATTGCTGACGTCTTAGGCAACAAAGAAGTGTGTGTTTACGCTTTATTATGATAGTAAAGATAGTCTAAAATTATAATTTTGAAAATGATTTGTCCATGTATGTGTACCCTAATATCAGATATTATTCAACTAATTTTTGTAAGTTAGAGTATAAGGCTAAGTTCACATATGCCGTTTGTTTATGCTACCTCCACCCTACACTGAGCCGTCTACAAACAAATTTGTTTCATAACTCAGCGTCTAACACATCGCTAGGTAACCTAAACCGTTTCCCGCTATCAATATCGGTTGTGGAGTTGACGTGGTTGTATGTCAGGAATAACACTCGAGTAATGTCGGTTTTTAATACCTTGTCTTTATGACATACTTTAACAGCTGTCCTTTGAAGTGTATAAATGCTTTATTGCATTTGTTTTATTAACATATCTTTTGATTGTTAAGACCATGAAGATATTATGTGACACAGGTCTTGCATGATCATTTAAAGTGGTAATATTATAGTTTTCGCCTGTGATGATTTTATAAATTAAATATTAATTACCTCTTTCAAATGAACGCTTAAGTTATGTAAAAAAAAGAACATCTACATTTGAAATATCTATACTTCTATACTATTATAATGACGCGTAAACACACACTTCTTTGTTGCCTAAGATGTCAGCAATTTTGAAATAATTCTTTTTTTAATAAAAAGCCTTACATTTACGTAACGCTTTAGGCTATATATTTTCACGCCATTAAACTTACTGGATAAATATTTTGGATAAAACCACTACTGTGGGAAAGGGACCATAAGTTGCTGCCAACATCAAGCAAGCAAAATTTCCATAGTAAGGTAATTGGTATTTGGACATTTGAGAATTTGATAGATGTAAATAATTATTAAATAACGTTTTTAATTTCATGCGGATGAAGCCGCAAAGGGACAGCTAGAATCGATATAAAATTAGTAAAATGTTTGTAAAATGTTTGACTGTCTGATTAAATTTTGGATTTGAACAAATTATAGAAATTTTTATATTGTTTCAGGGCTTATGATATCAATTCCCTTTCTGTTGGCCACGTTTCTGGTATACGCATTCATCCCCGAGCTTCGGAACCTGCATGGTATGTGCTTGATGGCGTACTGCGGAGGCTTGATCGTTGCCTACACGTTCCTGGCTTATCTCAAGCTCCATTCAGGCAAGATTGGAGTTGCCATGACTGGTTGTTATATCATAGGTAAGTTATTGACGCATTTTTTAATTACCTTAAATTTCCCTAAGCGTAAGGATAGGTTAGAAAATTTTACTTATACGTAATTATCTACAATTTATTACTAATTCTTTTTATCGAGTTATTTAAGTTTTGTATAAAACATAGCATGAATTCGCTCAGTTATTGTAACTAATATAGTGACCTACTAAAGTACATGCGATTCTAAAAAGCTGTTGTCGGTCATAAAATGAACTGACTGAAAAATTTACAGCCTTACACATGTGACACGCGAGCTTATGTCACGCAAATCACGTCTAACAAGTAATCAGTACAATTAACGTGGACACACCTTGCGGTAATAATTTTTTTGCTAGTTAATTACGATGAGTTTTAATTTAATTACAACCCTTGGGTGCGGAGAAAACACAATGGACAGTCGTCTACATAATTACATAGAAATCTAATTGTTATTTTATTAGTTAAACATTAGTTAACGGAGATGGTCCAAAATGATATAGAAACCAATTGTTATTGTTTTCATCTCAAAGGTAGCCTCAGATTTAGTCTATCTGTATGCCCTCGCCACAGATAATTCTTTTCTTTTTTAATCGTAATGCTATCATATAAAGTCTAGCGTAAAGAATAGCGACATATTTCACCCATCATCATCATCATCATCATCCACTTGCCCTTATCCCTTATGGAGGGTCGGCACAGTATGTGCTGCTCTTCCATACATCTCTATCAGCCGTCATATCTGAATCCACTCCTTTCTTAAGCATATCCTCTTTCACACAATCCATCCATACTTTCTTCGGTCTTCCTCTTCCTTTGTAGCCATCCACATTCAATCTTAACACTTTCTGGTTTATGTCCCCATCATTTCGTCGCATAACATGTCCATACCACGCTAACCTTTTGCTTCTCAATTTCTCCACCACTGGCGCTACTTTCAAACTTCCTCTAATGTACACATTCTTAACTTTATCCATTCTTGTCACACCACACATCCATCTTAACATACGCATCTAAGCCACATGCAATCTCTTTTCATCCGCAACTTAAAATATATAAAAACCCTAATGAATTTTATTACCTTGAATACGTTATGAATTTTTCCATTTGTCAGCTAGCTTTTGATATTTTTGTGGTAATTAGGCACACCCATATCATCGTCCCGGAATCGTTTTACGACTATTTACGTTTGCGTAACGTTTTTGATTTCCGCGACATGACAAACCTTGTTAACTTTGCCATTACCTGAACAAACTTCGTGGAAACAGTTCACTAAACTAACTCATTACGTATCGCAATCAAGGGGTATGTTTACTTCCTTTGATATTAACTTAATGATAGTTCAATTTTGGCTTTTTCGTTTCTTTATCTATCCCTAACACTAAGAACATGCCCCCACCTGGAACTAAACAATCGCATAACTGTTTAGTCTCGCTTTGATTCCTATGAGCTTACATGGAGGTGCGCGCATTACTCGTTTTTTGTAGTGCGACTAAATAGGTAATTTGCTGCAAAATAATCGACAATCGCAAAATTTTAGAAGTACAAGAATATTTACCGCAACGCTATTTAGATTTAAAACGAAGTTGTCGATGAAAAGTCTCGATCAATTCAACAAGATCGAGTAATTTTAGAATCATATTTGTTTTTTAAACACAACAAATAGGTCAAGATGAAAGAGATTGATGAATGACATCCACCGATTGGGGACGACATTGCGAAATCATTTGCGAGCTGCTTTTATTTGCTTTTTTAAGTATCAGCAATGATAGATACGTCAATGACCAAAAAAGTGAATATAGCGGTGTTTAGTAATAAAATAACATATGCTTTTCTAGTACTTCTAACAAGCTTAGTTATCAGGATCGATGTAAGAATATCCGTAATTTGCACCTATCAGGGAGCCTGATATGTTTATTTATAATCGTGTATTGCTTCATAGAAACATTTTAGAGCCTACTATTGGTACTTATGCTCTCACGTTTTCTTTCTGTGTTTCCCATTAATTTTACTCTCCGTAATATTTATTTACGTTTTCTTATCTATTTTTCAGCGTTCATAGTTTACTACGCATTCCAGACGAGTTTCTTCTGGCTGAATGTAATGTGTTTCGACATATGGAGGACGTTCAGGTGATTATCGTTTCATTGATTTCGTTGAAATATAAACAAAACCCGTCTGATATTTATGCTGATGGAATTCTATAGATTTTTTTTATTAATCAGTAAAAAATACTTTCAACGATGGAGAACAAGCAAGATTTTAAAATAAACAAAGAGAATTCTTTGTTGATATTGTGTTTATCACGTAACCTAGTTTTATTGTGAATCTCATTTTTATTTTGGATTCGCCCATTTATTTACCACAGATTATATCCTGGAGATAAAAATTTTAATTGTCTGTGGTATAATTAAAGTTTGATTACCATTGTATTACAGAACAGTGGTGCCGATCAACCACGACTACACGGCCACACTGTAGGTCTCGATATGCCTAGCTTGCAGGTCGATGTCCATAACTAGCATGCTGATTAGTTCGGTAGTGTTGCTACATGCTCGATACTCTATACTCTATGGTACAGTTTATCTATGCTCTTAGATGTTTCGTCTGAAAAGTTCTGATTATAACATAGAGACATAAAATTTTTCTTTTAAACAAAAATATCTGTTTTAAAAACACAACTCTTTTAGATTGTTTAATATAGAACCTTTTACGGGGGCTGTTAGTATAGAACTGTAAAATGTAGATTTTAATTAGCGTCTTTTTCTACTCTTATTTTTCACGTAGAGTTTTAACTGTAGTAAATAGGAAAGTACGAGGTAGTTAATTTAGTTGAAGTTTTTTGCTCAATGTTATAAAACATTCGACGTTTTTATTACTTCTTTAGTAAGGAGTAACTACATGTATTTTCAATAGACATAATATTAAAGAAACATCAATTATAATTAATTATATACGGCTTACTCACGTATACTTTTTTCTTCCGGTGACGGCACCGGCAAGTATACGTGAGTAAGCCGTAAATAATTAATTATAAAATGTCTCAAGAAAGTTTAAATAATTTAAGAAACATCAATTGTTCGTGTATAACGTTACAAAATTTTTAAAATGGTTTTAAAAATTGCCTTCGTTAATTAAGATCGGATAAGATTAAAATACAACTGGAGGAATACAGGTCATTTGAGGTATATCTCTAACACATGGAAATGGTTGTCAATGCTACATATTTAAAAAAAATATTAAAGAAAATTAAATAAATAATTTAAAAAAAAATTAGCATGAACAGTTATGTCGTAATTAACAAAGCATTGCACAAAACTATTGTAAAGTGTATGTATGCGATATAATTGTATGAATATTTGTTATGAATGGAATAATTAGGTTTTCTATATGCTTGTTTATGCAAACCAACGGAAAAAGGACTGGAGGGTTAACCTCATCACAACAATCAAAATGGTAAGGTTATAAATAAAATAATGGACCCTTAGCGTCGTACCCCTTGCACACTCTGTATAAGATTACCATGGGTATAGTCCAATACTTCACCATCGGACGCAGATCGAATGTTCTCGAATAGAAGGAAACAAAATATTGGATATATTACGCATGGGTAAGGAAGAAATAGAGGGCACCTGACCCCCTACTCAAGACGACCGAAATATATAACACGACATCGAAATACCCAGATTCTTGCAATGATTAGATTCACGTAGATAACTTAAAAACTACCAGTCTATTCCTTGTTGATAAGCATTTTCTTTGGTATAATAAAAAAATAGTATTAGTACCCGCCTATACTAGACTAGATCATCTTCTGGTGTCAAGGTTACGGCGATCCATTCTATTATGCTTGGTTTTGTAACAATTGTGCCAAGAATACCTTTAGTGCAGACAAAATTAAGATCAAAGCTTCGGTTTTGTGGTCAACATATTAGTCATAGTTAAATTATTGGCGTCAGCGAACAAACGTCAATGCGAAACAATTGCATAAACATAAATTTCAAAACAAAAAACATATTATTCTTAATACAAATTTTGTTTGCCACAATAAAGTCAGTGTGCCAATGTTAAATTAAAACCGTCTGTGGTTTACATTTGTGAAAGCTTATTTTATTCTGTTAAACAGCACGTTTTTATGCATTACGCATAACTGTGGGCTTCCACTACCTTAATGCCAATATGGGAGACCGAACTGAGAAAACTAAATAAGAAGTTGACTGAACAATTTCGGTTTTAATTACATTTTCTTGTATATTTTTATCTTTATTGTAATATTATTTAAAGTAACTTTTTTTTCATACAGCGGTTACCGTGGCAGCAGTAACAAACGTCGAGAGAAGAAACGCTTCATTCTCTACGGTGCATACGCGTGGGGTTTACCCGTTATTCTCACTGTCATCACGATTTCTATGCAATTCGCTGAAGTGCCCGACAACATAATTACACCCGGCTTCGGCGATATGAGATGCTGGTTCACAAGTAAGTTTAAACTAGATCCCATTTAAAAAAAAAAGTACTGTTAAAAATACTTTTAATACCGACAATAAAGATAAATTCATCAATATAAGCGCCAATAGTCTAGAGGTTTAGGGTTCGGACTACGGATCTTGCGGTCGAGGGATAGAATCCCGCCATTCGACTAATGTCTTAAACCATATTCTAGCACCAAGCCTCTAGACCTTAATCGGCATGGTTAAAGGAAATATTAGTGCATTAACAAAAATCTACTGATATTTTAAAAAAAATCAGTGTCCAAAAAGGTTTTTTGGAGCCTTTTTGGACAAATTCAAAATCAACCTACTAACATGCATATCCCGCATCTTTTGTAAGTGAAATCCTTGTTACAGACTGGTTGAGCGAGTTGGTGTACTTCCTATCCCCTGTGCTCGTACTAGTCGTGTGCAATGTTGTGCTATTCTCTGTAACGGCGCACCGCATTCGCTCCATCAAGCAGGAGACTGCAATATTGAAAGGCGCGGAGTCCGCAAGGAGTGACAAACTGAAACGGGACAAGCAGAGGTAAGATTGGTTGCGTGAACATTCTGTTCAAAGTAATTTCGCCTACCAACAATATTGCTTTCGATGGATAGACTTAGGTACAAAATATTTGTTTTTACAACTGAATTTTAATTCTTCAATTCAATTGTCACTCTCTACTTAATCAAGGAACCTTTTTTGCAGTCCATCTCTTCTTTAGTCTATCCCTATCGAAGTATCCGTTCACATTCTTACCAAGTTAACAATATGTTTAGTTGTTAATGTTGTTTGTCTCAGGTTCGGACTCTATCTCAAGCTATTCATAGTGATGGGCGTGAACTGGACCGTGGAGATAATCAGCTTCTCCGTAGGCGGCTCCAATTGGTACTGGATCCTCATCGACATATCGAACATCGCTCTCGGTGCGGTCATCTTCCTTATCTTCGTTTGGAAGAAGAAAGTCCGCAATTTAGTTGCGAAGAAGTAAGTGATACAGCTTCTAGTGTATTTATTAATCTTCTTTACACATTAACAATAGTAAAAAATAAACCTTTTCGTACTCGCATATCAGTAAGACGCTAATTAATGAATTCTCATCGTACTAAGTCATAACAGTTTTTTACTGCATCAACAATACATATCAGATTGCAGAGCATTTCGATTTTGTTAAAATCGAATTCGAACGTTAACTTCAAATAGACACGTCTGTCTTCGATTTTTAAAAGACTGAAATAGATTTAGCTACATCTAAATGTTAAGCGTTTCCATCTTAAATTACAGATGGCGCAGTATACGTGGTATAAAGAACACAGAGAGCGCAGCGTGGGCAACACGTTCTAGCTCCGCTCCGACAGAAGACACACGCATATCAAACGACGAGACAGCACTGCGCCTTAAGGAAATACGATAGAAATATAGCAAGACCTGATATTTTGTAGAGAATGCACATTACTATATTGATCGAAGTATTTTAATCGATCACTTTATATAATTATGGGATGTAATTTATAAGAAATCGTCGAACAACGGACTTCCTTGGCCACTGGTCATAATGCACCATGATACAAAGCGACAAGATGCAACACTCTTTATTAATGTTACCGTGTTATTCAAAGCATTTTTTGTGGAATCTGTTAACGTTAACACTTTACAAATAAAATAATTTACATAAAATCAACAAAAAAAGATATATTGTGTAAACATTTTGGCATGTTTTAAAAGAAACTAAATGGAACAGTCGGAATCAAAGAGTAAAAAATGTACTTATATTCGATAATGCACTGATCAAAATTGCTTTCCAATTAAGTTTTTTCTGTGCCATAAATCAAATATATTCAACATTTACACTAGCAGTGTATTTTAGGAATCGTTTCTATTTTTACATTCTTTTTCTCACCAGTCATTCTACAGTCATAAAATGTTACACAGTACACATACATGTATTGCTAGTCATACAAAAATATTTTTTTGTCGTAATGTTAAGTAACTTGTGTTATTAAGTACATTAGTTTTAAAAAATAGTTATACTTCATACTAATATAATAAATGCGAAAGTTTAGATAGATGGACGGATGCTTGTTTGAATTTGTAGATTTGAACGAAATTTGGTATAGATATGGAAAAAAATCTGGAAGAACACATAGGCTACTTACTTTTGTTTCACGCGGACGGAGTCGCGGGCAAAAGCTAGTATTAAAATAATATACATTTCGACTTAGACTTAACATGCAATTAGAGTACAAGATTTATTTTTAATTTATAATTATAAAACTTTTTTAATAAACAAGTTTGATTTGTCAACTTTTTTGCAATTTCCTTATGCAAATGATAAACGGATACTCACGCTCTACCCGCAATGTGCCATTAAATAAAAATAGTTGATTGTGATTACCAATGATTTAGAATGGTTTTGATGTAACTTAGTAAATTAGTATTCAGTAAATACTATTTACTGACTACACGTAACTACAAACCAAAACCCAAAGTTAGCATAACTATGTTAATTCTAAAATTACTTTGCATAAAGCGTTGTTAACTGTCGTAAAAAACAGATTTTTTGTAATCTTTAGGTTTTTAATTTTCTATAACTCTATGAATATCAAATATGCTAAAACATAAGATAGCACTTCAAAGTTTAAGTACATAAATGTAAGTAATCTTGTAAATATTCACTTTGCTTACTACACTTAATGACAAAGTTAATTTTAATTGCATTTAAATTTTAAATTAACCACCGAACTACTTTATAGTTAAGGAGTAGAAGATTTTTTGTTAAGTTAACAATTCGATGTATAAAGAGCAAGCAGATTATTTAAAAATGTACATGTTCTTTTCTCTCAATAAACTTCTGAATTCAGGTGTATGTTTTTTTTTTGGGATACAATTTTTAATGCCATTAAATCGGTACGCATTCAAATATTAAATGAAGTTGTAATAACTAATACTAATATTATCTTAATTTACTACAAGAATTTTATAAACACCAATTTTAGAAATAATAAAAGCGATTGAGAAATTCCTGAAATTTGATGAAAATGGAACGAGCACAAATTAAGATTCAGCAATAAACAACCCATTTTGTATTCAAAAATTCCCGCGTTTAAAAATTACATTTTCCATAAAATAGTCAGAGGCTTAAAGTCTAATAACCAGACCATAGAATCTTCAAAAAAATAAAATGTCAATGTCGATATTGACATTTCTGCCAGTTTCTGCTTATAGGTTAGGTTAGGTTTTTGGCAGCTAGTGATAAGAGAATTTTATTTACATGGACATTTTCCCATATAGTTTATTTTATTTATACACTTAAAGATATATATACATTTTATTTACTTAGGTAATAAACGATTTTCTTACATTTTTATAATTTGTGCATCATCTTAATGGGATAATCACGTAAATGTAATAGTTTACAGTTTTTTGTTGTGTTTGTGCAAATTTGTTTGAATTCATGCCTTATCGTAGCTCATAGTATAGCAAATTATAGAATCTGTGGACTGATGTGGACTTTGAACAATGTTCAACACAGTTTATTTAGTATCACTTGCTATTGTATCCGTATCAGTTCTTATTTCATATATTTTAATGAATACTAATACAGGTGGGTACTAAAATAAAACAGCTATTTAATTAGCTATTGCAATCTTATTATAATTACAGTTTCAGAACTTGAGACAATGGCAAAGAATGGCTTAGTTTTTGTTGCTAATACAGCAAAGATGCACAATTTAGTCACCAAAGCTATTAAATCAGTTAAAAACATATTATATATAAAAATTAATAGTGATTCGGGAAATTTGTTGCCTATATTGAGCAACCAAATTGTTAATATCTACAGTAATGTAAGTATAAGTTTTTTTAATATCAGATAACAGTTACTAATTCACTAATGTGCATCACAATATAATGGTGCAAATATGTAAATAACGAATTCACCCGCGCGGAATTAAAATATCTATCCTTTCTAATGGTGAAAGACTTTAAAATCAGCCCAGTAGTTTTTGAGTTATTTCAATACATACAAAAATCCAAAAATACAAATCTTTCTTTTTTATATTATTAGTATAGACAAAATACTGCTGTAGTTCATTGATGTGTAAAGTTCTGTATAAGATGTTTTAAATACAGGCATCTTCACAAAATACAGATGTGAGATTGTTGTTGAAACCAATTAAGTCAGGAGAGAAGATTCATACAAACCATGCAATAGATCTCATTCTTTATGAAAGTGAACTGGACAAGCATATTGAAGAGCTCAAACATTCAGTAAATAATCTAGAAACTGGATGTAAAGTTAAAAGTTTCGGTAAGTAGAAGATACAATTAGACATAAACAATTGAATACTTAACAATAAAAACAGGAAAATTCAGTAAACAATGCTGTTGGCTTGCATTTTTAATGTTATGTAACATTTGTTATCTAATTAACCTCAAGGAAGAGTCGAGATAAAATCTGTTCAACAAATAAATTATAAAACTTATATGAAGCCACTAAAAAAGTCTTAAAATATTTTATAAGAATGGAGTTCTGCAATTTTTTAAAAAAACATAACTTTGTGTGTAAATGTTTATGACATGATTTAAATATTGACAGACATTTTTGTTGCTTCCACAGATAGTAAAACAGCAGATAGAGTGTCAACAGAAGAAAAGATAAAAACCTATGAGTATGTGGCAGTTGGTGGAACATTTGATAGACTACACAACGGACATAAGATCCTGTTGTCGCAGGCGGCTCTGCGCGCAACCAGACATGTGACAGTCGGGGTAACTGATGTAAATATGATTAAATGTAAGAAATCTTGTTGGCCATGTCTATCACTGAACTTTAATAGCTCTGCGGCTATGCGATCAACTTGGAATCACATCAAACACTGATTACAGCCACTGTCATGTTCGTTTAGAGGTCCCATTAGTGTAATTTTAATATCTAATATACATTAAGGGTCTTTCCACACTAGTGACTATTTAATGACTGGATTCGAAAGTGATTTTTTTTATTTAAAGTACGATATGAACATTATACTATCAGTTATAGCTATTATTTGACTTTTTTTTTACATATTTTATAGTTTATATTGTATCTCACTTATACCCTCCTACTTCAAATTCATGCAATATTTACATTTTATTGTTATATGTAATTTATTTAAAAAATAGCTGTTTTTTTATTTCATATTTATAAAGTAATTTAATTATATTCTGTTATCAATGGTATTTTAAAAATAAAAATTACCAAATTTAATAAATAAATTTTCGTATTAATTTGCAAGTAATTTTGTTGCAGCAAAAGTTCTATGGGAGTTAATCGAGCCTGTAGAAAAAAGAATAAAGGGAGTACTTGACTTCTTAACTGACATAAATCCAGATCTCGAGTATAATGTTACACCAATACAAGATTTATATGGACCTACCAAATCTGATCCGAGGTATGAGGTAAGATATAACTATTTTATGCAGTTTATATAAAAATATTAAAGTGGACATTATCGTCGTCTATAAAAACCGAGTGTGTTTTTTATTTTTCATTTTTTATTTCATAAGAATGAAATTCTCCAAAGAAATTTGTACATTATTGTCAACATAAAAGTTTAAATGGATATCCAATAACTATCTATTTTATGGCACATTTATATTCTAATTTCTTCTATTAATTTCGTTCCATAAGTTGATAGTGACCAGTGAGGAAACAAAAAGAGGTGGGGTTAAAATCAATGAGAAACGCGAGGAAATCGGCTTTCGTCCACTCGATACGTATGTGATAGGACTTGCTGAGGATCCGACCAACAGACACTCTGCTGAAGAAGAAACCAAAGTCAGTTCCAGCAATCAGAGAATGAGGTTACTAGGAACGGTGATAAAGGAGCCGGAGGTAAGATATGGGTAGTAAATATAGTCCCAAGTCAAACAAACACTTAAGTAAATTTGAGTTTCCAACCAACCATTTTAGTGTACAGTTAATCAACTAGTTGAGCAGAACAAGCATTTAACTATAAGCGACTAGTTGAGCAGCAGTTAACTAGTTGATTGTGCAGTTAACCAACTAGTTGAGATTGTAATTAACCAACTAGTAGAGAGTATGGTGAACCAACTGGTTGAAAGTATAGTGAATCAACTAGTTGAAAGTGTAGGTAAGCAACTAGTTGAAAGTGTAGGTAACCAACTAGTTGAGAGTATAGTTAACCAACTAATTGAGAGTATAGTTAACCAACTAGTTGAAAGTAAAGTTAGACAACTAGTTGAACATGTTAATCCACAAGGTGAGTGTACAGTTAACTGATTAAGTATTTAGTTGAATGGCTAACTGACTAGGTGAGTACCCATCTATCTTGTTTGATTGTAGTTATTTAACTTGCAGCCAAACCCCCGTATCCCAGTGCGGCCTTATGTCATAGGATTGGCTGGCGGTATTGGCAGTGGCAAGAGTAATATTGCTGAGAAATTAAAGTAAGAAAATTTGTTATTGCTAAAGATAATATTATTAGATCAGTTTTTAATATTTTTTTTTTATCGTAAAACGCGTCTTCCTTTACATAATTTTTTATTAAAAAGATTTATATTTAATCGTTAAAGAAATGACATCGATTTTTTTTTATTTTGTAGTGATTTATTTTTTTAATGCGTTCAGAAACATGATATTAGGTTATTTTGTTTAGACTAAAAGGTGCTGCGGTTATAAACTGTGATTTGATCGCTCACGAGTTGTACAAGCCTGGTCTTCCACTCAACCGAACGTTATCTGAGGCCTTCGGAGGACATATCATCACAGAAAACGGTGAAGTCGACAGACGGAAACTTGGACAAATCGTATTTAGTGATAAGGTGAGAAAATTATGAAGCCCTTAGCACTCAGAAAAATTGTAAATAAACAATTAAAACGCGTTTTACCGAATGTACACTAAGATTCCATTTTAAATTTCAAATGTGTAATTTTAGATGGATGTATGTATGGATGTTTGTTACCGCATATCTACAAAACCTTGATTAAATTTAAAACATAGATAGAATATACTCTGTAATGAGGCATAGACTACAAACTTTAAGCGCCAATAGCCTAATGGTTTGGGAACGGATTACTGATCTTGCGGTCGAGGGTTTAAATCTCGTCATTCGACTATTATCGTGAACCATATCCTAGCACAAGCCTAGAGCTTAGTTAGAATCTTAAGCTTTAGGCTTGTTCGTTACAGGAAACATTAGTAAACTAATAAAAAATACTAAAAACATTAGTAACAAAAATAGTCTACAAACTTTTTTTTTACCACACGGATAAAGTCGCAGGCCAAAACAGGCTAAAGACTTATAAAATGAACCGTTTCAACAAAAGTACTGCAACTTCAACAGCTTTAGAGCTTAGTATGAAGTGGATTTGACAGTGGAGGAGAGGGAAAAGGAAAATGTCTGTATGTGCGTCTCCGTCAATTAAGGGCAAGCAAGGTATCTGCAACTGCGGATGTCTGGGCGGTCGTTTCGCTTTGTCGGCGAATTCAGGTGGCCAGACGCTCTGTTGCCACCCTATAAAAATCGTTTTCAGAACGAACTAGAAAGGTTAAATCAGTTAGTTTGGCCAGCTGTAATAGAGGAGACGCAGCGCCGTATCAGGGCGCTGGGGCAGGCGGGCTACGAGGTGGTGGTGATGGAGGCCGCGGTGATGGTGCGAGCCAAGTGGTACCACTACTGTCACCAATTGTGGGCAGTTATTGTACCACCTAATGAGGTAATTTATCGTTATCTTACTAATGTTAACGCGGATGGATGTTTGTTAGAGTTTGTAGACTAAACTGATGAACGGATTTTGATTAAATTTGGCAAATGTAGAACATAGTCTGGTAGGACATATAGACTACTTACTGCTTTATTAATTCCTCGTTGGCGGAGTCGCGGGCGAAAGCTAGTATGTATTATCTTGTTTCATTTTAGGTACAATTCAAATGTAGCCACATAGTATTTTAATCCATGCAGTCAGTCATCATATTAATTCTAAACTAAGCGACTTTCTTAGTAGCCATTTAACAACAAACATTGAAGTGTAATTTGCAACTTTTGTTACATGTATTTCGATGTAGGGTAGATTAAATTGCTGTATGAAATAATTTAAGATACAATACTTAATATTAAATATAAAAACAGGCTATAAAAAGGCTTCAAGCGCGCAACAATCTGTCAGAAGAGGAAGCGAGACAACGTGTGGAGGCTCAAGTATCAAATTCCGAGCAAGTGGCCGCCGCTAATATTGTGTTCAGTCCGTATTGGAGCTACGAATATACACAATCCCAGATAGATAAGGCCTGGGACCATTTGCAGAAATATCTCGGACACCAAAATTAAAAAATAAAATATTTATTAACGTTTTTAGATATAATAAAGTCTATGTAATCTGTTAAAATGTTTACTCACGTTCAAAAAATTTATTAAAACATTATTTTTATTATTACAATAGAACAGCGGCTTGCGCTTTGTAAGTGGCTGGCTTTAATGTACCTGAATTTACTAAAATTTGTCAATATTAAATATGATTTATCTGTGCATGGAGTATTGCTACTATCGCATCAGTGTTGCCATTGTAATAGTAAAAAATCAAATATAATTGTGATTTAATTTTTAAAAAAGCAAACAGTTATTTTTTTAACTGCAGAAATATATTTAATCATTTCTATTAAGTAATGACGAATTTTATAATCATATATTATAGACGATTGGTACGCCTACACTTGCCAAGTCCTGTTTTGAATGGTCTAAGTACAATCATAATGTGCATGTCTTAATTAGCTCTTAACTTGGCAGAATTTTATTTTTTCGAATATCAAAATAATATTCATAGCACTTAACCTTGATGACCCAAGAAGTTTAGGAAAAAATTGATGTATCTCTACAGATACACTAACAAGAAAAAAAGAACTTTCTTACTCCTGGTGTTTTACTGTTTGCACTTCGCACTTTGTAAGATTTACATCTTTTGATAATAATTAAAACTCATAGCCAAATTATTTTTAATTTTAATTTACTTAAAAAAAAAATAAAGCTAGCATTGAATTATCTAAAATTGCCTTTTAATTGATTTTAATGTAATAAATCAATTTTATGAAATGATAAGCAATAGAAATATTTTAACTTTTTAGCCTTATATTATAAGAATAGATATATATTAATTGTTTTATACTTTTTCAATAAAATGTTTACAATTAGTGGTTGGCTAGAGAATAGATTTATTTAAATAAATATTTTTGTAAAGAGAACGATTGTTTTTTATTTACACTTGTGTACTACTGCCCAAGTGACCCGCTCGCTCAGTGCTTATGACCACACAGAAGACAGACGTAAAGTAGTTATTCTGCATTTCGCCTGAAGAGTAATACGTCATGACCCCCCCCCCCCTGAGCTGGTTGGTCAAGAGCTTAACAAAATTTACATATTTAGTCAAGCTCTTGACTTGACCACGACTATGTGACACCCCCCCTGCCCTTGCTTAAAATAGAATGTTATTAAAAAAACAATAAGTAGATACAAAAGTCTGTTATTTTCATAAATATACGTGCGTGTATACTCTTGAATAGTTTATCAATCGAAACTCTAATTCTCAAAATATTAATGGTATATTTGATTGAAATCACAAATCCTTGGAAACATAATACATTAGCTAAAGTACTGGAACTTTTTTTAACTTATCGGCTCGTATACTTCTTTTCTACGTCAGTCTTGAGCTCTATCTTTCTAGATTACTTTGTACGCAATAGTCGAGTACAACGCCACTTGAAATTATAGCATTAAGCTTGGACAGCGTCATGCCTTTCCTCCTCAATTTTATCATAGTCGGAGCGGTTGTTGTCAATGGTCAAGAAAATTTAACGATACTTCCAGATAAAAGTGACCAAAGAATACAGATAATCGTAAGTAAACTCTATACTAGTGATAATATTGCTCCATACGAGGAAATAAACAATGCATGGGAGATAAAAACTATTTTTTAATTGCAGGGCGACCTAGTTAAAGATAATTTGAAAACAAACGGATGGAACAACATTCTCTGCTTCGGACATCTACCTGACAATTTTTATAACAAAGTGAAAGATCTCAATCTAACTTTTTCTATTTCGAATATAGATGTTGAAGATGATTATGATATAGAGGGTGTTGTACCTTATCATTCCAATTTTATTGTCATCGATTGTATAAACTTTGAGCAGTTCGAAGATGTTATCACTAAAGTGATTTCTCTGCCATATTGGCATCCACTAGCCCATGTCATTTTGTACTATCATACGCTTGAAGACAGACAAATGATGTCCAAACTGTTCTACATACTGTGGTACTACAGAGCAATCAATGTTATTATCATTCAATACGATGATTCTAAAGACGTCCTGCTGGTGTCGTATTTCAATCCATACACCAGTGAACCTTATCGATATAAGAACGTCTATGGATGCAGATTGACAAAGAAAATCGGCATGCCGTTCGATAACTTTGAGACTGGGCTTTCCTGTGAAGAGGGTTGCGAAAATATACCTCTAAAATCGAAACTACGACGCAATTTCTTTGGTACTTGTCTGGGATATGAGACAATTGCCGTGAACTACAATGACACATCCAAATTGAAGAAAATCAATTTATTTGAGAACAAAGCAAAAAATTTTTACAGATATCCGCTCAGAGCGTTTGGCGCTGAAGTGTTACCATTTTTAGAGATTAGGAATTACAGTGATGGTACTTACTCGATGCACAAGAGAGACGCTATGGTGTGGAATACAATGGCTGAGATGATGAATTTCACAATAGACCTGTCACCTGCCGAGGGAAAAATAAAAGAACCTTTTGACTATGACCTAAGCATTCAAATGTTATTCGCATTTTCACACAGAAAATTCGATTTATTTCTCTTTCCAGTTTATCAGTATGATTTAGTTCTTTTCCAAATAGATAATACTTTTCCCTACAAAGATAGCGGCGTTTGCTTTTTAGCGCATCGTGCTGATTTTGAAATGATTCTATTCGACGAGAAATTGTTCCTTAACAACATAGGTATAGTTGTACAATTTTTATTCTGCTTCTTGGGCTCCTGGTTTGTATTCTTTATATTTAACATTGAACAAGGTGAACGGATTAGTTTCGATCGAGCTGGAAAAGATTTTGTAAACGCAGTTAGGACAGTTTTATCGATGGGTCTTTACAATACACCTGGACGTGGTTCATTCCGTATTTATTTTATCATATCACTTTGGAGTTTCTTTATAATTAACTTTTCAACTCAAGCAGCTATTATATCGTTCTTTTCTGCAGCTAAGAGAGGCAAAGAAGTAGACACGTTTGAAGATATCGCTGCTAAAGGATATGTGGTCGAAGGTATGGCATCTCCTGACCTCATTCTCCCAGATCACAAAGAAATATATCGTGTGATTAACTCCAGACTGGTATCAAATAAAGATTTGTTTGGATGTGTCAAGAAAATGGATAATGACAGTCGTAGATTTTGTTTGTTAGATTGTGCGGTCTGCAAATATTTGGAAAGAAACAAAATGAATGACAAGGGACAGCAATACTTACATGTGGCTAAGGATAAAGCTCATGGGCATCATCTGAATATGCTACTTCAAAAGCATTCAACAATAACAGATGTGTACAATAAATATATTTTAGCAATAGTTGAAGCTGGTTTAGTGACCAAATGGGAGCAGTACAGATTCACTGAGATCAAGGAGGAAGCGCCAGTGCGAGCAATGGGCTGGGAGGACGTCGAAGGAATTTATAAATGCTACGTTTTCTTTCTTATTCTAAGCATTGGTATATTCTTTTGTGAAATTTCAATCAAATTGATTGGTAATATTAGACAGTATTGTTCTAAAAAGATCAGAAATAAGAATGTAAAAAGAGTTTGGTAAGATCTCTAATAGCAATGAGATTCAAGTTGTCATTTTCACCTTTTTGCTTATTTATTGATGGTTGTAAAATACAGAAACGGTTAATATTTGTTAAACTTTTGCCTTTTGAGATTTATTGCAATAAAATAATACCACATATAAAATGATTTCTATTCAAATCCTAATTAGAATTTTGATGTTCATAGTTATTCGCATCAAAAGTCAATTCTGATATCATAAGAATGTCATAAGCATATACAACAAAAAATGCATTCTGTGGAAGGCATTGCGAAAGGCCTATGACCAAAAGTGGCCAGATGATGATATAAGAAAGAGGAGTACAACCAATTCCCTAGTGTATTTACTCCTGTCCTGTTCGTATTTTACTGTGGAGAACTTCTGAATCGTGTCTAGTATTTAAAAAACTTTATTTTCAGTAGTTCTGAGCTACGTTTTAAACGCTAAAAACGTTTTAATTACAATACATGTACCTATCAAATCATATATAAAAAAATAAATTGATGCTATCTACTGTTAAGTACCTACCAATATTATATGGCTACCTCATTATTTCTCGAAATAATCAAGGTAAATTTGATTGAATACGATATAACTTTAGGCATATCACACAGCAATATCTAAAGTAGTGATTATTATTCTTAATGGGATGTCATTCGATTATTGTCTGAAATTACAAATGTATTGGAATTGGATTGGAACCTCCGTTTGTTCTACTTTCACCATATCACTGGAAGACGTCACAGATGCTACATATCAGATTTGGCGCCTTTTCGATTATGGATTTATTCCTTTTATTTGCAGTTCTTTTAAAAATGACTACGGTCAATGCTTCTGAAAATTTAATGGTAAGACCTGATAGAGAGGACCAAAGAATAGATATTATTGTAAGTATGCATATACGCAACTAATCAAGATGTTATATAACGTAAGCTCATTTTTGTAAATGAAATTCCAGGTTGATATAGTAATACATAATTTGAAAACAAACGGATGGAACAACATTCTCTGCTTTGGACATCTACCTGACAATTTTTATAACAAAGTGCAAGAACTCAATCTAACTTTTTCTATTTCGAATGTGGATGTTGAAGATGATTATGATATAGAGGGTGTTGTACCTTATCATTCCAATTTTATTGTCATAGATTGCATAAACTTTGAGCAGTTCGAAGATGTTATCACTAAAGTGGTTTCTCTGCCATATTGGCATCCACTAGCCCATGTCATTTTGTACTATCATACGCTTGAAGACAGACAAATGATGGCCAAACTGTTCTACATACTGTGGTACTACAGAGCAATCAATGTTATTATTATTCAATATGATGATTCTAAAGACGTGCTGTTGGTGTCGTATTTCAATCCATACACCAGTGAACCTTACCGATATAAGAATGTTTACGGATGCAAACTCGCTAAGAAAATAGGCATGCCGTTTGATAACTTTGAAAATGGGTTTACCTGTGAAGAGAGCTGTGAAAATATTCCAATCCAATCTAAAGTACGAAAAAACTTCTTTGGTACTTGTCTAGGATATGAAACGGTTTTATTTGATTACAGTAACACCACACTGTTGCAAAAAATCAACTTATTCGAGAGCAAAGTAAAAGATTTTCACGGCTACCCACTAAGAGCGTTTGGTGCTGAAGTATTACCTTTTCTAGAAATCCGAAACTACAGCGATGGAACTTATACGATGCATAAAAGAGATGCCATGGTATGGAACACTATGGCGGAAATAATGAATTTTACACTCGATCTATCTCCCGCTGAGGGAAAAATTAAGGAACCATTCGATTATGATTTGAACATCCAAATGGTTTTTGAATTTTCACATAGAAAGTTTGATTTATTCCTTTTCCCTGTATACCAGTTTGATTTAGTTCTCGTGGAAATAGACAATACGTTTCCTTACAAAGAAAGTGGTGTATGTTTTCTTGCACATCGTGCTGATTTTGAAACTGTTCTATTCGATCAAAAATTGTTAATTAACAACTTGGGGCTGGTACTTCAATTCTTGTTATGCTTTTTATGCTCTTGGTTTGTTTTCTTTATTTTTAATTTAGAACAACGTCAACGTGTTACCTTGGATCAGGCTGGGAAAGATCTCGTCAATACAGTAAGGACCATACTGTCAATTGGTCTTTACAATCCACCCAAACGTGGTTCATTTCGTATTTATTTAATAATATCTCTTTGGAGCTTTTTCATTATTAATTTCTCTACTCAAGCTGCTATTATATCGTTCTTTTCTGCTGCTAAGAGAGGCAAAGAAGTGGATACGTTTGAGGATATCGCGGAAAAAGGCTACATTGTCGAAGGTATGGCATCGCCAGATGTTATACTGCCTGATCACAAAGAAGTATATCGCACTATTAACTCAAGACTGGTATCTAATAAAGATTTATTTGGTTGTGTGAAGAAGATGAGTAATGACAGCCATAGATTTTGTTTATTGGATTGTGCGGTCTGCAAATATTTGGAAAGGAACAAAATGAATGAAAAGGGGGAACAGTATTTACATGTAGCTAAAGACAGAGCTCACGGACATTATCTGAACATGTTATTCCAGAGGAATTCCGCTATAACAGAAGTGTACAACAAATACATTTTAGCAATAGTTGAAGCAGGTTTAGTGACCAAATGGGAGCAGTACAGATTCACTGAGATCAAGGAGGAAGCGCCAGTGCGAGCAATGGGCTGGGAGGACGTTGAAGGAATTTACAAATGTTATGGTCTTTTTCTAGCAATTAGTTTTATTACGTTTCTGTGTGAAATGTCAATTAAACTCATCAAAAAAATGAAGAAATTTTGTTTTAAGAAGTTCAGGCTATGCAGACATAAATAACTAATTAGGTTTTGCAATAAATATTAGATTGCTTTTACTATGACATAATTATAATCAGTGCAAATGCGTTAGGCATGATGAATGATGTTTAAGTGTGTAGTTAACTCTTATGTACTTAACAATAAAATAATAAATTCGTTCTCATCGAAACATTTTTAAATTAAAATTGTCACTCCTCAAAACCTACTATGTATATTATGTTGGTGGACTCGCAATAAGCGCAGTTCTCGAGCGTCTAAAGCAAATACAGGTCAGAACCAAGACTTCCGTTGGTAAGTATTCTTATATAATATAGTATAAGCTTCGAGTACAGTATTAAAACATAATTAGGTGCTTCAAAAAAGTGATAAAGGTTGAATTCAAAAAGAACAAGTAACAGGTACCAGCTGTTTACTAGAGAATACAGGTTTTTCAGGAAGGAAGTTGGACGATTTACGGTTTATTTTATTCACATAACACTAATTATTAAAATGTACTTTCCACATTTTAAGGAGTAAAAAAATGAAATGGTCGTACGAAATTAACTTTCTGTCAGATTTAAATTTTAGCGGGTTATTGGAAAAGGCTGTCCATACAAATGACTTATTAAAATTTAATTTACTAATTAATTAAACTTACTAATTATAATTTTAAAAAAATATGTTACATAACACATTAGTATATTTATATTTAGGTATCTTTTTCATATTAATTCCTATTATTGTAAATCGTAAAAAATATGTTTCATCTTATACCATAAATGGTTACCAATGCATACTCTTTGAAATGTACAATTAATTTGTCTATGGTCATTTGGCATTTTTGGTTTATGTTGTTTATGGGCGTATCTCGATTTATTATGGTACAAAGAAAAAATGGTTTTGTTGGTGTAGCGAACAGAAATATACAAAAATAGTACACTCAACGTCATAAAAAAACGTATTTTAATGGGAAATTCGCACAACAAAAGTAATCAGTACAGAGACCATAAACAGGCAGCTATTTCAAACCGAGACGCCCAAGCATTTACAAGTCAGGTATAATTTACGATGAAACGAAAACTTGCTAATGTCATTCTCAGCTGAACATACGTAATATAAACGCTTTGTTGCTCATAGCATAATATTATTAGTCTTCATTAATCTAACTTCATTCTGCAACTTTTTATACACAAAGATTGTACTATTACATTTCTTTTGTTTCGGAAGTCTTTGTTAGTCAAACAGGTGATTATTGACGTTAATTTATTTTTGTATACAGTTCAGTCTGGGCCATTTCGTTGGCAATCTTAGCGGGCGTTCCATCGTTAGCCTAACGAGCAACCAGTCCGTGTACAGCGCATCGCGACCTTGGTCTCGAGTTTCTAGACGAAGGTTAGTGGAACATACATTTGACTAAACGAATAGTTTTATGCCATTTCACGGACGTTACTCACCACTGTGACATAATTATTAGGAAATAAGTGGTAAAAAAGTAATATTTATTTTTCTTTCATAAAACAAATATTACAGATGGAATGACTCAACAATAAACAACCAGTTGGAAGCAAGCAAAACAGCTTGGCCTGTTGCTCACAAAGAGTCCATTTTTCTACCTGAATTTCCAATCACAACTGACCTATTGCAGAAAGAATTTCAAGTTGTGGAAGCAATTGCTAAGGGTGCTTTTGGAGAAGTCATTAAAGTTAAGAGAATTTGTGATGGGAAAGATTATGCACTAAAAGTGCTCAGCAAATCAAAGGTAAAATTTTTACTTTCAAAATTAAGTATATTAGAATAAGTCATTTTATACAAACATATGAAAATATTTCATGAAGATGTAAGAGAGTAAATAATCACCCTTTTGTTCCAATGTTTATAAATGCCACATGGTATACACATTACCTATGTAAATAAAATTAACAATTATGTTGTGTTGTTCCACTATGGTGTATTCCTAAAATATAGAATGTGATATACCAGTGGTATGTGTTATGAAGGCCTACAAATAATTCAGGCCAGTAGTTTTTTTTACCTCATAAACTAGTTTTAAGCCAGTGTTATATAGTCTATTGTATACTATGTTATCTTTGTCTATGGTTCAACAACCTTGTAACATAATAAGTGACCATTAGGCATTGTTTTCAGGTAGTAGCTGAGAGGGCTGTGGGTCAAGTGAAGGAAGAGGCAAGAATACAGGCTGCTTGTGGACATCATTGTTTTATCGCCAATGCTGTCTCCCGTTGGCAGACAAAGAAAACACTTTATATTGGTAAGTTTTTATTTATCTTTAAAGCAAAAAAATTGCAAATATTAAGAATATTTCAAGCATATGTGTGTCAAATATCTTAAATATATGCATAAAATAAAATAAGTCATTGTTATAATTTAATAATATTGTGCACTTTACTTCACTTTCAATAATATTGTTTAAAAATAATTGTTTTATAAACTTTCTAGTATCCTTTATTATAGTTTTATATAATAATTTAATTAAAATGTAGTTAATTGTAATAGATTTTATTTCTTGTTAGCAGATATTGTTTATTTCCCGTTTGTCTTAGAACACTCTTCATAGCTTAGTAAATTACAAAAGTATTACTTTTTTAATCATTGTTATTACCTGATCAAAAATTATATTAAAATTTGTTATTATTTTGATATGCATTGACTAAAGTTCACAAGACCACTTGGGGAAGCCGTGATAATCACTAGGGTACTACATGACCCCACTATCTGTCTAATTATAGGCATATCTGTGTGAGTTATTCACAATGTCTCAAGAGAATATGTTTACAATATAATTATCCTTATTTATTGCATGAACTAATTTATTATTTAAAAAGAAAAATTTATAAGACACTGGCCGCTTTGCCACTCTGTCTATTTTCTTAATATGAAGAATTCTCTGTTGTCTTTTCACTGCCAATTTTATCTGTACACAGAGAAATGGTTTGTTTAATTTTAAAGTAAAAAGGGAAAGATTACAGCATAATATTTAAATATTTACAGGCTATTGGTGGTTTCATTCCGAGTTAGTTTTCTTACAATGTAGTGCTTATTATTTAAAAATACATATATACCAACTGTTGCCCATAACAATATTAAGATAAAAAAAAGTTGCCTATATATGTCAGCTACCCTTCAGTGAAAGTTCGGTCGAAATTAGCCCATCCGTTTCGGAGATTACCTGGGATAATCCGGCTTGCAGACAGACATAGTTTAATTGCAATTCTCGTTATCACCAACACAAATACATCAATTTACCTGAAATCTGACATTTTACTTTTGATATTCAGACACTCCAGTTTTATTATATTAGCTTTGACCCGGGGTTCCGCGTGGAACTAAAAAAAAAGTAACTAGTGTATATTATTCCAGACTATGCTCTACATCTATGCCATATTTCTTCTATATTTGTTCAGCTGTTTAGACTGCAAGATAACAAACATCCATCTAAACTTTCGCATTTATGTTATTAGTAACATGGTGTAGAGTATATATATAATTACTATTGTTTATGTATCTCGAAAGTACCGAAGATTTGAATATTTAATCATGTATTACTTATCATATTGGTGATTATTTACAATATGATAAAGGGTGACCTACTAACAAAGGTGGATGCTCTGTGCGATTATCGTATATTTTATCGCCAGACTTATTCACTTATGTTTATAAAAGAAACGAGGTCAGACCTGCTTTAATTGTGTCATTGGGCTATTTGATTACAATGAATTTCCTTAATTACATAGCTTAAAGGTCATTAACAACCAGTGTCAAATGTTTACATATGATGTACTTAATGTTTCTTTTCGTAGTTTCAGAATACATTCCCTGCGGTGAACTGCTAACTTTACTAGATAAATATAAGAAATTACCCGAAGAGTTTGTGAAAGTGTTTGTTGCGGAGATTGCAATAGCTATCGGTGAGTAATTGATAAGGCCAGTATTATTAGATATGATTATTCTAATAATTTTGTATTGTAATGCATTCTTAATTTTTATTTTCAATCTATATTCCATGCCAAAGTTACATATTAGGTACGAAAACACGTGTTGCGAACCCCCTTACTGAACCTTTTAAAAAACAACTAAAAACGGGAATTTTTAAAAATTCAGATATGCTGTATATTTTTTTATTGCCTACGTAAATTCATTAAACAAGTTTTGTTATCACATGTTTGTTTTTCCAAGGTTGCCAGACGTTAGATACGGTCCTGTCTAATTCCGTATTAATTAATTGAATTGAAGACAATTGAAGTTCTCATAGTATCAACTTGTCATATTATAATAAAATTTACTCTCAGTTAGCTTATGTTGCTATCTTGGTTAATATAATTGGTGTTAAGTAAATGGTTTTGACAGCAATGTATTTTAAAAACAGTGTGTTTCAATTTTCAACCCACTAATTATGTTGCCGCGAACAATGTTATTTAAGTAAAAAGTAATCACATTCAATGTTGTTGTTTTCCTTTTATTATTAAATTATTTACAGATTTTCTCCACAACGCGGGTGTTATTTACCGAGATTTGAAGCCAGAGAACATACTTTTGGATACAGAACTCCACATTCGACTTGTTGACTTTGGTCTTTCGAAGTGGCTGTCTATCGGCTCACGGACTACCACGCTCTGTGGCACTCTCAAATATATGGGTGAGTTTTATATTTATGCAATGTTTTTACTTTATTTATTGTTCTCTTATTTTCGGCTTTAAATAAAACGTTCGACGGTGTAACTAAAACGGTCATTTTCCATTTTCAGTGTGGGATTTGACTCGTTGAATAGTTTAGTGTGAGATGTGTCTGTGGGGCGCGGGCGCGCCGCGAGCCCCGCGGCCGGCGAGCAGTGTGAGCAGTGTGAGCAGTGTGAGCAGTGCGAGCAGTGCGCGCGGAGTGCGCGGCGCGTCCAGCGCGTAGCGCGTAGCGGCGTCGGCCGAGTATGCTGCACTGACGCTGCGACATGAACGCCCGCAGCATAGCCTTCGAAATGTCCATGGAGGGCCGGCAGGTGGACGAGGTGGTCGCCAGCATCTTCCACACGGTGCTCTTCCACCGCTCCAGCGGCAAGTTCACCTACAACAACGAGGAGAGCTACTCCATCCGCACCGTCAGCTACGTGGACGTGGACTGCGACTTCATCGACTTCACGTACGTGTGCTGCGAGTCGCATGCGCTCGGCCGCTGCCTCAAGAAGGAGATCTCCGAGTTCTCGGAGCTGCTGAGGGGCGCCAGCTCGCGGCCGCCGCGCGGCTCCATCAGCCTCGAGTTCTTCCAGAAGCGGCGCGCGCGCTGGCCCTTCCAGCCGGAGTGCGTGCCCTGGGAGGTGTGGACCGTCTGCTGCGAGCTGACGGAGGCGCGCCACGACCACGACGCGCACGCGCGCCACGAGGGCGTCGTCGAGATGTTACAGGACAAGATCGTGCACATCACGGAGATCATCAACCGGCACGAGTACGTGCCCAAGATGCCGAGCCGCTCCGACGCGGACCTCATCTTCGACACCTCGTACACGGACATCCAGCCCTACCTGTTCAAGATCCAGTACAACCTGTCCGGCGCGCCGCCGCCCTCCGTCGGCAACACCGTGCGCAAGCTCATCCGCGACACGCTCTCCTTGTGACTGCTCGCGGCCCCCGGACTGGCCCTCGCCCTCGCCCTGCAGCTCGCCCTGCTCTACGAGTTGTCTCACTTCGTGTCTCCCAAGTCGATACTGACCATTACTACGCTTTACTGCGGCCTGACATTGTGCTCCTGTGTCATTATAACGCTTTCTTAAAGTTCACCAGAGCCATAAGTCATAGAATATAACGTATAACATGTGATGTGCAATCGTTAATAACGTGTGGCAATTATGTAAATAGTAGATTATAATTAGTTGTACAATGTTGTTTTTCTGACTATGTTTCTAATAAATAATAACGTGAAATGTGTGAATTATTTAGTATGCGATTTCTTAGTGATTACGTACTTAGCACAAAATGTATATGTATGTAGACTGAAATAGGTCCGATCATAACTAGTCTATATTTTAACTCATTATTTTCTAATAATTAGTGTAATTTCTCTTCGTATTGTATTTATTTGGTGATATTCGTTATTCTTGTAGCGATAGTTGTAATACAAATTAGCTTTATTATTTGAGAGCGTTGTCTCGTAAGCTGGTTGATGTGTCCACTCATTTTATCATTTAAGATTTTATTTGTCTTACCTATTAAGTTAGCGATTTTAACTTACAAATGTTAACAGATTTTAATTTTTAATCTGTAATACTAATATTTCAGATATATATAGTATATTAGAGTTTTCTGCTATTTTGTGTGTCGATATTAATTAAGACGAACTGCATAAAGCAGGAATTTTAATTATTTCAAAGGAATAATACTTAGCCTAGTTACTTCTACTAATATATAATTTGAGTTGGCACGTGAGGCGGATGAGTAATGTAGTTTCAGACGTGCCAAGTCAAATATGAACTCTATAGTTTCTACTCTTTGTCTTATGAATCTTATTTTGTGATATTGATAATTCGATCCCACATTAAAAGTACATAGAAGATTCACCTTTAATAATTAGATTTATTATCTAACAATATATAAAATAATTTTTAATAGTATATGTAAATAATGTACATAAATGTCTGTAGATAAGGTTGACATATTAAGAGCTTTATAAAAATTAACATTTAGCATATATAAAAGCTATAAAGTATAATTAGTGTTCAGAGGTCTAATTTTTAAAGTAGAAAACGGTGCATAGAAATAGAAATGAGTATTTTTCTCACATTATTAGTAAGTAATTTAATCTTTTATATAATTCGATGTTGCTTTAACCGCAAGAAAAAAAAACACAAGCATACATTTTCCAGTCTAAGCTGATGTTTTTCAAGTACATTTCTTATAGTCTCTCATTTTGTCTATGATAAAAAGTCCATCCATAATGTTCTGATTTACTTTCCTACCTCATTTTGTGAATAGACTTAGAATTTTTTTCATGTCGATAGGAATTTTTCCCCAATTTCCTAGTTATTTGACAGCGTTTTATTCACCAAAGATGAGGCTGTACGTATGCAACTGCGGGAACATTCAAATTAATAAAGCTATACTAAATATCTTTAATATTTTAAATACATACAAATATATGATAGGCCCTTAATAAATGTATCAAAACGTATATAAATGCAAAACGTTCATGTACAGGGGTAGACAGTTAAGGATTTAATTTCGCATAATGTGTCGATTTATTCTGTATACTATTTTATGTTTCTAAATTGTTTATGAAGTAATGATTTTCATACATTTAAATGAAGTTAAGAAATGCTTTATTTTTCATTGATCTTTAGTCTTGTTACAAAGTACTAAAAGATTTTAAACTCTGGAAATGAGCTAGATTCAAAAGAACCATCACGTATGTATAAACACTAATTTTCTATATATTCTACGTGTCGGTGTTTTGATAAATTTTATATTATTAAGGGTCTATTATATTTTTTTTAATAAATTCGTCTTTCATATCAGTGAGTACCTTATGGAGTGGTCGCGTCGCCTGCAGTGGCGAGCCCGGTGATAGGACAATATAATTTAAATCTATCTTAATACCTGTATCGTGCCTCGTTGTAAGTTTTAAAGTTGTATCGAGCACAATGTAAAATATATTAATTGCACTATATATGGCCTTATTTGAAAAGATTTTTGATATATATGTGTGTAATAGAGTTTATCAGTGTAAGATGATATATGTTGTGATGTATAAGTTCAAAAAAAAATGCAAAAAATCTTAGTCTTGTGATAATTTATACTATAAATATGTGAATAAATTATGAAGTATTAATAAAGTTTTTTAATTTACGAAGAATTTTAAATTTATCTTTATGTAAATGTAATAAAATTGGTGCTAGATTCCAAATTGAATTGAAACATTTCAAACACATTTCCTTTCTGAAAAGTAGATTTATTTTACTCTGGGTTGAAACTAAATAACATGCTTGTGAAGGGATCTATGTATAACTACTATGCTGTTAGCCTCAATTTGTTCAAAGCAACTGCCAAAATCTTAAGACAAAAATGAAAAACATGAACTGAGGCAAAGTTCCTCTAGTGAAATGGACCAATTGTTCTATGAATCGTTGATTTTTTTATTTCTTAACAATGTTACCTAAGTGTTGGTGATTGAAAAATGTACATTTCACACTCGTTACTTGTTCCCAAACAGGATGTACCACTTGTAGCCGATGTTAGCAATTGACACTGTCAGTTTTTATTCATGCTTATACTTTAGAGTCGTTTATGTAATCGCAATAACACGCATCAGTTTTATTGCTGCATTTCCTGACACTAAACAAAAATATTTACTTTGGCTTACAAACTACACTAACAATCTATAAAGATCACTTTAATATTAAGAACTGTCAACCGAATTTGAAAGATTCATCTCATATTAACAGTCAAACTAATATTTAGACTAGCTTTCGCCCCCGACTCCGTTTGCGAGGAATTAAAAAAACAAGAGTGATTAGCTTATGTCTCCTTCCAGTCTATACTCTACATATATACCAAATTTCATCAAAATCTGTACAGCCGTTTAGACTACAAACTATAACAAACATCCATCCATCTAAACTTTCGCATTTATAATATTAGTATGAACTATGATCACAAGATATTAAACATAACACTATCACCAATAAAAGATAGGCAGAAAACAAAATAAATCTAAAAGTATATCCAATGATTTAAGACTTGTATCCTAATTTTTACTTGTATGTAAATTTTAATGTTGGTGGATTCAGATATGACGGCTGATAGAGATGTATGGAAGAGTAGCACATACTGTGCCGACCCTCCATAAAGGGCAAGTTGATGATGAACCTAATTTTTACTTGTACCCTCAATGCATTGATTTGTTAATCGATTTTTATATGTGTTATATTCGGTTGTTGTTGATTTTTAAAGTTAATAACTAGTGGTTTTGTCGTACTTTCAAGTTTTAATATCGATTTGCATTGCATGACTTTGCTAGCATGGTTTAGTACTAAGTGTGTGTCCTTTCTCGTTGTCCGTAGCCCCTGAAATTCTTAGCCGGGAGCCGTATGGTCATGCCGTGGATTGGTGGTCGTTGGGCGTGCTGGCTTGTAGGATGTTGACTGATGAGGTAAGTGTTATTTTGTGGCGAATCTCTACTGTCGAAACCTGCACTACATATTCTCAGCCCTTTTAATTCTATTTGAACAGTGGAACAGCAATGATGTTCGTTTCTTTTTTATTATTTCGTTATCTCTTTTCTGTCTAGCCTACTAAAGCATGATTAGAACTCATTGCCTTTTCTCATACTTCTCAAGCGAAGGTTTAAGAGGTTCCTTGATTAAGGGATTATCAAAAAGATACGCTTAAGTACTTCTAAACTAACAACTACCGGACTCTGGGAGCGGCAATAAAGATTTACAAATACATTTACTTACTTCTATATGCAAACGATATTAGTTTTTTAAGTGAAAATCGACTAAATAGTAATTTTAAATCCACGTTCATGCCTTATTTGAATTTATAATATGAGAACTTTATTATACTAGTCAGTAAAACAAAATAATGTGTATGAACGTACTTATATATTCATATTGCAAGACAAAATCGTGTCCATTGCTTAAAAATAATGTTTTTGCGGAATGCCGATAAATTTGTTTCTTCACAAAATGTTACACACGTAGCAAAATAATCGTTTATATGCCCGTGTGTAATTGTGTGGTTCTTGTTCTCATTATAAAACATTAAAATGTAATAATATGTTTATTTCGTTATGCATTCCTGGGAAATAAATGTATTTCTTATTTTTATAGTTGGTAAACATTGACTTTTGAATACTGTTTTGAAATAACTTTTTAGAAATAGTATCGAACTGTGAAATGTGACGTTATAAGTTACGAAACAGTTTTTCGGGAAAAGAAAAAAGTGAAAAGATAGTTCAATTTCACAATCAGTCATGATGATAAAATGAAAAACATATAATTAAAAAACGTAATTTATTTCTTACATTACCGGAAATTCGATAATTTACTTCGTGAAGTTATAATTACAACGTAGGTAATTACAGCTGAACTATTTAAATAAGTCTCTAGGTCTAATGAATAGTCGAGTGGCGTTCATAGGAACGCGGAGAGGCGGCCGCCGTCGCAGCCCCGGGGACGAGGGACCGCTCGCACGCGGCTCGCCGGGCGGGATGCGCGTGTCGAGGCTCGCTGTCGACACACGCCTACCGCCAACTGCACTTATATCACTAATTTAAGATTTGGATCCCTCGTTTCCCTTTTTGTCGGCAACCTCCTCCGACGATTCTGCGCTATCGCTCTTCTTTTCGCTGCTCTCGGCGCTCTCCTCTGAGCTATCTGACGGCGCGTCGCCCGCAGGTTTCTCCTCATCTTTGATAGCTTTGGATTCTGCCTCACTAGATTTTGGCACAACAGCTGCAGCATCTACGACGGGTGTGTCTTTCGCTGGCTCGCTCGCTACGACAGTTTCGACTGCCTTAGGTTCTTGCTTCTTCACATCTTCACTTTCCTTTGGTGTTTCTACTGCCGCGGATGGTTCTGCTGCCTTACCTTCTACAGCGGGCGATGCGGGGGCTTGTTTGTCGTCAACGGTGTCGCGAACTACTCTTAATGAATCGTCGATGGAAGCAGCACTGGCATCGTCGGATTTGACCTCAACGGGTGCAGCTTTTACAACTGGAACTGGGGCTGGAACCTCTACATTCTCTGGTTTCTCTTCAGGTTTAGACTCGACCGGCTTGCTCTCTTCAACAATGCTGGTTTTTGGCGCTGGAGCGGGGGTATCTTCTTTCTTTTCTTCTGGGACGGGTTCGGCGCTCTTAGTTGCTGGAACTGGTAATTCCGACTTTTCAAGTGATGAAATAGCGACAACCTCATCAGCTACACCAGCAGGATTTTTGACAGCCGCTACGACATCAATTGCTTCTTCAGGTAAAGCGGATTTAGGTGCAGGTACAGATGCTACCTCCTTTACTTCTTCAACTTTAGCTTCGGTTTCTGGTTTAACTTCCTCAACCACCACTGACTTTACTTGAGGTTCAACTTTTTTTTCTTCAGGCTTAGCTTCTTCGGTTTGTTTTTCTACGGGCTTAACATCAGACTCTGCATCAACAGGCGCTGCAGATTTAGGTTCTGGGATTTCGATCTTAACATCTGGAACCACAGCTGCAGCAGCTTCTGGCTTGACTTCTTCAGGTTTTGGTTCAAGGGGAGCACTCTTGCCTTCGGGTTCCTGTGGTTTATCAGTTTCTTTAATATCTACTGCTTGTTCAGCCTTTTTTTCTTCAACAACCGCGGCGTCAGCTTTTACTTGAGGTTGTACTTCATCAGTTTTAGATACAGCGACTGGTTCAGCTACAACAGGTGCCACAGGTTTTTCCTCAGCGACCGGCATCGCCAGCGTCACAGCCGCAAAGGCCATACAGAATATTAAGACCTTCATCCTGTAAACAAAAAAAACGTCATTAGTTGTTTGGCCGAGCACTCAATAAATTTTATTGTATATTTATTGTACACTAGTCAATGATGAACGCAGTAAGGCCAATGTTACGAGTCGCTAGCCGGCTTCGATCTTTTATAGCAATTTTCCAATTAAGGCTGAATCACCTAAGGGTATCCGATGAGGGTACCCCCCATCTGTCACTTGAATAGAATTGGACATAATTTAAATAAATAGGATGCACGCTATTGTTGCTGCAGCGTCTATAATTTGCCATTTGAGTATGCATCGCTACTTCACACGAGAATAATAAATCAAAGGAATGGAATTTTTTTAGATAAATACTTTTTGCTCTTTATACAATTGTTTTGTGCCTTTTGTGTTAATGCAAGGTATCTCATGTGTAATACATTGAGGTGGCCGGTCGTAGAACCCGATCGGTCTATTTATAGCGAGCGGCTGGGAAGGCTTTAACGCGATGTCCTAGCTTCTACTGGAATGCAGTTTGGTGTCGATCCACAAATAGATTAGATTATACTTCGCGCTATAAAATTATGTTCTTTACTTTTATTTTGTTATCAACTGTCATAATAATTTTCATTTTAAAATCTGCCTCTATTTTGAGTTTACAATATGAATGAACTACCTCAACTAAAGAGGTTCTTTAATTTTTACAAGGCAGCAGAAAAGGTAACAGATTTTTGTGACAATTAGTCTAGAAAAGTTTTGATAGAGTCATAAAAACAGAAGTCGGTCTGTGACTTCACAAGATGGACACTTCCTAGCGCGTGCTTGGTTGGCAGGATGCGAAACTCGCGTCGGTAATATGGATGATCCGGCCAGACGAGTGGCGAACGTTATCTGAATTATAATATGCTCATTGAATAGAATCGGCAACCAGAATGCACAATAGATGTCATCGCATGCGTACCGTGATTCATTCCAAGATCCGTAAGTACACAAAATATGAAACTACTCTGGTTATTCGTACTAAGGTCCAGTAAAGAAAATCTATATTAATTTTTGTAATATTCTTAATAACCTATTACTGATGCTTAAATCACATTTTTTTATTATATATCATAAGGTCGCAAACAAGCAAGCGATCATCTGAATCCGCCAAAATGGCGATGCGACCGCTGCCCGTAGACATCCGCTATTGCAGATGCTTTGCCTACTCTAATTGACGAAGACGGGAGATGCACGTAAAGAGTATATTTTGCCGTCCTGCAAATCCTCTACTGTCAAATCTACTAACCCTCCCATGTTTTCCTTATAAGAAAATGGGGGAAAAGGGATAGATACTAAAATTAGGCCTCCGACACCATACTCATCAGACGAAACGCAGAATTGCACTCACTTCACGCCTTCTTCTGTGTGGTCGTGGTATGACACCGGGCGAGCCGGCCCATTTGTGCAGATTCAAAGGCTCTAACACTGTAAATTGATGTTATTCCAAAGACTGTATTTTGACTGCAGTATGATTATTAAACAATACATCTCGATTGTGATGAAAAAATATGCTACTATTAATAAGGTCGATAGAGTTCATTAAACCCATACATCAGATGAGTTGGATGTTATTTACAACTTTTTATCCGCAGCAATCAATGGCACCAAATAAGTACATAATGATTTTCGTAACCCTGGTCTTGCACGATTGTTACCTGTTATTACGCTCGACCTGTTTCTACATGTAATAAATGTCTTATATTTTTTATGCATCTGTCTCGAACAACGGCGCCAAGAATAAAAAAGATCCAATTTACAGCCAACCTATCTCACTTTAATAAGACAGATGATATCCTGTAAAACTCGCTCTTTGATATTTCGATAAATTCAGATACATCGACGACTGTTGAACGAAAAGTTGAATGGAAACTACCTGTCTATATTCCTTAGTCATATATTTAGGTCCATAGTTAGATTCGGGCGGGATTAAATAGACGCCCAGGGCCCTGGACAGGAAGGAGCATTACAGATTATACAGTTAGCACCTTTCTCCTAAAAGGTAAAAAACGGCCGCAGTAGAATTTCGCCCAGGCGATAGTAGCGCTGAATTCAGTACTGAATTTCTTTCTAATCTTTTATTACTTGAGGGTTATCCAGTTTGTTTATAAATTGATGTAAACACGGCTCGTTGTTTGTGTGAAACGGATAACGTTGATATAAAAGATTGTCGGTGAGTTATTTTCTGGAAGGATATCCTCGGCGCGGCTGAGGGCAAGGATTGTCGCCTTCCCACACGGCGGCCAATCTTCCAATTGAAGCAGCGCATGCCCAGCTCATTGTGCCAATCAAAAAATATGCCGGCGGCGGCTGTTAATACATATCGTGGTGCTTTTCCACGTGACGCGTTGAACCTCAGTTCGTGCTTGATGTATCGTTTTGTTTGAGAATATCGATTTTATAATCGATTAATTGTTTATCGATTTGACTATTTAAAGGATATTTAAGCACCTGGCTATCACTATAATCCAGCAAAATCGATTCTAGATTTTTATTACATCAGAGTGCATTGAAAATTGTGAGAACAACAATCAATAAATCAAACAATATTTAATTTTATTGCAATCCAACCTTAACCGTGATCTGAATGTAATATTTTATAATAATTTTCAATCGAGTACGTAATAGTTACAGTTATATCGGTTACGGTCAAATGAAACTAAGAAACAAATGTGTGCATTACGCAAATATCGGCGTTGAACCGTGTCTTTTTGATATTGTCGCAATATCGTCGAGAGATCAAATTTTGCAAGGCCCGTGTCATAAAAAGCACGTAACTTATTGCTATTGTTAAATGGATCTAGAAACTAACGAAACAAGTCTATAAGCACTAAAAGTTGCCATGTAATAGAATACAAATTTTCCACTGTAGAGAGTAAAAACTGATTGAAAATTTCCAATCATCTCATTGCGTAGCATTTATTGCATTAAGCAATAACGATTTAAAAGGTGTTTTGGATTTCATCAACATAATAATCTCTATGCTCCAAATTTATTTTCTGTGGAGATACTTAATAAATTTTCCACATTTTATTTCTAACCGTGAAATCAGTAGACAAATTTTTCGAACTAGGATCATCTTTCATGCTTTCTAAAATTCAAAATTACAGGTGTAGGATCGTCTATGTAGTCTTAAATCTTATTGAAGTTTCATACAGATCCCTACTACAGATATTCAAAGAAACTGCGTTCTTTTAGACACAACGATAAAGATATAACGCAGTTGCACATATTTACCGGCTATCTTCTGGATAACAAGCAATCTAGTAAACAAGACTTATCGTAAGTTAAATTATTTTTAACGAGCCATTCAAAGCAATAAAATGCACGGAGATGGCAATCGCAGCTTGTTTTGATATTAACTCAATCGTTTCGCAGAACATTGGTATCGTCCTTTAGATTCAAGAGACCTCATCCGCAGCATAATGATGGCGAATCGTGACTATTCGATGGTGCAATTACTTTGCCACGTCTCGACTGAAGTTATTCTGCGCAGCATGTGTTGGAGAAGCAACGCCATAATTCGTGTTTACATTAGTATCACGTACTCCGAGACAATTTGTTCCCATATTTATTTGCAGTCTTTTAAAAAATTCTTTAAATCGTATAATCACGATCATTATGTTCTTCAAGTTAATTTTATTATGCTCCTCACAATACTTGGTTACGTTTATTCCAAAGTTTATTTAAATGACATTTAAAGTTTTGTGCTGCAATAGTGCATGTCGCCCCTGCACTAAGTCCGTGACTAAACATATCTTTATATTTTTGTATTGACCTTTTATACATTGATAAATGTTTAACAATTTATACGCAACACTATTCCATCTTATGCATTGTTTTCTATAAGAAAAAAAAACACAAATGTCAGTGTCAAACGATTTTAGCTTCCATCTATCAATCCCGCGAACGGCATTAATAAGTTTCGCTCATTCATTTTCGTGGTCACGCCTCGGGCGACGCTGGAATACGTGCAATTGTTTGTTACATTGTAACTCACATTAAATTGGTCACAACGAGACATTAAAATTCAGGAGACACAGCGCTCTGTGGGTCTTTAAGATGCGGCCGTCTAGATCTGCCAGACGTTTTTTTGTTAATTCACTGTTATACTTTTTAAAATGAGACAGGCGACTTTGCTACTTACGCTCTCGAAATCTATACTCTATACTAATATTATAAAGAGGAAAAAATTGTATTTTTGTATGTATTGAAATAATTCAAAAACTACTAGATCGTTTTAAAAAAATCTTGCACCATTATAAAGCTATATTATCATTGTGTGACACAGACTATATTTTTTTTTGAATATCACGTGAGCGAAGTCGCGAGCAACAGCTAGTTTTAAATAAATTGATCGATAACTACATGGCTCAGTTATACTTCTTGAATATAATAATTTTTAGTGATGGCACTATCTAGTTCTACCAATTTAATGATGTAATAGCCAACCGTCGTCCCATTTGTTAATTCAAAATCTAGTCCTTGAAATTGAGCGAGTAATATGTTGTACGAGAGTCAAATATCACTAGGCAGTTTGATATATTCATTGAGAGATAATAGGATCAGTAGTCACAGTGATGTATTTGACAAAGAGCCGGCTGAACGCTGCTCGGATGTTGCACAATGCAAGCGATCGAATAACGGGTTTCACCAGACCAACGACGCACCCAATAAAGGACCGATTCGAGAATAAACGATAAAGTTAGTCGTTATGTTAAATATAAAAGGATTATATTACACGACAGCCCATGTTTTCTAATGGCATTTAAGTAAGCCAGTATAATGGATAAGTATGTAACGGATTGCAAACGCATCCGTTAACATGCTGGTCGTATGGACAATTGTAGATATCTTCGGAAATCAAGCGAAAATCACGTTCATCTTTATCGTAATAGTTTTTACTATTTGATTCTATCATAATATCTTAGATCTCTATAATTTAATAAGCGTGCCAACGAATTAAAGAAATCTTATAATCATTCCAATTTCAAATTCTATTACATAAATATAAAGTGGTCATGAAATCTGTTACATCAAAAGTAATACAAAGATTTACGTTGCTCCATCGCTCAACCGGTCTATTGAGATCAATGAAAATGTATGTGGTTGTTAAAACTAAGAAAATACTGTTACAAGATACGAGAAACTGTTTCAAATTATGAGACTAAGAAGCAAGGAAATAATGTTATTAATTTTTTTACAACAGTTCTACTAATTTGTAACTGGCTTAGTCACCCCTTATTAGGGTAGGCTCCGAGCCCCTCAGTGTGGATGTATAGTGAGTAAGATTCAAAGATATGTGTTAACTCTAACAATTGGAACGGAACCTGGTCAACCTTAACAAAGGATAGGTTTGAGGGCTAGTGAAGAAAATGACGAACCGCAGATTAATTTTAATGGTGAAACAATTATTAAAATTTGTTTTAAACCTTTTGTAACATTAACATAGATTATAAATGCTATAGGTATAATGTTATACGTTCGATAATTATTTAATACGATTCCGTAAGTTGACGTGTAACATGTAAAGCTTTAAGAATTATGAGTGTCGTAAGCCAGATTATACAACAGGTTGCATTTCGAAATATAATATACGAGGTGAGTGAGTGAGCATCTCAGTTGGTGCATATCTTAGGTCAATGCCAGCGGAAGAGTGTAACGGCACCGGTCAGCCCGGTGTAAATGTCAACAAAATGTACCCGTTCTGATCCGAACATGCTTTAACTTATATAAATATTGATGCCGATTGGATAATATTTCGTTTGCACGCTGACATAACTATTAGGTTGTTGACTTCTTATTTTGATTTGATTTTCTTTGGTGTATTTTCTAAGTTGTTCTACTTTATTCAGTTTTATATGTCCATTGTCGACGCTATATATGTCGATGTTATAAGGAAAATTCATTTAATTAATATCAATATGTTTGCATTAATTTATGGATTAAATCTTAGCAGTAATTAGTAATTACTATTGTGGACATATATTCTTTAACTTTGAATCTAAATTTTCAATTTTTGTATCTGTAGTCTAGACTTTATCGTATAACAAATTTATTAAGTAATTCTATACCAATTAATGTGAAAACGGCGAGCCCTTCTAATTGCCAAGGTTCTCTTGCCAGTATACAAACGCAGGTTCAACAGTTGAAGTTTGAAGAATTTTATATCTATTAACAATTTCTGCTCAAGGCTTCATGCGATTTCGCATGTGAATATTTAAATTTAACTGCAGAGAATATAACGCCTATTCAATTTTATTGCACTCTTATAGTATTGGTTAGTTTTCTATTAAACGGTTCTGTTCTTAGGAGTAAAGTTATCTGCAAGTCAGATCTAAAACTAACTACCAAATATTAATCAACATAAATTCAAAATTTTCATTTTTGTCAGGAATTAATATTATATTTTCAGACCCCTTACCCCAATAGCCAGCAAGGTATTTAATTTGCTGAGGGTATATTATCTTCCAAGATAAAACACATCTTGTAAGATTGAAAAAACTACCTTTTTACTATCGTTTAAAACCGTTTACTTAGTCTGAATTTATTTTTATCTCGGCATGTCTAATTGTGTGGATTTTCTTTAGCTAACGTATTGTTTGACTGTTTGTCCTTGGCTGTCGGAAAGTGTTTGTGTGAATCTCAGTTACAGGCTTGACTAAATATCCGTGATCCGTAAAAATCGTAATAATGGACCATTGTCCCCGTCAGAAGGTTACCTTGAGTTTATACAATTCTTTGACTGTTTTGAGTATTTCAGACTAACGAAAGACTGATGTTTTTCTCCTGAATAATACACAAAAATAGTGTAGGTAGAATTTTTCTTTGACGGTTGTGATTTATTTATGTTAATACTTGCTCTGTAATGCTGTAAATAATATTGATTTAAAGCTATTTAAAGTCCTTTTTAACTGCTAAATTGTTTAAATTTGTTTTATTCATTTTTAGCAATTTGTAAGTTCTTATTATGGAATTGGTAAAAGTGTCATTTTTCCTTTAATAGCAAGAATGTTGTAATGTTACGGAATTTTACGCTATTATAATATTGCGAGTTTGCGCTTGTAAGATACTGCGTAAATCATTACACGTGCCTTACCTGCAATTTGCTGGAGATTGTGCGCGGCAAGTGTCGCCACATTATTTTATTCTATTAAGGGCATTGTAACACGAAATTATCAAACATCAATTATACGAAGTGTCCTTAAAACCTTCTTTATTTTCACTCTTATGTTAGGTTTATTTAGTTACTCAAATATGTTTAGATAGCATTATTTACCCGCAAGCTATTAAATACTGGGATTTTGGACTGAAAACCTTTTATAATTAGAGAGTTACGTTAAAATTTGCATTTTTTAAATCCGTCAAATCAGGGATCCCTTCTGTCAGACGGCATGATTGATTTTTACATCATGTGATGCTTTTGTTTGCTCGCCGTATGATTATGGCGTTCTTTTGCAACAAAAGCTACGTCTTTTTTATCTCGATCTAAATTAGATAGCTCAGGCAGGTCTGAGTCATGGACATTATTAGTTTTTCTTGTGACCGTGCGATAAACTGGGAGGTGTACTTTTTTATCATTGTTATGTTTCGCTTTAACTTACGGCTACAATTTAATGACTAGCGTTACTAATCTACTTATTATTTTCGAACGATTATCGATAACGCTAATTTACAACAAATTTTTAATAACTTTAGTACTAATAGTTTGCGGCGTAAACAGTTTTAATTGTAAGGAAACTTTAATTTCCCGAATGTGTTTACACTAAATTGAAAAATAAACAGATTATCACTTTGAACTCTTATAGTGCCGAATGAAAGTAGGTTTCTGATACCCGAAAAAAAAAGAGTGATGGCTGAGATGACGTATAGAGTTATGTGGAGGACAAAAACGTGTAACGCCGACCCTACAGGAGTAGGATAAGGAGGAAGAGGATGATCATGTTCAACTCTAGCAAGTTATAAGATTTTAGACGTATATATTCTGTGAAAGATGAAACAACTTCTTTTGATATCTTTTGGATAATCATCGTTATAATTATGTAAGCTTTTAACTGCACCATTAACAGACAAAGATAGTATTGATCTATACATATTTAATATTTATCTATTCAATAATTCCTAATAGTGTTTATTTAAATTTAACGGCATGTTTATAAATATATCATGCAGGGTAAATATGTCTAAGTAAGGTGAACGGTTAAATTCAATAAACCTGTTGCTTCGCCTACTTGGAAGACCTTGACAAATATTACATATCCATAGATTATAGGCAATTATCCCAATTACCAATTTTCATCGATCTTTCTATGAAAGAACAAGCTGTATTACGTGTGTATGCAATAAGAGCGTGAGTTAAAAAAATTTGTGTTTGAAATTTTATAGATAGAAAATTTTCAACAAAAAAAATATGTTTAACGAAATTTATTTATGTGTAAGATTGTCCATTAAATATGCTTCGATAATCTTAATTTACTTTTTTTTTGGATAAAATGATATTTTTGTTAATAAGAATGCTTTTAGCCGGATTAAAAAAGGTTTTCAATTCGCGTTTTTGTTGTTACCTTAAGCTTAATGTAACTTATCAATGTAATGTACATATGTGGTAAATGTTCAATATCTATTACTTTAACGTTAGGCCTTTGTCCCAGCAACCAGGGTCTGGTTATCCGTCCTACCGTGAAGGATACGAAGGTCTTTTATTTGTATGCACGGACAACGGACAATGTATTGTCAATCGACCAAGCTTCGCTATATCACTTCGTTATTGATTCTATTTCAAGCATTATTTTAATTTATTAACAAATTTTAATATTTATTTTAAAATGGGATTTAATTTTTAATTGGGGAATTTAAAAAAATAACATTATACATTGGAAAATTATTTTTAAAAAATTTCTATTCTAATATAGACTTACCTGAAGTTAAGATCCTTGCAATTCGAAGAAGCGTTGAAGGAATAACCACTTACACAAGTTTAAAAATTATAACTGTTATCGGGTTATTTGTTAATATGCTAGCGCTGTGACGGTCGGCAATGTATTGGTGGTGCTTTGATAATGCGCTGTGTTTATATAGGCGGTGCGTTTCGGAGACGCGACTACTGCCGATGCAAGTCTTTACATCCATCTCCACATTACGAGCTTCCCCTGTAGCTTTGTGGCCATCTTTGTTCACTTTATTCCAAATTCAAATTTTACTGTGGACTTTTAACTTTTTTTTTAAAACAAAGGCACTATTGTATATTTAGATAAAATACAATATAGATCATTTTTTTTAATTACATGAAATGTTTCTAATTAAAGCCTTGTTTCGAAATAAAATGTAATCAATTGTATTTTGTGGTATAGATCGATGAAAATACATCTTAAACTTTTTAAATAATGCTTGAAGCGTAAAAATTTCATTGGTATTTCTAAATATTCAAAATACTTATAAAGGTAAGTATGTAATAAATTACTTTTAAAGATAAAAATAAATAGTTTATCGTTTAGTTTTATTTTCAATTTAGTCGATGAGATAAATATCTATCGGATACACCCATTAAGTGTTATTTTGTTTATGTTCCCGTTAATCGTGAATGGAAATTTCCCAAGTTTAAAATTCAATTTGTTTCAAAATATTTACTCTTGATCTTCGATGGTATGTGTTTTAACCATTATAAGAAACATGAACACCGGTTAGTGGAGCTCGAGATGTTATTTTACTTGTATTGGCTTTTATGTGACTTTTAAAAAGAAAATAATAAGATTTTTATTGTTATTGCATTTATCATCTTATATTTTATGGACACGTTTAACATCTAAATGCACAGCATTTTTGTTTGTATTTACATAGTTTGTAAGTTGATGTTAGGTTTACTTAAGTTTTAAGTTTACTTCTAGAAGAAGTATGATTATACTTCTTCTGGCAAGGAATGGATCGTTATATAATTCTTTGTCACTATGAATATTTACGAGTATTTGGACTTTTTCAATACATTTTTCTTTTTAAAGCCAAACATAACAGCTCCCTAATTATTACTATGCTGCACTAATCTGCAGTGTTACTATAGTACCAAGTATAAAGTTTGAAAAGTTATGTAGAGTTAACTATTTCTTTCCCGTGCCTAAGCCTTTATGAGGACATATTTTGAAAAACAAAACCATTAAGTTGTTAGGTCAAAAAACTTTACATTTTACCGTTTTTAGTAAACCGTTTGAAAATCACACACGTAGACGTTTTTGGATAGTTAAGTTTAACCTTCGTTTGATATTGTAATGAAATAAGAACATTTCGATAAGTCCAATAAGGCCTAAAGATAATCATCTAAATCATCACTTTATATCTGGTGTCGTAAGTACGCTAAGTGTTATAATATAATAGATAAATATGGTTTGACCTTGCTCTTAGACTATTACGTGAAAGTCCATTTAAATATTTCAAAGATTCGATCGATTATGCCTTATAATAATATAGTTTGGTGTCTATATGTTCTTAGGGTACATTTAGCTTCATGTTGAGGTCATGAGCAGTATGATTATATATATATATACATGGACGAGATGTTAGGACGTACAAGCGAGTAGGATATAGAATAACAAATCTCGCAAGTCAACCTTCACCCTGATGACAGGACGGAGTATGTTAGCCGCTAGGCAATACTGCTAGCATTAATGTAGCTCTTATCTTATGTGTCAAGGTGAAGAGCGAAACGAGATGCGAAGGATTTTCTATTATAAAGTCCAAGGCCTATGTTATGGGCAGGGTACAATCAGGTGAACGCCCTGTATGTTGTACCTAGGTACCTACTACGTAGTAACGAAACAATTCTGAAAGTCAAATTGTGTGTTGGTTCACCCTATATATGAAGCACAATTTTATAGTGCATGTCTGTACTTATTTATGATTACGTAGTTTATTAAATTACGCGTCAACTGAGAAGCCTTGCATTTCTACCGATGCTGGAAATAGATAGCTTAAAGATCTAATCACAGACCCGACTCATGCACGTCTAGGTCGGTAAGTAGGAAAACTTTGCATCGCTTCTTCGTAATAGCTACTTTGTCAAAGTGGAGGCAACTTATCGAACAAGTTGGATACGATAACTTGTTTAGATAGTAAGTTAAGTGCGTAACTTATAGCTATGGATAATAAATAAGTACTATTTCTTGTGAACCGGAGTTATTATTTAATAATATACCAGTGATAAGCGCTCTTAATATGACATTCTCTTCCAATAAATTCATTTAGGGGTTCCTAATTAATGTTTACTATATAATAATGAGTAAACAAATTAATTTCCAAAATTGGTTAATCTTTATCTGCCAAGAAATATTCTCCCTTTCGGAGTAATCGAGATTCTAAATGTTTCGCATTTGAATCGCTTAGGTATTGTTAATAAAATGTAAATAATTAAAGTGCTGATAAATTTAGTAACTTGTGAACAAACAAGAGGTCATGGCACAATACATTTTTAGTGTTAGTAACAATATGGCACTTGACTTATTATAACTTGCCTTGTACTCTCTAACCTTATGGGTCATTAACAAACATCCAATATTTTCACAGATTAAAAATAAGAAACATTTTTTGTTATTATTTTAGCTTGATTAATTTTGAAGAATGTGTAAAAATAAACTCTTAGTGCATCAAGGACCTATAATTATACCTGCTGCTAGCGATGTTAGCTTAATTTTGAAAAAAAAAAATAAAACCCCAATATAATTTGGTAATTATTTAATCGATGATCTTAGACTATAAAGCCTGTATTCTTATGCTTTTGTTATTCGATTTCAAGTTCAAATAAACCATTATATATACAAGTCGTATAAGAATTAATTTCCGAATACAAATAATAAAAAGTTTACGTATGCAAAAATAAATTGTTAATTGACTTAAAATGAAAGATAAATCAAGTTATATCATACAGGTTTGTTTCTGAGTATCAATTAGTGGATAGATTATTTAACAGAAGAATGTTCTGCGCTTATCTTTCAGGTAGCATTGTAGATATTGTCATGATTGCCCAAATTTAGCAAAGACAATATGAGTCATGTTTTTACGCCTTTGTTTTTCGGGGTTAAACATAAAGATATCTTATAATTACCATCATCCATCAACAATAAATGGCATGTGACCGTAATAAAAACACACAGATAAATAATACTTAAAATACTTTATTCATAGATTATTCTTTTTTACGGTACATATCTATGGTACAACGGTATTTAATATTAGAATTCTCTCGTCTTCAACAAATTTTGTTTTGCGCGCGGCGGCAGATCAAGAAGTTTAGATTTGTGGGATGCAACATTTTGATTGTTGTTATAAATTTTGTTTCCTATTTATATTCCGTGCACGGTTGTAATGGGTCTACGATGTCGTTTGGTTCATATTAAATTCACCAAGTTATCCTTGAAGTAAGTAGTGTCGCCACTGTCGATGGTTTACCCATCTCATTGGCGAACTATAAGAAGAGCTGTAGTTCCAATTTTCGCCACTTTTTCAGATAATTTGGTTAGATGTGCGTCGACGTTAACATTGACACTGGTTTATAAGCGGCGCGTATTAACGTGTCGTCTAATGAATAGTAATTGCGTTTTATTTAACACTCTTAAATGTTGTTTTTAAATTAAAAAAAAAGTCTAAGATCATTGAACTATTTATATTTAAATGTTTTTATACAATCGTTTAGCTAATTACAATTGTTATGTCTTGTTAATGAATTTAAGTATAATTGGACCGTTATAGATAATCCTATGTCTGCTAAGAACATTGATTGTTAATATACAATTGACATGAATCATGGTATTATAGAAAAATTAAATGGGATAATATTTTGAGCGCAAACTTCACTGGTATTTGACTCTTTTGGGCATAACCTGAATCTTTAAAATGCAGCCGCAAGAAGTAACGAGACAGCAGGCTATCTAGTGCCCTACTCTATAATCATCGCTAAAGATCGGCAGTGCTTTCACGATCGCCCTCAATACCCCGACTATTTTAGATCTCAAAATATTTAACCGTTCGCACAGGTTCTTTAGTGTTACGATTTATTTGCTAAGTTGCTATCACATGGGTCACGTTTAGCGCTGCAAGCAAAGTAACCGATTACTATCTTTATACCTAGTTCGCAGTATTATGACGCAGTTACATTAGACAGGTCTCAAATTCGAAACGTCCAAAGGGACCCTTGAGGTCGTGGTAGATCAGGGTGGGGGCACTGATAAACTATGAACACGATCCCAGGAAGACGATAATCTAGAGTGGTCCTTTGTTGTCGTAACATCGTGGACCCACAGGGAGAGTTTGAGTGCCGGAGGTCCCGGTGTGTTCCTTAGAGATCCCGTATCCTTCGTCTATGTCACTAGAGGATGACCATCGAGGGGTTTTAGTAGGTCAAATCCTACATAACCCTGTTTTCCCCCCGGAAGGCCGAGTATCTTTTAAAGAATTTCCCTCCGACACCAAAAAAAGGTCTGAAATTCGATGTTTACAAGTTTATTATTCAAATATTTAAACTAGATAAAAATGTTTGATAATGCGCTCTCCTGTACAATTTGGCGTTTGCAGATACTTCATTTTACGTAGAGATCTGTAAATACCAAGTCACGGAAACTTCTACTTTTTTAATAATAACTAATCATGGCCGAAAGGAAATATAATAAAATGTAAACATCAAAAGAATTGTCTATTATCGGATGACCTTAGCTATAACAGGCGGTTAATTGACCGTATCCCTAATATCCTTGTTTGTCTATTGACAATTTTTTTTACCTTATCTGTGGATTTTTTTACTTATCTGTGGCGCAGTGTCTGAGCGGGATTTTAAACAAAAAACGTATCATTCACGGTCTGATGTCAGTCACATGGCTCGGATTCTTCCATTGCATTCGTTTATTACTTTACGTCATTGTGGAATAAGGAATCACTGTAATCCCATACATTCGCTAATATACTACGATTTGAGTAGGAACAGATATCATTGTTTATAATGCAAGTCTTTATTGATGGAATTTCCCTTCGTAATATCGGAAATTAAAGCCCATAGCGAACGGAGATGTTAATAATTTT